GGAAACAAAGAAGCTACACAAAATTGAATTTAAATACTTTATCTTCACTGACACATCCCACATACTGGATGGGGAATATTTCTCTTCCTGCTAACAAAGTAAAGAAGTTTAAAAGGTCATATAGCCATTAAAAATAGTCGTACTGATTAGGGAGAAAATATTCAAAATAATTTCTTAAAACCCATAAAGTGTTTCGCATAGCCGCGAAAAGAATGTGCGGCTTCTATTTTGCAATTATGAATATCTGGGTTTTCAAATTAGTATTTGCTTTTTATTCACAATGCGGTCTGTTTGTCTACAGTACATTCAATAATTTTAGCGCCTCACCTGACATCCCTGATTGACAAGCCCACACCTTCTTGACGGACTCAAGTATTCGGCTATTTATCTCTATTGTCGGCTTAATTTTTCGCATTGTACCATTCACTATAATAAGATTCAAGATAATAACAATACCGACGGCTTTCTGTGTCTGCACTATTGTCTGGCTATTTTTAGAAAATAGCCTCATATGAGTCTGACTTCTTTTCTTTTCTTGTTTTTGGAAATATTTCTGTTTAATATTTCTACCTCTTATTATTATTATTAAGTTGCGGCCGACTGGGGCGACTATGCAAATATTTGCACAATTTCAAAAGGTTAGCAATTGCAACATTTGATGAAGCAGCGGCAAATTAAATAACTGGGTCAAAGCTTAGCCTCGACAAAGAGAAAAAAGCCATTTATGCCAAACATACTATACAACAAATACATAAACCTTATACAATTGCACAAAATTGGTAAATTAAAAAAAAATAGAAATATAGTCAATGGGGGAAAATGGTAGCTCGACATTTTGCAAAGTACTTGAATATGATTAATTAGGCGATGAACCGAAAAGCCAAAACGGCAATGACAGCTAATTAACTTGGATTTGTATAAGTGGATAGGTCCCGGGGAATACGGGCGGAAGAAGGTCAAATAACGCCGCACAGTGACAAACTAATTTACGGCCCAAGCGGCGTTCCACAAGTTCCAAGCTTTCAAAACAAAAGGTGCGCCCAAACAACAACAACAACGATCAATAGAACATGGCCAAGAATGTTTCACTATTGGCCATAAGTCGCTAAACACTCTCGGCCGAAGCGGACGAGCAAAGCGGCCAATCTTCGCTCAGCACCAGTTGGCGCCGCTCCGGGGCGGCCATACAAAGACAAAGCTCCTTGGCTGTGGCTATTGCATACGGGTTTTACGTCAGTCAGTTGGCCGATTTAATTATAATAATAAAACTGCTGAATGCGACTACGATTGGGACGCAGGGGCAGGAGCTGAATTTCAGACTGAGGCTGAGGCTGACCTTTGACACGGCCCGGCCATCGTGGTGGTTATGGGCATGGCTTTGTAGCTCATAGATACATTTGTGGTGCTGGCATGATTGAGCTGCATTCATAGAGTCCATACACTCAGAAAAACTTCACAGACTATCAAGATTTTCGGACAACAATTATTGTGGATAATTGATATTCCAGTTATTTTATTTAAGGCACATAGAAGACATTTTAAGGAGAAATAATTCAAAATTAATGACAGGAATATGTGGTTTTTTATTTATCTATAATTTTTAGAAAGCACATTCACAGACTATCAAGGTTTCCAGGCAACACTTATTGTAGATTCATATAATTGATATTCCAGTTATTTTATTTAAGGCACATAGAAGACATTTTAAGGAGAAATAATTCAAAATTAATGACAGGAATATGTGGTTTTTTATTTATCTATAATTTTTAGAAAGCACATTCACAGACTATCAAGGTTTCCAGGCAACAATTATTGTAGATTCATATAATTGATATTCCAGTTATTTTATTTAAGGCACATAGAAGACATTTTAAGGAGAAATAATTCAAAATTAATGACAGGAGCATGTGGTCTTTAATTTATTTATCATTTTTAGAAAGAACATTCACAGACATCAAGATTTTCAGGCAACAATTATTATGGATTCATAATTAATAATGCAGATATTTTATTTAAGGCACAGAAGTACAAATACAATACTAATCACAGGACCATGTGGTCCCTAATTTAGTTATAAATTTTAGAATAACATCGTAATGAAGATTCCCGAGACAATATGTTTGCACCATAAAGTTCAATATTGTTAATATTTTAATTTAGACATGATCCAATCCATAAAATGGATAGAAATGATATACGCTATTGTTTAAATAAATACTGTTTGCTTTCAAAACCCCTCCATATAATTATTTTTGATATTATAATCAACATGTGTTATGCAATTCCTTAAATGCAGGAACATACGTTTTCTGAGTGTACAAATCGGTATCATAATATAGTGTACCAGTCGCGTTTTGTGAAAGTTTGGTGGCTTACTATATGACCCGCTTATGACCCTGGGCAGGAGTTGTTTGGCAGTTTTGCTTTTGTTTTTTTTTTTTGTATTATTTAAAAAAAGGCTTTGTGTGTGGTTTAGTTTGTCTTGCTTTGGTTTGGGTTGGCTTTGTATTTTTATGCCGCACATTCAACGTAATTCTACCTACAAAACACAAAACATACAAAACTAGTATATACTCTTATATACTATACATATGTATGTATGTATTTGTAAGTATTTGCGTTTACGCCCGAAGAAAATGAAACGCAAAAATTTGCATGCGAAAGAAGAAATACACAAGAGAGCGGCTAGCAATGTATGAATGAATCGAATACTTGTATGTGGGCACAAAACGGAAAGACTAAAGCCGCCGCCACCGCCACCGCCAGCAGCAATAACAACAACACACATAAGTGAGCAGAGAAAGACAAAGGAGAAGGAAATGCAAAACATGATTGAGGATTGCATTTTACCCGCCTGTGCCTTAAAGTTTCTGTTCTGTTCTGTGCTCTGTCGGCTATTTGGCAGGTGTTGTCGTCTCTGGAGATTTCGGCAGTCGCTAAATGTACGAGCATTTCTCTGCGACCTTTTACTTATCTCGCTTATCGCGCCGAAACTTGATATAAAGACAAGCAACGCGCTTGTATCTCTGCGATACATATGCATGCAAATGTATCTATACACATGCATATGGCGTGCTCGTCTTGCTATCTGAGTTATGACACTGAAATGAAATGCCTTGCCAAAATAATAATAAAAACAAGAATGAAAAGCTAGAGTTGTGCAGGCCCAACTCTTATATTTAAGACAAGAGAGAACGCTACGAGCGAGTCCAACAGTTAAATACCCTGCACCCAACCAAACTAGCAGAAGAAAATAATGAAATTTAAAAATTGAAATTTAAAAATTGAAATTGAAAAATTGAAATTTAAAAATTGAAATGGAAAAATTGAAATTGAAAAAATTGAAAAATAATGAAATTGTTTCACAAATAACTGCTCTTTGTATAAAGTTTGAAAAAAAAGTACATGATTCATATAGATTACGACAAAACTAAAGTAAGTTGTACAATTCGAAAGCATACATTTACATCTGTATTGCCTCTAGAAAATTAAACTATATTGATAAAACCGACTGGATGTGGATTGAGTAAAAGATTTTGAGTATTAGCGGAATTAGGGATAATCATATATAGCGGGGGAGTGGGGGGTGCATCAGAAAGAACTTAAACTCGTACTTTCTCGATGCAAGGAGAATGTGAATACCAAGTTTAATACAGACAGATATCACTCTTGTCTTGGCATGCGTCTTGTCATCTTGATTAAGAATATATATATACTCTACACGCCTCCTTCTGTGTGTTACATTCATTCGCGTTAAGCTACTATTCCCTAGTACATTTCATATACAGGGTATTAAAAGTTGATGAAGCAACTTTTGCATCTTTAATTGCCAGCCTTGAAATTCCTATTTCGCTGCATATTTGCACAACTGTGTATCTAAGAATGTTAGAATCATTTCAAACTTTCTGCTGGCCATACAACCATGGCTTTAGCTCCAAAGTTAGATATTCTTAGACATTGTACGGCTAATTTTCATCTGCCGTGGACTATGAACAAACTCTTGTATTTCAGTATGTAAAAAATCGAGACCCAACTACAAGTGAGTGGAAGTGCTTGGACTGCGTTAAGGGTATTCAATAGTCATGGCACGATCAAATCTACACAACGCTTACAATTTGTAGGTTCGATTTTGGTTTTGGCCTTTTTTTGTATTCAATAAAATTTCTTTCTTTCCGCTTATTTTGAAATCTTCTTTATCATCTTTCTGACCGGCCTCAATCCTCCTCCACCACCTCCATCTCCTGTCCACCGTTCTCCGTCCTCCGTCCTCATCACCATCGTCTGCACGTTCGATACGTGCGCAAGCTGCTGACCAGCCGAGCAGCTTCTGTTTCTGTTTCTGTTGCGCCTGCGCCTGCGCTTACCTTTTGGCTGGCTTCTTAACAGTTTGTTCAAAGATTCGCTTTGCACTCATCGCAGTCGCAGTCGCCGTTTCAGTCTCAGTCACAGTCGTGGTCGTGGTCGTCGAAGTCGATGTCGTAGTCGCAGTCGGGCCCTCGATTTTGTTTAGTACCGATTTTTCTTCAGCTGCCCAAGTTAATGTTGCTGGTGCCTTGGCTTGCCTTTCCTTTTCTCGCTGCCTGTATTCTCTGTGGCGCATGCGCAGTCGCCACATGGAACTGGTTTTAACAGTTTTTGTTGTTGTTAATTTTAGTACTTTTTCGTATTTTTGCGTTTTCTTTTGGGTAGCAAAATTTACTATACAGGCAACCGTACCTAGTTACCAAAAAAGTTCAGAAGTGTTTTCCGTTGCTTATGCGGTTTTTGATTTGATCGGCTGGTGTGTGCCGCCTTGTTTTAGCAGCTGCCCAACACAAAGTTAACGTTGTCATGATCAGTCTTATTAGCATATTTAATTAACATTAGCACACGGCATTTACTCAGCTGTTTTCATAAAGGGCAACCACTGAGCACACGCACCTCACTCGCCTACACTCTTAGCAATACTTATTACTAGGAATGCAAAATGTTTATACTGTGTATTATTATTTTCTACGCACCTTTTTTGCCGCGCGTCTTGTTTACACTCTTTTGTGGACCCTGAGGATTTGTTTTTATATGCAACACTGCACTTTTTTATCCAATTAATTGCATTATTTGCACCAAAAAAGCGACTACAACAAACTTGTTTCCACGTTTTATTCGCCCGCTGAATTGCTTTCTTTCTTTATTTTTCTTTTTACAAAAATACACTATTCATTTGCCGCTGCCAATTTATTTTATTTTATATTTATTGTGCACCAAAAATTAAAATCCATATCAAAATCAATTTCACTGGCTCCGTTTTCATATGCTTGGCGTTTTCTACGGAAATCAATGCACCCGAAAATTAACACAAATATCTCGTACTAAACAAAGTATTTAAATAAATAAAGTCCCAAAGTCGCGTCTCTAGTGGTTGTTGTTGTCGCTGCTGCTGGTGCAATTTCGACTTTAATTATTATTCCGACGGGTATCGCGACTCACTACCAACACGGCCAGCAGTCGTTTAAGAACTGAGCAGTGTTACAAGACAAGACCAAGACGGCGAAGTGGATCAGAAGAGCGCAAGAGCGAGAGTGCCGTTTGGACGTCTTTGTGCTCTCGCTCGTCACACCACTCACCTGTGCCACCCAGGTGATTGTTGTTGTGCGGGGAGGTTCATTTGTATACTTTTGTGTATGTGAGTTACGTTCCACAAAGTGTGGACTTCGTGGTTTTAAACTCAAACGGTTAACGCTCACTTTTATTTACTTACAAAGAATTTGTAAATATAAAGTAAATATCAATTATTAGATTAATTTAAAACAAGATATTATTATTTATTTATTTTTAAAATTTTTATTTTTTAAATTTTTTAAAATAAAATAAATATTGTTAAAATTTATTGAATTTCAGTAAAACTTTCAAGAAATATGGGAGTTATGGGAAATAGCTAATATCTTTTCTCGGACTTAGGGGAATCTGGATATCAAGTTTGGTTAGATGAACAGACAGATGGATGTACAGTCGGATTTTTAAATCGACTATATATAATATACTCCCTCAAGTACGGTGTATAAAAATGTTCTTTAATAGTTGACACAATTTCTAAATTTATCGAAGACGAGGAGTTCTCTGCTATTATACCCCTTTTTATGTCACAGCACAGTTTTACAGACTTATGTAAGCGAATATATTGCTCGCGTGAGATAGAATTTAAACGCACACGAACTTCACATAATATAATATCTAAGTTACTTAAATTATAATTTTCTTTATCTTCATTTTTAGAGCAATAAACATATTTTTAAACAACTATATATACGGGTTAATGCGCTTCTTCGGTATTGTGTACAAAATGCTTAAGCTCTGGTGTGTACTCTCTATGATTATAGCTTGTGGGTATTGTCAGTCGCCTGAGACTGCGAGTATCACTACGACTGTCGCTGCGTTTGCTCCTACGGCTGATCCTACGGCTGCTCCTACGGCTGCTCCTACGGCTGCTCCTACGGCTGCTCCTACGGCTGCTCCTACGGCTGCTCCTACGGCTGCTCCTACGGCTGCTCCTACGACTGCCCCTACGACCACTATGGTAAATGATATTACTGTTCATAGCAACTTAAATATACTTACTTATTCTATTTCAAAACTTAAATTCTAGAGTCCAATTTACGAGACCAATAAAGTTATAACACAAGCGCTGAAAGACCTACTAAATGAACGTATGGGTTACTACGATGGGAACACGGAATACAAGGAGTACATTACAAATGTACGCTTTGCCGCCAAAAGGTCCATTAACTTCCTGGCCCAAAAAATAGAAACCTATTACAAATTTACGGAATACAATAAACAGAGGCTGGAATTAGAGAGTGCAATAAAGGACCGCCTTGCCAGACTAAACAATGTACTAATTCCCAGTCAGACTCCCAACAGTAGCTGTTCAAAGTTCTATTTACAGCAGCGGATAGTTCTTGAGGACGCACTCAGGGCAACCAATGCAAAGAAAGAGGCAAAGATAAGGGAAAACAGTGAAGACTGCAAGTATGTAGACAACGAGTATGATTATTATTAATAAATGAGTTTTCCAGCTGGCAAAGTTAATAAATATTACAAGCACAGAGTATTTGTCAAATATGTACTTGTATATCAGTTAAAAATTCGAAATAAATTGGTAAATGTAAGCATGGTGTACTCAAATAATTTCAGTTAGTCACTGGTAATGTAAAAATATAATCAAATTTGGATATTTTACTCACTTAAGAAATTAAAACTGATAGAACGATAATCCATCGTACATTCTAAAAAGCTTTTGATGCCCAAGAAGCGGGATCAACCAACAATTTGATGAGTTGGACCAGAAAAAAACTACAACTGCTATTTCAACCACTATGGAGGTTAATAATAAGTATATAAAAAAAACTCGGACTGCATGAAATATTTCACAAACATTACAAGGTGGCCTGGAACCTCCCAAAAAATGTATAGCGAAAAATATTAGACTTTTTTTAGGATAAGCCCAAAAGACCAATTGGGAATACAAAATGCAGCGACAAATCCTTCAAGATGCAAAAAAACTGAATGTAAAGTCCTTTAATTCTACATTTAATCATTACAACGATTTCAAAAATGTCAATGAGCAGCTCCTTGAATTGAAAGAGAGAGTGAAGTTGTTAAGGAAGTTGAAAAATATATATTTGAGTAACTATAGAACGCAAAGAATAACGTTAGAAGCCTCTCTTACAGAATCGAATGACTTGAAACTATACAAGCTGCAGATCTATTCCACTAATGATTCTCTAAGTAGAATGTGCTCGATCGTAAATAATATAATGTGGAACAGTTTTGACAAGCAACTCGTAAATTATTCACTTCGCATTGGCCTATTAGGGGGGACCTTGTGTTTTAGAACTTTTCTGTTATATATATTGCAGTCGTTGGAGCGACATCAGCTAGTAAGAGGCCCTTCAACATGCTAGTTGGAACAGCATTATCTGCAGGATTTGTGGCGCTGCTGCTGCTGCTGTTGCAGGACGGCGATGCCAAGGACAAGATGGACTCTAAAGCCGAGTGGATGCAGGCGCTGTTGAAGCTGGACAATCTAGTAACGGACAGGATAAACAGGATGTTGAAGCGCTATGCCGAGAGAACCCCGAATATAATAAACAATGGCGAATTCATTGAGCAATATAATCGGCTAGGTCAGGCTGCAGAATTATCAATCAGCCAACTCGATGAGAAAATAGCGACGTACAATGCCTACAGATTCTACGATGAGCAGCGCCAGAAGCTGGAACAGGATCTGCAGGCCCAGATTTTACAGAACTGGACTGCATCGAGTGTCGAGGAAGCCAACCACTACAAAAGACTTAAGGAGCGATTGCAGAATGCTCTGTCGTCGACCAATGCGCACAAGGAGTACATTTTAGAGGTGGTGGAGACTTCCCTTTCGCCCACTGGGTATACCCGAAATCTAGGCAGCTTGGGCACATCGGTTATGAAGCTACTTAAAATGCTGGGCTTCTATGACAGCTTCAATAAGCGCGTCTTCGATGCACTCTTCAGCGACGAGGCCATGCTGAAGAAACTGAAGAAGAAACTGAAGGAGCTGGACGATGGTGATAGCAAAAGTATTTTGACAATATGGGACCTTATATTTGGTTTAATTTAAAATAAATTACTTACACACACAATTAAAGGGAGACATGCCCTGCCATGCCATCTGCCTCTTGCTACTACAACTATGCTAAATGATTTACATGCGGACGTTCGCAATTGACAGGCCGGGCCGGGCCAGGCCGAGCCAGGCCAGGCCAGAAGTCGGCAAAACAATCCACTTAAGCTGTCTGCAAACGGCGAGAAGACCGGCCCAGACCCAGAGCCAGACCCAGGCCCAGATCCATCGGCCGAATGATGGTCGACCACATTTCACTATCGTGCGCGTTGAAACAAAAAGTGTTGGCGTGCTGCTATTCGCACTGCATCCTGCACCAGATCCTCTTACCAGCCAACCCAACATTTGCAATCGCCAGACACAGTTGCCCACTCTCAGCCGCAGTCGTCTTGTTGCCGATGTTGTTGTTGTTGTTGTTGTTGTTTATCAGACAATGTCGCGTTTGTAGACAGTTTGAAGTTTAACAAGTTGTCGAACGCAGAGCGCGCTTTTGCCAGCTTTAAAAATAGCCACGATACACGGGTTAGTTGCCGTGCATATACGAGTATAGGAATATAGGAGTATAGGTGTGTCGGTGTGTTTGTGTGTTTGTGTGTGCCAGCAAAGGTCACACACAGGCACATGTCTCTTTCCTGCCACAGACCCCGCCGGCCATGTATTACCCACATACTATATGCGATGTACATCGGCTATATATCAAAAGCGGGTCATCAACATTGCGGGATTTTCTCTTTTACTTCCAAATGCCAAAACGAACAAAAATGAAACCAATAAATTGCGTGGCGGCGGCTGATGGGAACACATTTATCGGCTAAATGCATTTGGAGCCCAAAAATCAGTTTTGACAAACCAGATCTTCAAATAGCGAAAGATTTAGGTGAGTGTGTGGGAGAATGTGTTCCATAATTAAAAAAAGCACACTTAGATAGCCGTTCACAAGCATTTTAATTGAATATCCAGCTTTCGAAAAAAAAATCATAATAACGAGCCCGTTTTTAATAGGTTTCTATGATTTTTCGAAAGTAGTCTGAAACAATCTCGAATGTTAAATTGAAACAAAAATTTAACAGAATTCCCAATTCTGTTTTATCAATATTAGAAACAGCAAGAATTTGACGAATGGATTTCTATGTATAAACAAAGAATGAGATATCATCATTGAGAACAAACTAATTTGGTGGCAATAGCAAAAAAGAATAAAGAAAATATTTAAACATTAAAAAAAGATAACTTTGGTGTGAGTCAAACCCATATTACCAATCCCTATAAACGCGATTTTTGAAAATAAATTTGGCATATTTTACTCACTTAGAATTTAAAACTGGTAGAACGATAATCCAACGCATATTCTAACAAGCTTTAGATCCCTTTTTTTGGTCAATTAGATGCCCAAGAAATCAATTTTGACAAACAAGATCCTCAAATAGCGAAAGATTTAGGTGAATGTGTGGGAGAATGTGTCCCATAATTAAAAAAAAGCACACTTAGATAGCCCTTCGCAAGCATTTTGAATGTATATCGAATTTTCGAATAAATGCATAATAAGAAACCCGTTTTTAATAGGTTTCTATGATTTTTCGAAAGTAGTCTGAAACAATCTCAAATGTTAAATTGAAACAAAAATTTAACAGAATTCCCAATCCTGTTTTATCAATATTAGAAACAGCAAGAATTTGACGAATGGATTTCCAATAAAAATATTATACATTAAACAAAGTACGAGATATCATATCATATAACCAATCCCTATAAAGCCATTTGAACACTTGAGCCCGAATCACACATCACATAATTAGTAGATATTAATGGAATATATATAGATATGTGCTGCCTGATCGTCGTTTCGCAGTTTGCTTCTGATAGTAATGACTATGATGATGATGATGACGGCGATGATGATGATGATGATGATGGCGATGATGCTACCATAAATCATTCGCCAGCAGACCAAAGTAGAGCGTTGACATGAGAGTTGAAAGCAACGAAGCAGAAGAAAAATGCGCACAGCACGGAATTAATGTCAACGGTATTAGAAGGCAGCGAACAAAATCAATAGACGAAGAGCCCATAAATCGACCGATCGATCTGAGCCAGTCAGTGGATGTCAGAAAAATAGAAATTGAAAATTGCCACACAATATAGTAAGGTGGTAGTGAGCAGCTACAAACGAATTTGCCATTTAAACTACTTGTATGTTGCCAATTAAACTGACCATATTACCATTCAGGTCAGGTTAAATATGAAAATCAATAGTTCGCCACTGCCGTGCTGGCCTTTCTTCAGCTGTCCAAGCTGTCTGCCCTCATATCAAATGAAACCTGCTCGGTTGGCAGGTGATATTCGTATTTAAAGGCTGATTTGATAATTGCACATCAAAAAGCTATCATAAAAACCGCGCAATGCTCGGCAGCTACTTGTATATAAGGACTTTGTCTGCGGCTAGAGCCTTGCAGAAATGATAATCTCCGTGTTGTCCTGTTGGCTGCTGCTCTGCGGCTCGGCTGGCTCAATGCTGAGCAACGAACTGGAGCGCAATATATCTGGCATGTCTATTGGTAATACGAGAAATTGGATTTTAGAGCACTACTCACGTTTCTTGCCCGCTTCCATACCAGCTCTCTCGGAAATTATTAACGGACTAAAGCCTCGCCAGGTGGCCATTTTGGTACAGCCACGGAATCGGAACGGGAGGCCACCTAACGATGATACCTCATTCGCCGATGACATCGTGCCGCAGTATGTGGACAGCTTTATTCAGCGTCTGCATCAGCTCTACTACAAGTCTGTCATATTCTACGATGTTGAACTCTTCTTTCAATACATCGAAGCGAATCTTCAGGGCGCCATCGAGTGCGTTAATTTGATATTCGACGAGCCATATGAGCTATCCGCACGCATCCAGGAGCGCCGGTTGGCTCACCGACTCAGTCTCTACATTTTCTACTGGGGAGCGCGTACTCCCCCAAAGGCAGACACCCTCCGTTTCGAATCCCCAATGCGTGCGGTGGTCATCACTCGACCCAGACGCAATGCTTTTCGGATCTACTATAACCAGGCGGTGTCCACTGGCGAGAGCAATCTTCGATTGGTCAATTGGTACGATGCGGATAACCTGGGACTACAGAGGGTTCCGCTGCTGCCCAGTGCGGCAACGATATACTCGAACTTTCAGGGACGGGTCTTCCGGGTGCCCGTCTTCCATGTGAGTAATACTTGTGTGTAAAACGTAAGTAGTAAGTAAGAGTAATACTAGCTGTCGAACCACTTAAAAGTTTTAGGTTAAAACAACTACAAATATGCAAAAGAATAATTAAAGAATACTTGTACTCGTATTAACCTCTTAAAGATATTATTCCTTTTTCTACTCAATTTCGACTAATAACAAGAATGGCAGGCCCAACTCTTAAACATCCCGTACCCATTACACCTCCAGAATTTGTTTAATCTCCCTTCTTGGACTAAGGAGAGTCATCATATCGACCTGTCTTGGCATGCTGATGAAAATTATATTTATTTTGTGGGGTCTGCCACGCCCCTTCTATGTGTTATGTGTACATTCGCACTAAACTTGGACGTATACTCTTTTACAGGATAATAATAATAATTCGATAGTCGGATTCAGATAATAATTCGAGTTTCCATTGCGCATGAATTCTTGGCTTGAATCGACTTTCTAGTTCGGCCGTGTAGATAAATATACGATCAATATACATATATCATGTTTATAGAGCTAAAGCTGAAGTCCAAATAGCAATTTGAAGTATTAGTTATATTTATTTCTTTTGCCAGTCCCCACCCTGGTTCTGGGTTAGCTACAACAACGAGAGCAGCGAGCCCACGGAACTGGACGAATATACGGATGGCTTTGCTACTGAAGTCCCCTACATTGAGCTGAATGTGACAGGCGGCCGGGATCATCGACTTTTGACGCTCTTAGCGAAGCACATGAACTTCCGATTCGTCTATATTGAGGCACCTGGACGGACGCAGGGATCGTTGCGAGCGGACGATGGGGGCGATAACAATGACAGCTTCACCGGCGGAATCGGTATGCTCCAGAGCGGCGTGAGTTAAGAGGGGGCTTGGGGGAATTCATCAACTCTGAAGCTTGTTGCATATACTTGCATGTACGTTAAAGATGGCAGACTTTTTTCTCGGCGACGTGGGTCTCAGCTGGGAACGGCGCAAGGCCACCGAGTTCTCATTTTTCACCCTGGCCGACTCAGGCGCCTTTGCCACGCACGCTCCGCGGCGACTTAACGAGGCATTTGCCATCATGCGACCCTTCAAAATGGATATCTGGCCATATCTCATACTGACCATTGTGTTCTCGGGACCCATATTCTATGGCATCATAGCCATTCCCTACAAATGGCGACGTCGCGAACAACCCCCTGCACAGATGGATGTGGAACGAATGGGCGAATTAGGAGTTTATTTGGCCTACATTAAAGAGATAACGCCATGCACGGTGGCCAAAAAGCGGCAGCCGCCCACCGAGTTGCCACAAATGCCGCAGCAACTTTTTGAACGTTGCATTTGGTTCATCTTGCGATTGTTCCTCAAGCAATGTGAGTCTGAAAATTGAAAATATTTTTAAAGGCACAAAGGTTGTACAGAATCGAAAAGCAGAGACTCAAATAATTTACAAATGAACGAGGGTTCCTGAAAAGACACCAATTATGGCAAACAATTATATTAATGACCGAAAACTAGAATGTAAACTAAAAGTTGGATTTCTTTTTCCGAAAATCGTCCAATCTTTCCAACTATTTTGCAATATAAGGTTCCTGAAAAGACACCAATTATGGCAAACAATATTAATGACCGAAAACGAGAATGTAAACTAAAAGTTGGATTTCTTTTTCCGAAAATCGTCCAATCTTTGCAACTATTTTACAATATAAGGTTCCTGAAAAGACACCAATTATGGCAAACAATTATATTAATGACCGAAAACTAGAATGTAAACTAAAAGTTGGATTTCTTTTTCCGAAAATCGTCCAATCTTTCCAACTATTTTGCAATATAAGGTTCCTGAAAAGACACCAATTATGGCAAACAATTATATTAATGACCGAAATCTAGAATGTAAACTAAAAGTTGGATTTCTTTTTCCGAAAATCGTCCAATCTTTGCAACTATTTTACAATATAAGGTTCCTGAAAAGACACCAATTATGGCAAACAATATTAATAACCAAAAATTAGAATGTAAACTAAAAGTTGGATTTCTTTTTCCGAAAATCGTCCAATCTTTGCAACTATTTTGCAATATAAGGTTCCTGAAAAGACACCAATTATGGCAAACAATATTAATAACCAAAAATTAGAATGTAAACTAAAAGTTGGATTTCTTTTTCCGAAAATCGTCCAATCTTTGCAACTATTTTACAATATAAGGTTCCTGAAAAGACACCAATTATGGCAAACAATATTAATAACCAAAAATTAGAATGTAAACTAAAAGTTGGATTTCTTTTTCCGAAAATCGTCCAATCTTTGCAACTATTTTACAATATAAGGTTCCTGAAAAGACACCAATTATGGCAAACAATATTAATAACCAAAAATTAGAATGTAAACTAAAAGTTGGATTTCTTTTTCCGAAAATCGTCCAATCTTTGCAACTATTTTGCAATATAAGGTTCCTGAAAAGACACCAATTATGGCAAACAATTATATTAATGACCGAAAACTAGAATGTAAACTAAAAGTTGGATTTCTTTTTCCGAAAATCGTCCAATCTTTCCAACTATTTTGCAATATAAGGTTCCTGAAAAGACACCAATTATGGCAAACAATTATATTAATGACCGAAATCTAGAATGTAAACTAAAAGTTGGATTTCTTTTTCCGAAAATCGTCCAATCTTTGCAACTATTTTACAATATAAGGTTCCTGAAAAGACACCAATTATGGCAAACAATATTAATAACCAAAAATTAGAATGTAAACTAAAAGTTGGATTTCTTTTTCCGAAAATCGTCCAATCTTTGCAACTATTTTGCAATAGCAGCTTGCAACGAGTTATATCATGGATACCGTGCCAAATTCCTTACAATTGTATACTGGATAGCGGCCACCTATGTTCTGGCCGACGTCTACTCAGCCCAACTGACCTCACAGTTCGCCAGGCCGGCTCATGAGGCTCCCATCAATACACTGCAGCGCCTTCAGGTAGCAATGACCCGGGAAGGGTACAAGCTATATGTGGAGAAGGAGAGCTCTTCGCTGGAGATGCTCGAGAATGGAACTGAAATATTCCGGCAGCTGTACGCTCTAATGAAGAAACAGCAGCAAGGGGACCAAACTGACTTTCTTATCGATTCGGTGGAGGCGGGCATAAAACTGATAGCCGATGGCCGGGAGAACAAGGCGGTGCTGGGAGGACGCGAAACCCTTTTTTTCAACATACAGCAATACGGGGCAAAAAACTTTCAGCTCAGCCAGAAACTCTACACGCGCTACTCCGCGGTGGCTGTACAAATTGGTTGCCCCTTTCTCGACAGTCTCAATGATGTGTAAGTATAAAGGGACTCTCTGGTGCACAAACCGACTAAGACTAAGACCTTTACCCCATACAGGCTCATACATCTCTTCGAAGGTGGGATCCTGGACAAAATGACAACGGCTGAGTACGAAGCACAATCGCGGATGATCAGCAAGGAACTAAATGCTCCGCCAAGCAAGCGGCACTCCAAGCAGTCCAAGGAGCTTGCCGCTGCTGTGTCTGCCGCCGCTGAGGATGGGGCTACCAATACCAACATCAATGCAAAAAGCAACACCAACAACGAGGCCAAGACAGAGACAGCACAAAGAGCGCAGGACAGCGAGATGATACGCGCCCTGAACCTGCGAATGCTGCAAGGAGCATTCATCGCCTTACTTGTTGGCTTTCTCAGTGCAGGTGAGCTTGTGAAAGGTAAAACGCTATTGCCGGCCATCAAAAAATATCGATTCCCTGAACAGCTGTCATGCTAATGCTGGAGCTGTTCTGCTGCCGCTTGGATATGGGACCAGTTCTGGCACGCTGGCGAATTTATTTGCAACAACGCTGGCGCAGCTGTAGAAGGCGCCTTTGCCGCTTGACGCGTCACTTGGCCGTGCGAATCTTTGCTTTGCATTTGGGTTAAATAGCTTGAAGTATCATAGTTTCATAAAAATGCTTGCCCAGTTTGGAAGAGTCTGCAATTTTCGAAAGGCATATACATAGAAAATGCAACCGTTTTGCGACTTAATCCAATTTCCCCTTTAGAAAGACATGCTTAAGGAGGTCATGAGGAATTTAATTATACAACGAATTAGTTCACCATTTTCAATTAAATCAAATCATTTAAAATGTTATATGCAAGCAAAACAGGGGTCATAATTTCGAAAAGCTCAAATTTAAACAATTCGTTGTTAAATATTTATTCCTTTAATGTTTATAAAATAAATATAAACTGTTTTTACACGGTTTTTAAACCGGTTTTAATTTAACACGGTTTGAAAATTAAATATTTTATAAATGTATTGTTACCCGACTTAATTCCATTTAGCACGATTTAAAATAAATAAATAAAAACACACACAGCTGGCAAACAGCTAGAAACCATTCTTATGTGGGTCGGTTTGGACTTTACAAATGTGATAAATCCTAGTTTTTTCACTGCTTTTAATAAGTTTGATGATGTCTTTTTTAAACGTTTTTTTCTGGAACCAACCTGCCGTGTAATATGAGAATTAGGTGTATTTAAATTTTCGGTACTATTCTGCTATTCTACAAAAATTAATAAGTCTAATGCAAACAGCTTTTAATTTGAAAAATTTGGCATAATCATAATTCATTTTTAAATTAGAGTTTACAAGTAAATGTGCTGAACCGTGTTTCTTCTCATCGTTGTTTGCTTTGGAATAATTAATGTGCACTCTTCAAAGAGACGCTAACCAAATGCTATAATAAATTTGCAAATGTGCGACCATAGGTGACGTCCATTAATACACCAAAAGGTTTGCGTCTTAAGTCTTTTGTTTTCGTTTTCCTCGCGCTCTAAACAGTGCCCCAGTTTCTTAAGCAACCAACAAAGTTTTGTAATAATTTCTTATTTCCTTTTCGCCAACACCTGTGGCAACAATAACGAAACCAAGCCCCGGGCGATGTGCCGGAACAGTAGCAGCAGTGGCAACAACAACAATAATGACAACAGCAACAAAAATTCCAAGTCTGTCTCTTTGCCCTTAAAACATACAATGCCAAAAACAATTTTCACGCTGTAATTAAGCAAAAAGTCAGCACGCTGGAGCACAAAATTGAAACTACGTCGGCGTCAGTCTGAGCGCCAAAAAAAAAAAAAAAGAGAAAAAAAACATAAAAAGCACAAAATTAACTTTTACTTTGGCGCTGGCATCGCAGCTACGGTCATGGTTGAAAAGAAAGTGGTTCTAGCCAGTTTGCTGTCGTTTTTCCTACAGCATCATCAGCTTCCTGGACATCTGGACTGGCATCATTACCATGCGTTTCAAGTGACAGATGCCGCGAAAGTCCATTGCATGTTTTCTTAACAGCCAAGCCACACACTCGTAAGTCGGTATGTACTCGTGGTATATAGACAAGACACGTTCAGCTTGGATTCGATTTCGGTTCGATTTGGTTTGGTTTGGTTTGGTTTCAAGAATCCCATACATCATTGTCATCTTGGACAGCATACGTCCACAGCTACAGCTTCAATGCGACTTAAATGTGTGAGAGTTTTCAGTTTCGTTTGCTACAATTTACCTTGAGGGATGTTGTTTTATTTGTTGTTGTTGTTACTGTTGTTGTGCTGACGGAATATAAAACGGAACGCCCTAAGGCCATAACGGGCAGTACAACCGTTACTAATTATGTTTAATTTCTACTTTGCTTTCCTGATAATAATTGTTAGAGCTCTACAACGTGTTAAAACAGCATACCAACCTTGGCTAGAAAGTCTCCATAATAATGATGAAATATTCATATTAAAAGACACGAATTGAAGACTACTCTGATTATTGTAATATCGAACTGTTTGATACAGTCAGTGATCTCTGAAACTGACACAAATATTGTGACAAATGACAGTTTCGATCGGATTATACAAGTACAATTATTATTATCCTAACTTCCATTTAAATAGTATTTCTTACACTGTCCGCGTATTATCTTAAGGTGGGTTTAAGCGCCAAAGTTGGCCTTACAGCTATAGTCCATATAATGTGCCAACTATCTGAAGGTAATTTGTTTGCTTAGTGCTGTTGTAATTGGGGCGCAAAAATGGGCAAGCACTATAAAAGAAACTTGTAGCTGCTTACGCGCCTCAGTAATTTTCACAGCCATATCATCGTGGCACAGCATTGAGGTTGTGGCCCAGAAAACGTTAGACCTTAGACATACATATGATTTATGTACATAGTTACGAGTCTGTCGTATATAAAGTCTATTTTCCATGTGCTGCTTAGCGGCTTGTAACGTCCCGTTGGCTACACATGGCTTGTAATATACTATATCTATGTGTGAGACCAAGATTGATTGTGTAGCGCTTTTCAAAATTGTTGCCAAAACTTAAATGTGGCGTGAAAAATTGTTTTGTTGCCATTTTTGCGCAAGCCCATGCAAAATGCATCCGCCCGCAACGAAACGCAATTAAATTACAGGCTTGCATATGTATATTAACATATATGTACATACAAACTAATATACACTATGTATAGTATCTATATGCCAATGACCACAGTGCGTATGATTGTTGTTATGGAATTCCACAAAGGCTGCAACTGCAACGTTAGTTTGGAAAATTTGATGGCCTCGAGGCGCCGCGTCCGAGCTGCAAATTAAAAACACACTTTGCCATGCAATTGAATGCAATGAGGAACGAGGCAAACGATGATGGGTTATGATCATGCGGCGGCCAATCCAGATCCGAGCGAAATCAAAAGTCATCATAATCAACAATTTAAAAATATTAGTTTGCACAAAATGCGAACAAGACCCACACTTCGACGGCTGTCAGTAGTGATAGTGAACTTGATTTGGGGCCAATTTTCTCTTTCATTGGCAACAGTAGCCACAGCAGCCGGTTCGGCATCGACCAAAAGTATGTTAGCACCAAAGTAAAAACTGCAACAATGTCTACACTAGGCACTGCATTTCATGTTCAGGAGCTACGGCTATACAATTGCATACAAGTGTGTATATTCTATATGCATATAGGAATACGACTATCATTAAGACATAAAACATATTTAAAAACGCTGATTTCATAATTTTACATAAAGTGCTGTTCTATTCCAATTTATTTCCAAAATTGTTTTAATTGTAATTGATGTTGTCTATCATATACTGATGTTTGATTATAAATTATTATATGTAATAAAAATATATACATGTAATATAAATACATATAAACATGTATATGTAGTAAAAATTATAAACACTAACTTTCTTTAATATTGATCCTTACAGATCGAATTGAAATGAGCATAGTTTTAACATTAGAGTATATTTTCAGGAAATCCTAACACCTTACATTTCGTATGCATTTATACCAGCGTCCCTTTAAGGTTTTTATCTTAGATATTCATATAAATACTACACTTTAAAGGTGCGACTCTTTCTTATTGTTAATTAAATAGTATTTGATATATGCCTTATATTTTAATATAATTGACTCATTGTTATTATTAATTAATAGGCTTTGTAAATATTTAGAAAATTAATTTAAAATCTGGCTTATAAAATATCTACTTAACTTGCTCATTCCTTTGGACTTGCCTCCTATTTTCAGACGATTTGCAAGTTTAAGTTCCTGACTACCTTTTTTGAATCAGTACTTAAACTGGAACTAGTGCAATGGTGTTCACTAGTTCAATTAACCGTATGGTTGTCAGGCGCATGCAAAAATGCCAATTAATGACGCGTCTGCATGCAAGCCTGTGTACGTGTGTATATGTATGTGTGCTTAGACATTGCAGACCGGCACTGTTTTTTACAAAGAATCTGCAACGCAGCCGCCGCGCATTGTCAACAACAACAACGACGACGATGGCGCACTTTCTAATCTAACCCACAAGCCGCCGCCATCATCAGTAAAGATTTTAAGTCTATATAGTGGGGCCAAATAGAGATTTCATGCATGAAAGACTATTTTGTTTCAAAGATGGAATATTTTGAAAATAGAAACTGAGAACAGTGTACCTGTTTGAAAAAATAGTATGCGTAAGTAGGACCAATATCTCTTTTAGCTTATACTGCCCATATGTTTTGATGCAATAAATACAATAAAAAATGTATACTACTAGACATTCAAATGTCAGCAACTCTGCATGCAATAAAACCGAAAGCGACCACTGTGAGCTACCTGGCCACAAATTTTGGCTCAGATGCTGTCTTTTGGAAAAATCGGCAGACTGCGGCTGACCGGCTTTGCTATTTTTAAGCACACTTTTCTTTTTCTTTTTTTTTTTTTGACCCCAGCCATGGTGGCGGATGCGCTTGCCACTTTCGTAAAACGCGCGCTTTTGGCATCACGCTTGAAATGCGGAAAATAGCGAGAGTGAAAATTCGTTTCTGCCATAAATTAACTGTAAATATGAAAAGCGACGATGAGAATGGCGCGTAAGTTTGTAGCTTACGTCTTTTGTAGACGAAGCAAAAAAGAAAAGTGAAATTTAACGCTACTTGCCTGCTTTTGTTTGTATTTTGTTATGCATGTACATACTTACTTATGTATATAATTCTAATAAAAAAATATATTTTAACTCAGTTCATTTACATGCGATGCGCAAGCGCTTGGAACAAATTAACAAACCAGAGCCGCAAACTACATACATATGTACATATGTAAGTACAATTTGTCTGCGAAAACAGCAACAAAAGCTAAATTTCTCCTGCTTGCTTTGCGCACGCATTGAAGCTGATTTAGTTGTAGATGGTTGAGGCAGCAGTTGTTAATTGTATTGCCGTTTTGAAAGTGTGTGTGCTCGCAACAACAATATTCGTGAACTTAATTATAATAACAGCAGCGCAGACACCAAACAGCAAATCGTGTTTCAAATGCGCCAGACAAACATTAAACATTGAACATTGTGAAATGGCAACAACAGATGTTGAAGTAAGTTTTAACCAAAAAATTAATGCAATGATGTGCAACCGAGCGTGCAACATGAAAATGTTGTGTGCTTGCTTGGGCTAACTTTACCGTTGGCCCAAGCAGAACGTTGAACTACTTTTATTATGAAAACGCCAAACCCGTAATGAATTTGCAACACACATAAATATGCATATAGTTAGATACATATGTAAGTATGTATATAGACATTCGTATACATTGCATATGTATATGTACATACATATAAGTAATAACTTTTTGACTATCTTTAATTGCCTTTGCTTCTTTGTGTTGCAACAGTGCGCTCCAAAAGACAAGACGTGCCAAAAAAAAAAAAAAGTAACACAATTAAAGCGTGTGGCTAATGTTGGCTTTTCTCAAGCTTTGGCCATTGTACTTAGTAATTTTTACAATATACGTGTATGTACATATGTGTATATACTTATTCACGAGTATATTTGTACATGCAAGGTATGTTTGGCTAAGCAAAACAAAAATGCAATTAATTTTTGGCAAATTAAAAAAAAAAAAAACGTTTTTTAACGTACGTTTTTTGAATGCTATGGAGCGTTACATTTATATACTATTAATATGTATAAGTATATGTACTATGTACGTGTATTTACATCCAAATAAACTAAACTCAACCAAATTAAACAAACATACACTAGCAGCTAAGAATTGCTTTTTCTCTTTCGACATTGTGCTCAATTTCAAATAGACTTCTATAGGAACTACTAAACACCAAATTACTTTGGTAACTACTGAAAGCTAGGGCATATAGTGCAATATATACTATGTACATATATATACTATGTATGTTCTTTCTTACTTATGTACAAATATGATGGTGATAATCAGGGCAAGTTATTTCAAGAAAAGTACAACATACATACATATATGTATGTATGTACATATATTCATATGTAGGTGTATTGTCCATGTTCGCAACTGTTTAATACTTGTACTTTGTGTTGGTTGTTGTTGCTGCATCGCACTTGCAAAACTGATTTCTGTATTTTAAAAATCCTAGAATGCCAAGTTCGTCTAGTTATTTTAATTGAATTAATTTAAATTGAATCAGGCGAAATATATAAAAATCTAGCCTCAGTAGAATTAAGTCTTCTACTCTACTAACTATTTTTTTTTTAGTTTGTTAGGTCTATAGTGTAACTGACCACAAATGGCTGGTATAGTTGGCCAAATGGCAAATAAAATTCCTCCAACGTGCCGGAGGCCTTAATAGACATTATTATTTTATAGTTATAGGCTTTCTTATTTTTTAAGTTGAAATTAGAACATAATATTCTATACCTTTATTGTAATGTAATATAAAACATCTTAAATTAATCTGTATCGACAACATAAATTGTTGATTTTTTAAATAAATAAATAAATAACAACTTTTCATTTCAAAAAAGGTGAAAAAATTGTTAAAGCCCCAATAATTTACATTATGCAGTATTTTTTGTATTCTTCAAAAGATTATAAAAACCAAGTTTGAAGTTGATCGGTGGAAAAATGAAAATTGTTCAAACAAACTTTGGAAAGGATACATGAGTCCAAATTTCAGCTTCCTATCTTTTACCGTGCGGTCTACGTTGATCACCAATCAATCAGAAAATCAATCAATTTTAACAAAATTAAATTTAAAAAAGGGCAAATTCTTGAATAATTAAAAAAATTAGCAATACAACTTTACTAACCTTGACAGTAACTATTTTTAGGTACATATAAATCCGCATTTTCTATAATGTCAATGGTTTCGAGTTTATGGGCCCTTTTGACACTCACAAGCGTGCGGCGACATCGTCCTATGGTTATCGAAGCATTACAGTTCTCCAGCACTATTTTTCGCTATCTCTCTTCAAAGTTCGTGTCGTCACTTTCGATCTTGCTACTCACACGTTTCGTGAGCAAACGGCCAGCAATATTGTTATTGTTTTGACGTCTCATGCGTTGTTTTTGTGCTGGAATATGTCAGAGAAAGAAAAAACAATAATGAAGTGTTTCTTTCATTCCAAACAAACTAAATTGTTAAATTAAATTTCTTTAGAATAAAGAAAATATATTAGTAACAAGTTTATTTATTTGTAAATTATTCCGCCTCAAAATATATACACACCAGCATACCATCATACAAATTTCACACATACAATTATGTACAATGTACATACATACATACATATGTGTAACATAATGCCTGCCTGGCAGCAACAAGCGCTCGACCCATTCCGGTCAGCTCTCAGAGGCCTATACAAGCTGGACTCTTCAAAGAGCCAGTGGAGAAAACCAAAAACGTAGGAATCAGGATATGATGTAGCCTTTGTCTGACATAGAAACCACTCCATGCATATAAGTTTTTATTAACCTTTATGCAAATGCGTTTATCAATTCGCTTACCCAGCCAGCTCAACCTATTTAAAAACTACTATAAAGGTAGTTCATGATCTGATGTCTGTTTTCAACAAATTTTGTATAATTTCATTCTAATATAAGCCCAAGTATATCGTAGCATGAAGCAAATATAATTACATTTTTCTGGTGCCATATCTTAGTAGACGATTTTCATAATTGAAAAAATGATGTAATCGTCCAATAAGTAACAGCCACATCATCAGGAGTGGTAAAACACTTTCAAAACTCTTCAATAGTTCGTGTCTCATCCTAGACACAGGTAAACATTTGAAAGAAAAAAACGCTAATTATATTATAAATAAGATCTTCAATATACTTTAATAAGACTTCATTTTAATCTAAGAATCAGGCTTATTTTCTTCAACTAAGCTTTCAGCCCCTAAAGTATTTCTTAAAGTGTTAGTTTTCATACTGTTCTGATGTCTGCTTTCAAGTAATTCGGTGAAGAGTTTTCATTCCATGAGCCCAGGATATTTCAAATTTTTAAAATATCTAATCTACACATTAATTATTAAGTTAGAACAACCACATCACTAAGAAATGTAGCCCTCCATCTTTTTTTATGTTTTCTGATTTTAATAACTTTAAACAATAAATATTTGATAAGAGGACAGTTCGTATTTTATCATAGACACAGATGAAATTTTGAATAAAACTAGATTTATCTGAATTAGATCTAATTCTTTAATGAAACTCCATTTAAATCTAAAGATCTAAAATATGGTATGTTAATTCTTCCGGTGTTTAATAACGTTGTTAACGTTGCCCAATGCTGATCGAGTTGTTGTTAACATTTATGTTACTGTCGCTTTGTTGACCAGCTACGGCTCCAAAGTAGAACAAAGCGAGAATTATGAATAGCTTCATGATGATCTGATGTCTGTATTGAACTATTTCGCTACAAGAGTTTCCATTTCAATATAAGGCCAAATGTTCGCACCATGAAGTTTTCTTTAATGAATTTTTTCCGCTGACGTAAAAACCTAACTCTCTAAATATTTTTATATAATAATGCTAGCAATAACCATCATAGAACTTTTAAGAATAAGAAAATGTTTGAGATTGTAGCGAGCTTAAGGTACAACTTCTTCGTTTGATGTCTTTTTGAAATTGTTTCACTATCGGTACCAAAAGTTTAATTTTTGACTATTTTGGTTTGAATTCTTAAGTATCACCACTAATTTATATGCCTATCTCTCCAATACGTAGAAAACCAAGCTGTTCATAGTATGCAAATATTATTTTTCTATATGTCCTTTCTTTATTTCTTATTACAAAAAGACCTCTCAAATCTTATGAAAGATGGTTTAAAATCCCTAAAAGATATTGATACTGCCAAGGCCAATAAGAAAAAACTTATAATTTTAGGTCTTCAACGTTGCCCAATATTAATGTTGTTGATGTTGGTGCTGTTGTTTACTGTACCAGCTTGACCGCCTATGGCCCCAAAGCAGAGTAAAGCGAGAGCAAAGAAAAGCTTCATGTTTCAACGTCTATATCCAACAGGTAACTGAAACAGCGAAATAGTCACAATGTGTATAATCTATTCTTCACGCCAACACCGATATCGTAAAACTTTAAAATGATAAGATTTTAAATAGGTTAAGGTGATAAAAAATCAAATATTCAAAAAGCTGAAATCAATTGGTCCTCGGCGATGCCTAAAACCATTTCTATTGCGAGAAGATTTGTATTTGAGTTTAGAGTTACATCACAGCTTTTATATAAGATCATATAAATAAAGTTGTTTTGAAATGTGATGCAACAACGACAAATCATTTAAAATGATTTGATTATAAATAAATGACATCTTCGAAAACAGCCCATATTATAATCGTTATAAGGTTTGCGAAAGTTCCTTTTAATAATCAAATGAAAATATTATAATCGTTATAAGGTTTGCGAAAGTTCCTTTTAATAATCAAATGAAAATAAAATGGATATGCCAATAAGATACCTATCCTAACTTCAGTTTTTCAGAGACTAAGAAAACAAGTCTTACCCATACACCTTTCCAGAACTCAAACATGGGTAGTAATTGCTTATTTAGCCTGGAAACCAAAAATGGCCTTTATTTCATCAGCACCCAGCTTAAAAATCCCAGTTACAGTTATGGGCTGCGCACTTTTGTTGACCAAAAAAATCGAAATACAACAAACGAGTACAATAAAAGAGCGGCGTCCAGTACCAATACCTAACCCTAATTTAAGTTTAAAAACTAAATGAACTATTTGCTTCACTATCGTCATAAACAAAAGCGTTATTCGACTAACAGTAATTTCCCATCGATCGTTTCTATTGCAGCTATACAACTTAATAAATTTCAGATAAGACATTGATTTTGATAGCAAAAGAACATTTCAAACTATAAAAATATATGAATTCAAAGCAAATATTGTACAACTAAATTCGAAAAACCTTATTACATATATATTTAATTCTTGGACAAACCTTATATTATTTACATTGTGCTTATAAAATGATCGGGATCAATGCTGGAATAAATGTGACCCTCCGAAATCATGAACTCCAAGATTTCACTAAAAATAAAGCAGTAAGCAAAGGTTAACTTTTAGCAAATTAAAAAAAATTAATTACTTACTTTAATTGGGTATCGCTTATGTGCGAGAATTTGCTCTTCAGTTCACGTCGACTGATGCCCTCGTTGGAAACATTTTTCTTAATGGCTTGATAGACAGCCTGCTGTTTATCGTCAAGTCCTGATACTGCAGCATCGCCATCTGTTTCCATCCTAGAGACTCCCATACCCATGCCGCCGACGCCACTGCTCATACCCATGCCGCCATCGTCTTTAGCCTTGAACTCTTCTATCTTGTAGCGCATAAGCAACGCCTCCAGCAGATGAGTGGACAGCTCATTCGCATCCGTGACGGGAGTCAAGCTAAATGCCATTATAGTTTTCTGGCCCCCCTGACCACGTACAGTACCAAATATTTTCATATAATTGTTCACCATTAAGTCGGGCGCTTTTAATGCATCGCCTTCTTCCAGCCATAAATGTACATTAATGCGTCCAGTATGATCCTCCACCAAGTACGTGATTTTCGTGGAAGACGTCTCTATGTCGCGCAAAATCCCCACAATGCAAACCATGCCAAATGTTTGACCAAACATGGAAAAATTAGAATCGGGCGATTCGTTGACCTGCCTTATTAGCACAGATGCAACTCCCTAAAATTGTATTTCATTAGATATCAGTTGCAAAACTACTTGTAAAACTCTCACATACCTCTGACTTTGGTTCAGAAGCGGCGCCGCCAGTTGCCGTTTGAGTGGCATTGAAATCACCGACTGCAGGAAGAGTAATTATTAATAATAAAGTATTCTCTATTCAATCCTTAAATAACTTACACGAATCATTCATTTTGCGAAAAATTTTATATAAATATTACGAATTGCGTTGCAAATTTCACAACTAATCTTCCTAAAAGCCGGATTCCCGCCAAATGCTGATTAACTTTAGGCGAGATGCCAACTCATAGTAAAAGCCAGCTGTTCGACAAGCCTCCGAAGTTATATAGCAATGAGCAATGTATGTATTTAAAGATAAGTAGTTAAACGTTGCAATTTATGGCACCAATAACTAATTTAATTATATTCATTATAAAACAAAGTTTATCAATGTTATTATTTGCAATATTATTGTGATTTTGAATTTAAAACTGCCTTTGCTTTTGCACTTTTATCAGCAGAAGGGCAAATATCAATATTTAGGCAATTTGTGCAATTCGGCCTAACAGGTGTACAAATAGTTTGACCAAAGCCCACAAATAAATGATTAACTTCCGACCAGAGTTCACGGGGCAACCAGCTTTCCAAAGTTGCTCTCGTTTGCTCGGGTTCCTTTGATTTCGACCACCCCAAACGATTGGAAATTCGATGAACATGAACATCGACACCAATGCCAGTCACCTCATTCCAAGCAGTTGCCATGCATATGTGTGCCATTTTTGGACCAACGCCGGGTAAAGCAATGAGTTCCTTGACATTATTTGGAATGTCTCCATCGTATTTGTCGAGCAATATCTGTGCCGTTTGTTTGAGGTACTTGGATTTGTTCTGTTCAAGAAAATGGAATTAAAAATAAAAGTTCAACTAGTTTTAAAGCGTTCTTCTACCTTATAGAAGGACACTGGATGTACAAGCTGCTCCAAATCGTTAACAGGCATGGACAAAATATTAGCAGGTGTTAGCGTCCGAGCTTTTAAACGATTCATAGCTTGAAAGGTGGTCTCATCCTTGGTTTGGCTGGACAGCATAAGGGCGACTAATTTATGAAACCTTTGAGTCTGTTGAGGTTTGATTATTGCATTAAAACGAATTAACGATAATTTCAAATTTATATATACCTTATCATCTGCATTTTCATCGGCGCATTGATGACAACCCATAGTATCTACGGGCGCAGCACTTTTTGAACGCATTAATCGTATATTTTCCAAGTGTTGATGCCACCAAATAGTTGGACCCAACTTCTTCGTTTCTTTGAGTTCTAATACTGCATCTGGAACTTGACTTTTAATTATATTAGCTTCGCTTTTAATAACAGATGCAACATTGGGGATCAAAGCCTCACATTCGGTTGGTTCGGTTTTAACACTAGCAATTAGAGGCTTAGAATCTTGTAGTTCTTCAATTTTCACCAATTTGGAAACTGAAGTAGCTTGCATAGTTTGATTTTTAAATTCACTTGCTTCGATTTTGATATTAGCTGCAGCGTTTGGATTAAATTCTTGTACTACATCAGAGCACCGAACCAAACTGGGCGGTTCATTTTTCAATAATTTTTTCTTAAACGCAAAAACATTGACCGTCGTAATTTCGACCGAGTTGTCGCTAGATTGGCGTTGCTTTTTAGTGGGTACTTCTTTTCTCGCAGCTGTAGCTGTTGCATTTTGTTGCCGTTGTTTGCGGGTTTGTATGGGTGAAAAGTAGCGTCGAGCATTTTCAGCATCAGGCATCAAGTCTTCGATGTCCTTTAAATATACACAAACTGTAAAAGCAACAAATAATTAAAGCGTTTACTTACCTGTAAGTTTTGCTCCTGTTTGCTGACAACAAAGTCCGGCTTAATTATTTTTGACTGTTTGGCCAAACTACGAGCTAATGATATTTTTTCTGTTTTCTTGCTCATTTTGTGTAATATTCGAAACATTCACAAATCGTAATTTAAAAACACAATTATTACGCATTTCCTTTAGCGCCGCAACCGTCAGCTGATTGTCTATGCCGCACAAGCTATCTGTATTACGATAGTTTATTTGTGTATTATTTATCGATAAACACTAGTCCCTTTCCGTTTCTGCTGGGTTTGAACTTTTCTCTGACTTGCAGGTTTTCCTATTTCTCTTCACTTTGGATGCATGAATTTATTTCATTTTTTATTTATTTATTTTTTCAACGGTAATGCAACATTACAAAAAATATGTATATATAAATATATATATATATATATAGTATGTATGTATGTATATTCACAGAGTAAACTCGTATAAGTACATAGGTACGTGTGTATAGAGGTACAACAAATTATTGCTATTTTCATTTGTTCTTAAATATGGAATAATGTACATTTAAACATATTGAGCTACTCCAACCTTCCTTGTTGCGTCCTTTCCTCATGAGCCTGTGGAAACCAAATTTAATATTATTAAGAAAGGGCTTTAAACTTTTTCACTTGCCTCCTGCGCCATTTTAAGTAAATGCTCAAAAGTCGCCTTTCCCGTCTGCATAACCATACCATAAAACACCTTATTTTTGGAGTTTGTCAAAAGCTCATAGGGCGTATCAAATTCGACCACATGCCCTGCATCCATTACCATTATCCTATCCGAGTCCATTACCGTATGAAGACGATGGGCAATGGTTAGAACTGTGCAATCCTTGAACTTCTTTCTAATCGTTGTCTGTATTAAGGCATCAGTTTGAGGATCCACATTAGCCGTAGCTTCATCCATTACTAATATACGATTCTCACGCAGAATTGCGCGTGCCAAACAAACTAATTGACGCTGTCCAACGCTGAAGTTGGAACCACCTTCTGAAATGTGGCTTTGCAAGCCGGTGGGCAACTCTGAGATCGCATCTTTTAAATGCACCTGGAAAGCGAAAGGTTTTCAAAAAAATTCTAGGAAAAATATTTTATTACATACCTCATCCAAAGCCTCCCACAACTTGGCATCGGGATACTGTTCGAATGGGTCCAAATTGTACCGCATAGTGCCAGAGAATAAGACTGGTTCCTGAGGAATTATGGAGATCTTACTACGCAGATCATGCAAGCCCATTTCCTCAGTGTCGCGCTTATCAATTAATACGGAACCATCATTAAAGGACAAGCGAAACAGTGCATTTATAAGAGAAGATTTTCCTGCACCAGTTCTTCCCACGACGCCCACTTTTTCACGCGCTTTGATGGAAAAGTTTAGCGATTTCAGTACACACTCAGTCTTGGGATCGGGACTATATCTCAGACTTAATTCATCGGCCACAACTTCACCACTTTCGGGCCAGCTAGCTGGAGGTTGCTTGCCCGCTGGCGATTCGAATTCGCCTTCTGGTTCCAAATTTTTATACTCCACTACACGCTCCACGGAGGTCATAGAATTCTCCAACTCTGCCGACTGCCGCATGCCCCATTGCACCATACCAGTCATGGACATGGCCTGTGTAATGGCCAGTCCTATTTGTCCTGGACTTGTTGGTGGAGTTATAAAATTATTCACAATTATGATGACCACATAAATGATGCAAAAACAATCCAAATAGTAGCCAAATGCGCGACTTGTCGAAAGAAATGTATAGTATCCAGAACTATGCAAATCCTGATAGTTATCATACTCGGCTATCAGCATTTTCTGTGCTCCCAAAGCTCGTACCGTTGACAGACCATTTAAAGTGGCGCCCAAATGGGAGTACATCGGGGAACGTGCCACTGCCTCCAGACGTTTCACATTCCGGGACGTGTTCAGATAAAACTCGCGTATGTAATAAAACGATAGTAACATCAAAATTGTGTTGATCAGGTACCAAGGATTTGTAACACATAGCACCATAATAATACCCGCCAAAGTGAGAAACATCTGTATGCAGTCTATCATAACCAGTGGCAGGACTTCATCCACCTGACCCAGATCCATGGAGAAGCGATTGAGTATTCGTCCGGACGGATTTGTGTGAAAGAAATAAAGGGCAGCACGGGAGACCGCACGGAACATAGTATTGTGTAAATTGGTTGAGGAGTGCATTGCCACATTAAAGAATAGGAATGTGCGCAGCAATGCCAATATAATAATCGCTCCATTAATGGCTGTGAAGTACCAGATGTCCACCGTCTGATCCTCTTGATTGTTGTTTTTAACCCTGAAATAGTAATGGGATTCGTTATAAAATTCTACAAATTCTAGAAAATGCAGACAAAAACCCCATTCACTTACCAATACGAAACAAAGTAATCTCCGCCCGAAGCCATCACCTGAGTAGCTATGCAGAGGAATAGCATTATCGCGAAAGTTACAAAACCACTGCTGCTGAAATACTTTTGGTACATCCCCAAACCGATTTGGCCGCCTCCGCGTACTTCTTGAACTTGATGGGCTTCCTTCTTTTCTGATATATCCAGAGAAGAATCCAGAGAGGAGTCCACAGAGGAGACACTGTTCAGACGTTTGCTGCTGCCTTTGCTCTGTTGACTTTCTTGACGTTTGTAATCACCTGCTGCTGCAGAATTTTTCTCGGTTTCTTTCTCCGAATCTGGATTTGAATTTTCATGACTTTGCGCCAGCAATTGCGTAAAGTCCTGGCCACTATTAAGCATATGCTCATAAGTTCCCATGGTTACCTAGGCACAATAAATATAAAAATGTTAAATTATGTTTAATAAAATTAAATAGGATTGTGGGTTAATGTATTTACCTTTCCCTTGTCCATTACGACTATTAAATCAGCATGCTCTAAGAATTGTAGTTGATGGGTAACCAAGATGACTAATTTATGCTTTAGATAGTCCCGAATACAATAATCGAATAAATGGCGGCCTACATGCGTATCTACCGCACTCAATGGATCGTCGAGTAGATAGATATTTGCCTTTCGATAAACGGCACGCGCTAAACTTATTCTCGCCTTCTGGCCGCCCGACAAAGAGGCGCCCCGCTCACCCACAATGGTCTGATCTCCGTAGGGCAACAGTTCAAAGTCCCGATCCAATGCACATTTTTTGACCACAGTTCGATAACGATGCCTATCCATGGCCAATCCGAAAAGTATGTTTTCACGCACAGTGCCCGTAAAGAGCCATGGTTCTTGTGAGGCATATGAGTAACTGCCATGCACCTCCAGCGTTCCTTCTTCGGCAGGCAGCTCGCCAAGTATAGCCTGTATAAGGCTAGACTTTCCAGAGCCCACAGGTCCAATGACAGCCACCAGCTGTTGACGTTTTAACGACATGTTTATATCATCCAATACGGGATCACTGAGGTCCGTATTCCATCTGGCCTTTAAATGCTTTATATCGACACCCACATCGACAGTATCAAGATTTGAGGATATCACTGCATTGCCATTTAAGACTGCTGCTGTATTATTAGCAATCAGTGCTCCAGATTCCTTATTCTTCTCCAGCAACACATCCTCCTCCTCTTCTTCCACATCCTCTGATTTGTCACGCACGTTTGTCTCATCACGCATTAGGAATACCTTGATTCGACGAAGCGATACCAAAAGCTCCGCCAATTGAGAGATGCCCTGGGGAAAGAACTTGGTAACCGTGCGACGCAGAATATTATAAAAGGCAGTCACAAAAAAGGCCTTCTCTGCTGTCAGCTGCTCACCCATTAGCACAAAGCCGACCAGACTGGCGAATATGGCAATGCGTGAGAGTGTGATCTCAAAGGAAAGCAGAACTCCCCGCAAATAGTTAACCTTTCGAATTTCGCCCATTTCACTGCGACGTGCCTGTTCAATGAGTTTTCCAAAGGGTTTCTCCCAGGCGTACATTTTGATAACCTGCAACACAATTATGGAGTACAAGTTAGGAAAATAATCTATTCTGTTGTTCAGGATGGCTAATAATTTCCAATATTTTAAATAACAATACGAGAGAAAATATATGAATATACTTGTACATATCTTACCTGTATTCCCAATATAATTTCATTCATCATGCGAACACGCTTATCGGTTCGCAAAGCTGTACGCATCCGTAGTACAGATGTCAGCTTTCCCAGGTATGTCTGCAGCGGCAAAAAGAGTAGCATTATGGTTATCCCATAAAAGGTGGAGGCGCCAATCATTTGGTACATAAAATACGAGGCAAACAGAAGCTCTAATGGTGCCAGCCAGAGAAAATGTAAATGGATAAGTGCTCGATCAAAGCGCCCCAAATCGTTTGAGATAAGGTTTACAACTTGTCCGGTAGTTGTATCGCCCAAGGCCGTCTTGCTTAATCGTAAAGACTTTCGATAAACCGCGCTACTCATGGCCACTCGCATTTTCATTGCCAGATGCATCATGCCCATCATAAAGGGATGAGTAATTAGGACACTGGCAATGATGCACGTGATCAGACCTGCCGCATAAAGTTGCGTCTTCAGATCGTTTCCGTTCCCAGCTCGGGTAAATTCAGATATAAGTCCAGCCAGAAGAAGCGGCGTGGTAGCTCTGTACAGTCGAACAAAATAAAATTTAGCCAATCTACAAGTACAAAATTGAATATTCAAGAAAAGCACTTACCTGGTCCCTAGTTCTAGAACCGCAAGCAATAGACCCGAAACAAATAATTGAAATCCAAAAACCCGAAAAATTACTTTTACAAGACTGGGTTCTTTTTCATTGCGACGACTCGCCTCTACTTCGGCCTGCCAAGTCTTATAAAGTACATCGCCCAAATTGCTGGCCCTATGCTCAGGCAAGGCATTGTATAAATCAGTCGGCTGCAATGTCTTCTTGCGCCCTTTAAAAAGTATAGGCAGTGCATAACTGTAAAAGACATACAAATAAATGTTTCAAATGATTTTTAAATATTTCATTTCATCGTAGCGATCTCACATAGACCAGCCAGATAGTCCTTGGAGTTGCTTTTATGGATATTAAAGCATACAACTAACACGATCTTGGAGAACTTTATGATTACAAGCTGAACTTTAAACTCCACATCTTTAATATCATAAACAACACCAATAGTGTTATTTAATTCATAAAACGTTGTTCCAAACAATTCAATCATCTCAATAGTACTTAGTTACATAAACTGCAGAGAAATGGGATCGCGTCAAGAAAATCAAAATCAACTCTCAAAAAACTTTTGCCTCTTCTGCTCAACAGATATACAACTGATTACGCGCTGCACAACTCCATTCGGATCTTTCTGAACAAACGATAATGGATATTCTTACATACTTTAAAGAACCGATTAAATTAGAGGTCATAAAAGACATGTTATTGCTCTATAAATATAAATATTAAAAAAGGTATAATCTATGCCCTGCTCTAAATTGTTACTTTCATAGCAATTATACATAAGCACTTTATTCAAAAAAGTAAAATTTAATGAGATGGAGAATACTATATGTCTTCTTTTGATCGAAGATTAATTTATTTAAATAAATAAATTATAATTACATTTCTTTCAAACATAGTACCTTTAGCTCAAGCCTGACATTTGCCATGTTTGAGCATATTTTTTCAAAATAAAACTAACTAGCATAGAGTTCAGTTACTTGGCTAATTACCAGTAACTTCCAGTTGTAGTCAATTCAACAAAAACTGCAATAACTTCTTTGTTTCGGAAACTATTCCAACACAATTTTCAAATTAAGGAAATGGTACTTTTATTTGAGCCAAATCGGACATCTTTATCATATAGCTGCCATAGGATCAGGTTCTTGTGTAACAACTTTTGTTTACCCATATATTGGGTTCGTATTTCGATATTGGTACACTTTTTGTTATACCCAATAGCGATGCAGAGTGGAAGTCAAATTGGACTACCATATCAAAAGGCTGCTGTAGGAATTTTGTGATGTGAGAGTTCTTGAATGAACTACATATTTTTATATGTACATATGTAAAAGCTTCCAACGAATGAAGATTCAGTTAAGCAAAACTAATTAATAATTAACTAATTGAACATCGAAGTATTTTATTGGCTTCATTCAAAAAATATTTCGGAAGCCTTATAGATTCTTTAATTAAGTTTGGCCATCATAGGTCAGGGATTTGGAACGTTATTGGAATTTGAAGTAATCTTATCGTTTTGATTACCAAAAAATTAAACACATGCACACAGATATTAAATACTTATAAAGTGTGTTATGAACATATTTAGTGCGGTATCTATTATATTTCGCTAAAAATGCCTATAGACGTGCTCAGGTAACAAATTCTACAAATCTCACTTGAGCCTTTATAAAAAAAGCCTACTCATTGAATAAACAAAAAACACTCGTTCGCAATTAGCGATAACAAAAAACAGTTTGATTTAACAAATACTACGCAATCCAATTGTCAAACATGTACACACATATTAATTGCAATTATATTAATAATCTAAATTTTTTCATGCATGAAATTAAAGTGAATAAAGAAAATTTATTTTTTGAATTTTGATATTTGGACATCATGAACTTGACACTTTATCTACGATTTCAAATGTTGTGTAATTGAGGAAACGTTTGACTTTTATCTTATCATTATAATAATAGATAGGGCTTGTCAGATTCGAGTTGCAAATTTAAAAGATCACGCGTAATAAAACTGTCTCACAATGTCTTTCTGTTTTATGTCGGCAGGAAATCTTAATATATAAAACAGTCCCACCAAGGAAACAATATATTATTTACTTATTATGCTACACCATTAGCATATAGAATCAATGCTTACCAAAACATAAGCGCAGATATACAGCTTGCCCGTTCGCGCGGATTTGGCGCCAAATTATCTGCTTTCACAGACTGCATTTCGAAACAAACTTTGCCCGATATACTGCAAATTGAAGTTCACTAATTTAATTTATTTAAATATATATTGGGACAAACTGCACTCAATTCTTATCAGTAAATAATAATTGAATAATTGAAGTGGGCGGTATTAATGATTCAAGTTCATAAACATATATTGTTATACATACACACGTACATGTACATCTATGTACATACATATATGTACGTATGCTTACGTATTTTTGAGTGCGTCGGCGCTTTATGTACAACGTTTTAAGTTGTTTTTGTCACACTTGATAAGGCTAACACACACAAAAGCACAGCTGTCCACGAATTACGTTTGTAAACGTTTTACATTACGATAAAGAACGTAATTATATTTCTATGTTCTTATATCTTTGCTTTACAAACAACATTTGCCTTTGCAAACGTGCGCACTTTTCAATCTTGTAGTTACAAATAAGACACTTGCCATCCGTAAGAAACACATTAACGCTCAGCTGCTCAACACAATCTAAATCATGTAGCGAAAAATCAGCTGCTCCAACGTCCACACCGGTGGCGCTTCTAATTGTTTAGAGAGAGAGAGAGAGAGTGCTGCGCTCTCTCTTCCACATGGCGCTCTCATTTCTTATCACTGTTTGAATTTTACAAGTCCTTCTTATATCTTGATTTGACTGTCTGACAAAACAATATTTTCCCTATATAATTACAAGTTATGTAAATGTCAGTTACAGCTCAAATGCAACGGTTCTAATTTAAATTGTCTACAATTTTAGATTGATAAATAGTATTGATTTTGTATAACACTGACTGTAGGATTTTTCAGCACTGCAAACTACTTATTTAAGTTGGTAAATATAGGTCATATTGCCGAATGAATTGTATTGTAGTTTCGTTAGTTTCTTTCAATCGTTCGACGTTTCATTATATTTGTAGCGGGTATTTATACAGCATTGCCTCTTCCTTGACATATTTATCAATATTATGGAAATCATCTTGCAACCCATTTCGCACTCTATTCAAAGTTGAACTTTACCGAAAGATTTAGTTCAACGGTTCTTTTAAATTCCAGATCGTTGGAACCAGTTCGAACCTGACTGACCATATGTTCATATTAAAATTACAAATAGCAGCGTAAACATAAATTTAATTTTGTGAAGATTTTGTAAACTGTATCATAATGGACCTAACGCAGGAGATTGAAAAATCAAAGAACCGAATTTTGGAAACAACAAAGTTTATAATGGATTGTGGCAGTAAATCACTTGTTTGAGTAGTCCATTTCAATCGCGCATACCATTGAGTATTATTTTGTTTTGCAGTTGATGTTGATATAAATATTGAAGAGCGGCTTGGCTTTGGCGAGGAACTTTTGAAGATGAAGGAGCTGCACAAACGATATACTGCCGCATTGGAAAGCGCAAAATCTGAGAGAACTTTAGATGGATTCATGACCGCATTCAATACAAATTGGGAGGAGGAGCAAAGGCGTCGCCTAAATATAAAAAACACCAAAGAGTACAAGGACTATAAAGCTGAACTTGAAAAAATTGCTGGAACCACAACATCTATCTCCGAAGATGCAAGCGATCCCGACATCGTTGTAACTGGAGGCAATTTTGTCAATTTTAATGATCCATGGACAAAAGCAATTATGAAAAACCCAGTACGTAATACAATATGCGGTCACAACTATGACAAAGATTCGGTTATCGGATTAATCAAAGACAATATTGGCATAATTTGCCCGGTGCTTGGCTGCGCTAGCAAAACACCAATACAACCTCACCACCTAACGCCTAATGTGGAGCTGCGTATCGAAATTGAGAAATTACAGTCCTTAGAGGAAAATGACTGAATTTAGACTCAAAAAATTGTCATTATTAACTTTGTCTCTTTTCATCTCATATTATTTCATAAAACTTTAAAAATATACTATATTTGTAAAATTTGGATTAATTATCATTTTTCTTTCACATATTAGATTTATTGCTTGTATGGATAGGTGGCCACACAAAAATTAAAGATACACTTTCAGATGCAAGGTTTTCGGGTTTACGCAACCAGAGCAGATGCAGTGCTTGATTCGTATTTCCAGTTTGGTGGCAATACGCTCTTTGTTTTGTAGTAGCGCGCCAAGCGATGAATTCTGGACTCAACCAAAATCAGGCGGAATTTTCCGTCCTTATCTTTACGGCTGCGTTCCAAATGCTTACGGATGGCCACAGCCTTCTTAATCATGTGATACAGATCCTCGGGGATATCGGGCTTGAGACCAACCGACTTCATAATACGCAGAATTTTGTTGCCATTGACGAAACGAACTTGCGCCACGCCATGGGAATCACGCAGGATGATGCCTGAACAGTATGGTAAACAAAAACTAATCAGATGATAAAAGAGCAAATGTGACACTTACCGATTTTGGATGGTGTCAGACCCTTCTTTCCAAGCTTTTTGATCTGTTCTTTTACGTCCTCGGCGTTCAATTTCAGCCATGATGGAACGGTGCGTCTGTACGGGAGCGCTGATTGGGAAATACCCTTGCTGCAAGGAATAAAAGTTGTATGTTAGTACCGGGTATGACGTGACGACAAACTCTCCAAGCAACATGTGCGTTGCAGCATGCCCGAATTTAAACACAACACTTTAGCTATCAAAGCCAAATCGTATTAAGTATATAATGTTATACCACTTAGCAGGAATTCAGACTGAGTATTCATGCACAAGATAACTTATAATCATTAAAATGTTTGTATTTACCCAGGAGCGTGCATACGACCCATCTTGATGGTTTTTATTTCACACCGAAAAGAATTGGAGACTTGTCAAATTTCGCACTGACAGCTAAACTCTACGCAAACAGGGCTGCACTGACCGAAACGCTGCCAGACCATTTCGAATCTATATTTCGTAGGGCAACACTGAGTGCTTGGTTAGCATCGCTACATTGTTTATAATCACAAAATTCTTATTTATTAAAAATGCAAGTTTATAAGTACCAGGAATTGATGGAAAAGTTGGAGAACGATGAGCTGGAAGTAAGGACTATATTGTTTTTTAAAGCGGCACAATAACAAACAATAATACATGGATAATTTTTTCCCTGCAGCAAATTGGTCTGGGTCCCGAAGTCTACGCTCAGCTGCTCGCAATTTATCTCTATCAAAGTGAATTGTATGCCAATATTAAATATCCATCCAATGAATCGCAATTGATTACAGAATTATCCACAGATCTAAGGCAAAACTGCTATGGATGCGCATGTCCGACAACTTAAAAAATAAGGAAGAGAACAAAGAACTGACACAACTTCATCTCTTGACTGTGGCACTACAGAAGAACGATTCATCAGATTTCTTCGATTACATAAAGTTTGAATGGTCCGAAAATGTGAAGCCCATTGTTGAAGATTTGTTAGGTAAGTATTGCGATATATGTAATAAAATTGTTACTATATAAGTTTATTTTCACCTAGCTAAGCAACGTGAAGAACTTTTCACATTAATGGGCACTGCGTATGCTTCTATTTATGAACAAAACTTGCTGGAAATGACACAAATGTCTGCGGAAGAGCTTAAAAGTGCATGTGCGGCATTGAATTGGACGCAGGAACAAGACGGTGACCAAGTCATCATTCTGCCCATCCCCAAAGAGACAGTGTCGAGTGTGGCCGGCGACGATCAGCTCCTTAAATTAACCGAATTTGTTTCATTTTTAGAAAATTAAGTAAGAAATATCAGAATATAAATCAAATTGAAAAATGAGATTATTGGCCCGGTTTCTGTGTTGCCATATTAAACGTTAGAATTTTTCGGTATACGTTTTTTTCTCGTATGGCCGGCATCTCAAGCTATCTTTCTTTTCACAATATAGAGATGGGCGATATATGTGTATGCCAGTGACTCACGTGACGGTCGTTCATTTTTATTGTTACTAATGCCCATACGAACAACAAATTATGAAAACGCCACTTTTATATAGATTTTTCTAACTAAGGTAATTTAATATTTTTGAATCAAATGGCAATCTATGAAATGAACTTATCAGAAGTGGGAGTACCCTTTTCCCAAATTTCTGCAAGTGCACGTGTGCGCACTGCTACATTTAAAATAATCACCGAGTCACTAGCGACTACGTGATACGTCGTGATAAAGTAACAGGCAAGCAAATATTTCTCATCTCTATCACGTTGTGTCATCCATAGAAGTGAAAAAGTTATTGCACGTCGCATTTTCGCTGAAAAATCAATCAAAGAATTGATTTAATCGGCCGTGCAAAGCTAAAACTTTTACCACAAACTGTGCACTGGCATTTATAATTAAGCAGAAGAATTTCAAAGTGCTTGACATTGCTCCGCTTTGGTTCGTGTGAAATAGAAAAACTGATTTGACGTGCGTGTGTGTGCGTGATCAAAGAAAAATGGCAGCGAGCGACAAATCAGTCGACGATTCTCTTTATCCCATAGCTGTTCTTATTGATGAGCTGAAAAATGAAGATGTCCAGGTAGGTGTTTTGATTGATCAGACGCTGAATGTGTATGAATTGTAAATACATTTTGATTCGTATACATTGTGTACCAACCAGCCAAAGTATCGGCGAGTTGAAGGTGAGGAGCGAGCATGCTACCTCACATACATACATATGTATTTGGGTGTGCAAAATATGCGTCACTGTGTGTGCATAGTAATTTGTGCGTGCATTGGTGTGTGTACATTTTTGGTATCTGCGTGCGCTGTTGTCTTTGAAAGAATCTAAATAATTTGTGCTTAATAGAACTTTTATCATTTATTTTTAGCTGCGCTTGAACTCTATTAAAAAGCTGTCGACCATTGCCTTGGCATTGGGCGAGGAACGTACACGCTCCGAGTTGATACCCTTTTTGACCGAAACTATTTATGATGAGGATGAAGTGCTTTTGGCTCTGGCTGATCAGCTTGGCAACTTCACAAGTGAGTACTACATAATACATACAAAGAATTTCTATTCTAAATGAATGTTTAATAGGCCTTGTCGGCGGTCCAGAATACGCCATGTACTTGATACCACCACTGGAGAGTTTGGCAACCGTCGAGGAAACCGTTGTGCGAGATAAGGCAGTTGAGTCCTTACGTACCGTAGCTGCGGAGCATAGCGCTCAGGATTTGGAGATTCATGTAGTGCCCACACTGCAGCGTTTAGTTAGCGGAGATTGGTTTACCTCCCGCACATCTGCTTGCGGGCTCTTCTCTGTTTGCTATCCACGCGTTACTCAGCCGGTGAAGGCAGAGCTGCGCGCCAATTTCCGTAAGCTGTGCCAAGATGAGACCCCAATGGTGAGACGCGCAGCGGCCAACAAGCTTGGCGAATTCGCCAAAGTCGTTGAAACCGAATATCTTAAGTCGGATTTGATACCAAACTTTGTGCAGTTGGCACAGGATGATCAGGTTAGTTACAACGATACAGTTTTTATTTTTCAACATAAAAATAATTTGTTCTCTTCTCTTTTTACAACAGGATTCCGTGCGCTTGCTGGCTGTGGAGGCTTGCGTTAGCATTGCCCAGTTATTACCGCAGGATGATGTGGAGCATGTAAGTAAAATATACAAAGTTAAAAATTCTGTTGCTTCCCAATTGTTCTAAGAACGGTTAAACTAAACTTGGGAGCTCCATGAATCTTTGTCCTTAATAGTAAAGCCCAACTATTTTCTAATACGAAATAATTGCCTACAGCTGGTATTGCCCACGCTCCGTCAATGCGCCAGTGATTCGTCCTGGCGTGTGCGTTACATGGTGGCCGAGAAGTTTGTGGATTTGCAAAAGGCCGTGGGTCCTGAAATCACTCGAGTAGATTTGGTTCCCGCATTCCAGTATTTGCTTAAAGATGCCGAGGCTGAGGTACGTGCTGCTGTGGCCACCAAAGTGAAGGATTTCTGCTCCAATTTGGACAAAGCCAATCAAGTGCAAATCATAATGACCTCCATTCTGCCATATGTGCGCGATTTAGTCTCTGATCCTAACCCACATGTAAAATCGGCACTGGCTTCCGTCATCATGGGGCTAAGCCCCATGTTGGGCGCTTATCAAACAGTGGAACAACTGCTCCCACTCTTCCTCATACAGCTCAAGGACGAGTGCCCTGAAGTGCGTTTAAACATCATATCCAACTTGGATTGCGTCAATGATGTTATTGGTATTCAGCAATTATCACAGGTAAATAAACTGCAGAAGTTCTCATTATTTATTTTACTAATTGCTGTCATTACAGTCCCTACTGCCCGCCATTGTAGAGTTGGCCGAAGACTCGAAGTGGCGCGTGCGTTTGGCCATTATTGAGTACATGCCTGCATTGGCCGGACAATTGGGTCAAGAATTCTTTGACCAGAAGCTGCGCGGTCTTTGCATGGGCTGGCTCAATGACCATGTCTATGCCATACGCGAGGCAGCAACACTGAATATGAAGAAACTAGTGGAGCAATTCGGCGCACCGTGGGCCGAACAGGCCATTATACCCATGATATTGGTCATGTCGCGCAACAAGAACTATTTGCACAGTAAGTCAAACGAAAATGTTCATAATAACCGTAATCCAATTACAAAGAGGAAAATATTTTTAGACGTTAAACTTTTTTACATTACATATCGATTACATAAGAATAACACAGCTTACATAAGAAATTTCCATGCATTTTTGTTACGAATCATCAGCATATCATTAGGTCGTTTTGTTTATTTTTTCTTCTCAAGTAAACATTTTTAAAAATGCATTAAAAATCCCAAAAAATGCATTAAAATTATATATATGAAATATAAGAACTATTTTAAATTAAAAAAAAAAACAGCGTGCAATTTAACGTACACCTGAAATATTACGCAATATATCTGATGCTTACAAGAGAGTTTTTATTTTACTTTAATGTTTAGTGGATAGAACAAGGAAAAGGTTTATGGTTTATTACATATTAAACTAATGTAGTAGTTACTCAAAAAAATATATCACACGATTATTGGTTATGAAAATTAGTGTTCATATATTATAAATCAAATAAGCAACTAATTCACTTTACAGGAATGACCTGCCTGTTCTGTCTAAATGTGTTGGCGGAGGTTTGCGGAACAGATATTACCACCAAACTGTTACTGCCCACTGTCCTGTTGTTAGCAGCTGATCCCGTTGCCAATGTGCGTTTTAATGTGGCCAAAACATTGCAGAAGATTTCCCCGTTCCTCGAGGCCAGCGTAATTGATGCGCAAGTGAAGCCAACATTGGACAAACTCAATGCAGATAACGATGTGGATGTCAAACACTTTGCTGCACAGGCGATTGCGGGAATAGCGGCAGGTATGATACAAATTTTCTTAAAATAATATAGCTATAATATAACGTTCGCCTGGGCCATATGCATATGAATTGCTAGAGATGGAGCTAAATGTCTTTAGAACTGCCGTGCCACCATGCATGGGCCATAAACTTGAAGCGGCCATGAACTCTAAGCTAATTGTCGAGCCGCCACCCATGCCGGTGGAATCTGATGATGGGGGCACGGCCGTCGTACTACAATTAAATTCGAAGAAGTCAGAAGAGGGCGCCGTTAAGGAGCTGCCGAAAAGTGAAACGGAATGTTAGAGGATGAGTAGCCCAAACAAAGCCCAAAAAATTTCAAACCAATGTGAAAACCTATTGTAATCAATACCAATTGTGCAAAAGTTTGCGACTAATCCCAAAGCTGGTGTAACACACACGTTCATATTCAATGTCCCTTTTGAATCGTAGTTAAAGAAAATTGTCATGTGTTAAGGAATATGTATGTGTATCTCACAAATTGTGCTTAACATAAGAAACACGTATGCGAATCGAATACTAATAGTTTAAATCACATTTTTCTTTTTTTTTCTCTTTCCCGGCATTGCGTCTCTCCACTGTGTCGCCGTATATTTTGTTCCCTGTTCTTTTTCCTTACAGCGTAATCAACTTACTTGCAAATTTGCTTTTTTTTACTCTTATTTTTTACAAAATGTATATCACACGCCGTCAAACAACCACAAATAATCGTCTGTAGCAACTCTCAAGAACGGAAACTTGTAGTGGAAGAGTCGGAGGAAGCTTGCACCAACCAATTACCAACAAAAAGGAACCCAACCTAAAAACGGAAAACATTTTTGAAATGCATTAAAAAGCGAGCAAAAATTATAGCAGCCACAAAACAAATTGCGAGAAACAACAACATACATTAATACATACTTACATATTATATTATAAATTTACCACTTAAGCGCTTAAAATCATTATAAAAAATCAATGTGTAGTGTTGAAAAATTGATTGAAAATCGCATTTGAATGCAAAATAAAAAATTAATGATAAACCCCAATCCCAATCAGTATTATTCCAATGACGTATATTATATATTGGTATCGATTCGAGCTCTATACGATGCTTTTCTGGGTGACATATTTACAAACATACATACATCGGCAAAAAAGCTGATCTGTCAGTTGATCTAGTTAATATCAATGCATAAATATGCATCTAACCATGCAAAAAACTGTATAGTCAAGTAAAAATCGCAGGGATTTTTATTCTTACGTTTTTTACATTAGTCTGTTAGGCTGTAGTTTTAAACATGTTCTCGGAAGCAGCATTTGAAACAAATTAGAGCTGGCGGGAAAAAAGCTAAGTCGACAACACTGTTTCCAGAGCCCAATGCGCGCGCAACTTTTCAATTGGTGGCAGGCCGGGGACCCAACAGTTGCCATATACTCGATACCTATTGAAGGGTACTCAATATTAGCTACTCACTGTATTGAGCAGATCAGACTTTGTGGTCGACTCGCTCGGAGCGCTTTTGCCGCTGTCGGTTATTTATTGTTGAGATTTATCAGCGAATCGTTACGCGAACGCGCATGTAAGGTGTGTTTGTGTTTGTTTGATTGATGTTTGTTGCAATTATACGCGCAATTGTATTGCAAGTGTGCTTAAAATGTATCTGTATGAATCAAATATTGATAATGTAAATTGCTTCTGCAATGGGGAGCAAATGGTGATTTCCATCGAATATGTTTGTGTGTGCGCGATTGCGTGCGTGCTCTTATTGTTATGGTTTCTGTTTTTTTAATTCAGACTATAATTAAGGGCACACTTTAATTCAAATGGAATCAAATATTTACATAGATTTGTTACGTAGTCGTTTATTTAAGGATATACATATGTATGTATTAATTGATGTTTATATGTATGTACAATAAAACTGTCATTATCGTGGGCCACTCGCACTCGCAAATGCCACTGCCAAAGGCCAAAACGCAACAAGTGTCAAGCTTTGCACATAAGGGGTATTCCTGATAGCGGTTTATGATTTGTTTTTTTTTTTTTTTAATCAATGGCTTACAGCTGCTCAATACATAATCTGCAATGTGACTAACAGATCTGCGGAAAATACTTTCCACATTTATATAATAAAAAATGTCGAACATTTTAAAATAATTGCCAAAGTGCCTATTTGCTTTCCCTTATCGCTTTCTTTGCCTCGATTCCAGTGTTTGTGTTAAATTGATTAAATGATCAAATGTTCAATACAAGTCAAAAGCGACCCTCTTATCTTTATGTGTCGATTTACTTCAACCAAAAAGCAAATCCCAGACACCATTCAGGAATACCCTTAATAATTACGCTATCAAAATCGCGATTGAGTCACTATAATATATAAAAATGCTAACCTATTTTCATTCATTCATACATACATATACACGTATAAACGTTTTTCGATGTATGTATGTACATATGTTTATGAATATGTACACACCAGGTATACTTATATTCAAACATTCGTATTTTGTTTTCGGGCAAGTGGCGCGTTTAATAAACAATTGGTTGCCCTCACCGCTTGAGTGTTCTAATGGCTTGGCGCCTCCGCCTCCCTCACCCCTCATCTACACACAAACACACGCACAGCTGGATTCATTGAAGCCACAACATGAACCCAACTGGCTAATTTTCGTTGGCTACAAATGTAAAATAAAGTGGAGCTTATTTTAATATAAATATAGTGCTTTTAGTTGAAGCTCAACATATTGCATAGAAAACAATAACCTTGCGCACAGTCACTGATTTAACGTAAACCATTACAAAAGTCACCGCATAGGTGTTTTGCGTTTGCCGACGGCACGTGTCTGTGTGTGTTGAGTATATAAGTATGTGTGAGCATGTTTTGCAGCGATTTTGAAAGTACATTGTTGTAGTGCAGAAGTGTTACGAGCGCTGCATATTTAATAATTTTTATACCCTTTACCAGAAGACTGAGAAGGTATTATACAAATTTTAGGAGCAGACAAAGTATTCATGATCAGTAAGAGAAGACGAGATTTCTAGGATTTACAAAAGTCTAAGAAATAGCTCCTGTAATTATTGAAATTTCAATCCGGTCTTACATTCACAAAGTTAAATTCTGTCCAATCAAAAATAAAGTAGTATAGTTTCTTAATTTAAATTTTATCAAATTTTAAACTAATAAATAAAAATAAAAACAAATGAAATAATTAATTAATTACCGAATTAATTAATTACCGAACCACATACAGAGTATAAAACTGTCGGACACGTGCGCGACTCTTAACATCCGACTCGTTTTTCGTACATTTTAGCCGGTTTAAGCAATGCAAAGTAAAATCGACTGGACAGAGCAGTAGTTAAAAGAGGGGCGATATAGCAATATAAAGTAAACTTTTAAAAATAAACTATTTTTATCGCTTATCGCAACCTTAACACTTAACACTTTAAATAAAAGCACTCAACATGTTACAAACCTTTGCGTAATCAAATGGAAGCGCATGGAAGTAAATAAGTTCATATACTATATGTACATATGTATGCATAGCTGCCATAAATCCGCCTATCTAATCATCAACCAGCTATAAAGAGGAAAAAAAATTAATTAAATCATTTGAATGTACTCAGTAGGTTCAGAACTTAAGCGGCTTCATAAATTATTCGACCGCACACTTCAGTTTTCATTAATCAATGCATTGAAGTGGATGTTAGCCGATTTGTAAGTTTGTGGTCATAAATTTGGAAAATCGTATTGCATTGACTAAAAATACAAAAATGTTATGGATTATTTAGCTTTCCGGTGTAGTTGTTGTAAAAAATTGTAGTTTGAAATCCGTCATATTGTTAGGGTATTCACGACAAGTGCTTTAACATATTAATTGGTGTCCTAATTGTACATAATATTTGCTAATCCTTCTAGGCTTGACTTCTAGACTTATTTCCTACTTTGCGTATTTACGAATAAGACAACCAACAAGAGAGTGCAAGCAACGCTAACACTATGTACACATTAATTACATCCAATTAAATATATCTTAGTAACATCAAGGCCTTACGTTCGTTTTTGGGCTATTTTGTAATAATTAAAGTGTTGTGTTTATGAACGTTTTATTCAACTTTCATTTGATTTGTAATGTTACGATTGTCGGCTGCAATATTTTAGTGGTTGTTATAATGGTATATACAACTAAACCCAGTAAAGTAAATTTAGTTAATCTTCAGTTAAACATTATATGTTAGAGCCTTTAATACAAATTGTTGTCAGTATTATAAAGGCTATATGATTTCAGAAGCTTTCGAAATAATGTAATATACAAGTATTTTAAATTATTTGTCCTTGAGCTAGTTGACGAAAATGTTCTTCATATACTTCCAGCACAAATATGCATAAAGCCGTTAAAAACAAATCCAGTGAGTGATTCATTACAATTCAAACACAATCAGGGCCCACATTTATATTTATTTACTCATTATTTACAGGGCTACTATGTGGCCTGAAGAAGTCCAAGGCAGATCTGACAACGGCTAAGTTTATATTATATTATGGGTGCGTATCTCGTTTAAAGTTTTAGTAACGCAACACGTTTATCATAAAGTTCTAATGTCTATCCATACCCACCCACCCTTGCACCCTAGACCTACCGTTGCTGATAGTGATATCTATGATATGCACGACTACCAGAACTTGCTGACCGATGAGCACTTGGACCTCAGCAAAAATACAGTGCTTTATCTGCACGGCTATTTAGAGGATCCCGATGAGGAAAGCATACACGTTATCGCAGAAGCCTACCTGGAGAGAACGGAAGACACAAATCTTATTGTTTTGGATTGGGGTGAACTGGCGGATGGTAACTATATGTTTGATGCTGTGGTAAATATGAAACAGCTTGGCCCTGAGCTAGCCAAAGTGCTGCTGGAAATGTTTGAGCACGGCTTGGACATTGAAAGGTTTCATATTGTGGGTCACTCCCTGGGAGGACAAATGGCGGGCGTTATAGGAAGAGAGGTAAGTAAAGAAAATAAAAAAACAGCCCTTTTTCTGAAATAAACTATTGTTTTTGAAGGTTTTTAAACGCAGCAAGGGTAAAAAGAAGATTAAAAGGTGACTTAAAGGGTTTAAAAAGGTGAACAATTAATTTACTGTATTGAACTGCCATAGAATATCTGCTCTGGATCCAGCTTTTCCGTTGTTCTACCTCACCGCTGGACTTGGCACGCATTTGAACAAAAATGACGCCGAGTTTGTGGATGTTATACACACAGATGCCTGGTTGTATGGAGCTCCCAGCAGTACGGGTACAGCCGACTTTTGGCCGAATGGGGGCAAAACTTTACAACCAGGCTGCCCGAAACGAAATTATAAAATGCTCAGTGAAAATGATCTTTCTAGTCATCGGCGCAGCTGGTGGTTCTGGGCCGAGAGTGTGTCTGATCGTTTTCCAATAAAATTCGATGCAGTGGCTGCAAAAAGTTGGTCAGACTTTAAGGATGGCAAACTGGTTGAGAACAGTCCGCATGTGGTCATGGGACATTTTTGTCCTACAACGTAAGTGTATATTTGTTATTTTTAAAAAAACATTTTAAAAACAATCCGTGTCTTTTGCAGTGTTCATGGCGATTTTTACTTACAAACAAATGGAGCAACGCCATTTGCCCGCGGCAAGGAGGGAACCATGTATGTGGAACCTAAAGAACTCATCGGCAACAACTATGTGGAGCCCTCAGTATCGCCAAGTCATTAAAATGCAGCGCGACATCAAATACTATTTGTAGAACAAATTGAAATTCTAGCACCCAGTAATTTACATTACTTAAATGTAAACACGAATTTGCACATAATTCTAGTTTAAGGTGGCGTTTGCTCATGTTAACTAAATACATATTATTTAAATATATGGTGTATATATGATGTGGTGGATTGATAGATGTAAGTAATATTACTATTGGTAAAAATTGTTAATAATCTCTTGAATTCGTTGAACTTTTGTAGATGCACATTTTTAAAAGCAAAACTTTGTCCTAGGTATGACCATTCAATGGTCATTCATTAATTAATGACTTCAACACTTTTAGTTTACGGCTGTAAATCAACCAATTCATTCCACTCTCTGCCTTTTTGTTTCGGTTATCAAGTTATAATTGGTGCAACCAGTTGTCTTGTGTGTGTATTACTGCTGAAAAGTAATATATGAAGGCGAAGGCACTCTCTTTAGGGTGTTGAAATGTTAACTGTGTGTTTAAAATTACAACTTTTACTTGGTAACTCGATACTTTCGCGTGTGTGCAGATGGCATCGATAACAAAGCAAGACATCGATAACTCTACTACCGTCTCACTCACTAATTCATGTAAATTTTCGTGCAAAACACATTTTGGATTCGAAAAACGCAAAATGAAGATTAAGTTAGTGGACTCGGTAGTGCGGAGCTTTAAAGTGGCAAAAATTTTTCGCGAAAACACCGATAAGATAAACGCAATTGATTTTGCGCCCAATGGCGAGCATCTCATTTCCTGCAGCGAAGACGATCAGATTGTAATATACGACTGCGAGAAAGGCACTCAATCTCGTACAGTAAACTCAAAGAAGTATGGTGTGGATTTAATACATTTTACACATGCCAACAACACCGCTATACATAGTTCGACGAAAGTCGATGACACCATACGCTATTTAAGTCTGCACGACAACAAATACCTTCGCTATTTTCCCGGACACACAAAGAAAGTAATTTCGCTGTGCATCTCACCCGTGGAGGACACGTTTCTGTCTGGCTCGCTAGATAAAACGTTGCGTCTATGGGACTTACGGTCTCCAAACTGTCAGGGGTTGATGCATTTATCTGGACGTCCCATTGCCGCATACGATCCGGAGGGCTTAATTTTTGCGGCTGGTGTGAATTCAGAGAGCATTAAACTCTACGATTTACGTTCGTTTGACAAAGGCCCCTTTGTTACCTTTAAGTTGAATCAGGAGAAGGAGTGCGACTGGACAGGGCTGAAGTTTTCGCGGGATGGCAAAACTATTTTAATCAGTACAAATGGCTCGGTGATTCGCTTAGTGGATGCCTTTCATGGCACGCCGTTGCAAACGTTTACCGGTTATCCTAACAACAAAGGGATTGCAATTGAGGCCAGCTTTAGTCCCGATTCGCAATTCATATTCTCCGGCAGCACAGATGGACGCGTACATATTTGGAACGCGGACACGGGAAACAAGGTGTCTGTTCTCAATGGCGATCATCCTGGCCCGGTACAGTGCGTCCAATTCAATCCCAAATACATGATGTTGGCCTCGGCTTGCACGAACATGGCCTTCTGGCTGCCAACCTCCGAAGAGGGCATTTAGATATAAATAACAAAATATAATTAACAATATTTATTATAAGTTATGTTTAAGTTTTTATTAAAAGTCAGCAAGAAAACAGAATTCCTCTTTAACTAGGCTCTTCTGTCTGTGATTTGTGACATTCGTAGCTTGCCCGTATGTTGATTAGTAGCTGCGCAAGGTTATGGCCCATTTTAGCACTAATGCCCAAAACGGGTTGTTGCAATCTACGTTGGAGTTCCTCGAAATTCTCGGCACTAGCCTCGTCATCCATTTTATTGGCCACCACAAGTTGTGGCCGTTTTGCTAGTCTTCCGCCAAATTGCTGTAGCTCGTGCATTAACTGATCATAGTGTGTCCAAGGCTGCTCCACACTGGCATCTAGTACAAAAAGAAGCAGCGTACAACGTTCGGCATGCTTGAGAAACTGTATACCAAGTCCTTTATTACGGTGTGCGTTCGGCACGAGGCCTGGTAGGTCCGCAATGGTCAACTGTACATGATCCTGATATTGCACAATACCCAGGTGAGGACGCAGGGTGGTGAAAGCATAAGGCGCCACCTTCGGCTTAGCGCGTGTTAGTGCATGCAGCAGCGTGCTTTTTCCGGCATTTGGATAGCCAATCAAGCCTACATCAGCCATGCTACGCAGCTCTAAGGTATATTTAATGTCCTCGCCTGGTGGCCCATATTCGCATACTTTCGGACTGTTTTCTGTGTCGGTAGTGAAGAACCTATTTCCTTTGCCACCGGCGCCACCACGTGCAGCAACAAACATTAAATCTGCGTGCGCCAGATCGCCAACAATGAGGCCCTGTGCATTGCGCACCACAGTTCCAATTGGTACCTTGACCACAGTATGCTTGGCGTTTTTTCCATGACAATCCTTTGCAGTGCCATTATTTCCAGGCTCTGCGCGGAGCACACTACTGACATGATTTAAATTCCGCACGTCATTGGAGGCTTGAAAAACGACATGTCCACCACTGCCGCCATCACCACCATCAGGACCGGCGCGTTCATTGCACCACAACTGAAGAAAGGACACACATCCATCGCCACCCTTTCCGCCTACAGCGCGCACTTGCTTTGAATCGGAGAAGTATTGGGGCTGCACAGAAAAGCAACAATTGGTTATATAAAGCGGCATTATATTTGCATTTCGAGCTTGGTACTCACCTCTTTTCTCGTTGACTTAGCTTTTTTGGGCCGCAGTGCAGCCGCCATTTTGCCATAGTTGGCTTGATTTTGATGGAAAGTCTTGCATATTTGCGTAAATTGTCTAAGCAGTGGCGCTGTGCCGCCAAACAATCCCATTTTGTTTAGACCACACTACCCACAACAGCGCTCAGCTGATAGCCATCACTAGCAAACTTGTATCGAAAGTAAGTTGTTATCGATGCTTAAGTCATGCATATGGTATCGAACTTTAGCCGTTGTTTAATTTCAGTTTGTCATAGAAATATGGCCCTAAAAGCTGCGCTTATTGACCTCAGTGGAACCCTTCTTATAGAGGATAAACCAACGCCCAATGCAGTGGAAGCTCTGAAAAGGTAAGCCGCCTATAGCATGACCATTAAATAAAACTTGCATTACAGATTGCGCGATTCCGGCGTGTTTGTCAAGTTTGTAACAAATACTACAAAAGAATCGCAAACTACGCTGCACAGTAATCTGTGTAAGATTGGTTTTCAACTGGAGAAGAGCGAGATATACAGTTCACTAAGTGCCGCTAATAAATTCGTGGTCAAGGAGAAGCTCAACCCATACTATTTGCTTACGGATGATGCAAGACGAGATTTTCCAGCCGAGGACGTAACGCGTGACCTTGACTCTGTTGTTGTAGGTCTGGCGCCCAATGCTTTCAATTATGAGCAAATGAATAAGGCCTTTAAGTAAGATTATTATAGATATTATGCTTTGAGCTTTGATAATATATTCCGACAGTATTCTGCTGCAGCAGAAGGAGCGCAAGCTGGTTGCTATACATCAGGGAAAATACTACAAGCGCGCGGATGGTCTGGCTCTAGGACCAGGATGTTTTGTCAAGGGTCTCGAATATGCCACAGGTACCACAGCTGAGCTCATTGGCAAACCCAATCCTTATTTCTTCAGGAGCGCGTTGCCCGAAGACCTAAAACCTGAACAATGCGTCATGATCGGTGATGTATGATAGTGTAGCCAATTATATTTTAGTCGTTGAAATGTTCTTTTGGTTAAGGATGCCAACGATGATATTATGGGTGCCATGAAGGTCGGACTTCAAGCCGTACAGGTAAAAACTGGAAAGTATTTGCCCAATGTTCTTGCCACTCCACCACCCACGGCGCTCGTTGAGAACTTTTCCGAGGCTGTTGATTGGATTTTGCAACAAAACGCTAAGTCAGGCGAATAGTTGGTACAAAAATTTTATTTTTATTTTATAAACGTTTATGTGTATTTAGCAAAAATTCAATTTTAAATGCCGCATGCTAATATAATTTAATAAAGGAGTTTTTTGTTGTTTGAGTACGCGAAATTCAGGGCAATTAATGTGTAAGTTTAGGCCAATTTTGTTTCCGCAAACTTGGTGGCTAGCTGCACAATCTCATCGACACGCTCGTAATTGCTGCCCGATGCTTGAGCAGATTCGGGTTTGCCGCCACCTTTGCCGCCCAGCACTGGCGAAACATGCTGTACCCATTCATTGGCCTTCAGACCCTTTTCAACGGCGCTTTTGGGAACCGAGCTCAGACAGAAGATCTTTTTCGAGTCCACATCGACGGAGAAGAACATGGCGGCTGCATCAGGCAATTGAGTTCGCACCTGCTTCAACGCAGCGTCCAGCGCCTTGGTGTTGTTATAGGCCTCCAATTGTTGAACTAAAACTGTGGCCTTAGGATTCGCATCGCATAAAGCCTTGGCGCTTTCCACCACATTCACAGCCACAGCTGCTTTAGCGACACGTTCCTTATCATCCAAAGTCTTTTTCAAAGTCTTAAGCACATTTCGCATCTCATCCTTCTTCACATACGGTATGGTGGCATGAGAGATTTGCTCTGTTAGCTCAACAATTTGCTTCACATATAACTTGGACTCCTTGCCGGTCTTGTCAGCGTCAATGGTTGATTTAAATTTGACGATTTCCTGTTCGAATAACTCAGACTTTTTCAACGCTTTCAAAGCTTCCGGACCTGTCAGTGCAACAATGCGACGAATACCCTTGGCAATGGCCTCCTCGCTGCTGATAACAAAATCCATGATGTGTCCTGAACGACGCAAATGTGTACCACCGCAGAACTCCACAGAGGTTTCCTCGCCAGCTGCTGATTCGGGCTGCTGTTCTAGCTGCTCAACGGGTACTCCAAACGAGATGACACGCACTGGGTCCGGGTAGACCTCATCAAATACGGAACGCAAACCACGTATTTTTTTGGCCAATGCCAGTTGCGCCTCCTTTGCGTAGATGGGCACATTCTTGTATACCATATCACGAGTAAGCTGTTCCGTTTTGGCCACCTGTTCAATGGTCATGGCTCCCTTGCTATTGAAATCGAAGCGCAACTTCTCGGGCACCACCAGCGATCCCTTCTGCTCCGTATCCTTGCCCAGCACTTGCAGCAGGCAATGATTAAGCGCATGTGTAGCCGAGTGGTTTTTCATGGTCAGCCAACGGCGTTGAGTATCCAGATGTAGTTCCAATTCATCGCCTACACGCAACGTGCCCTCAACAACACCAATGTGCAGAATGTATCCTCCACGATTGAAGACGCAATCCACCAAAAACTCATTAGCTTCGTCGTTGATCTTGACTAGCGCTCCTTGATCGTATATCTGTCCACCGCTCTCAGCATAGAAATTGGTCTTATCTAACACAATTCCCGCCTTCTGGCCATTGCTAATCTCCTGGACAAATTTGTTTTCATAGCGTAGAGCCACAACTTTGCTAGTGCAGCCACCATAGTTATAGGCAGAGTCCCGCTCATCTGACACCGCCTCATACTTGTATTTAAATGAATCATCTGTCGGCGGCACACCTCGTTCTTGCAGCTCTGATATAGCGTGTACATCCAAGTTGATTTCTTCAATTTTGCTGGCTCCCTTGCCTTGCGAGAGTATATAAGAATTTTGCTTAGCCACTTCATAACCAGCCATGTCGATTTCCAGGGACTTTTCCTCTGCCATCAGCTGCGTTAAGTCCACGGGGAAGCCATAGGTATCATACAGGCGCCAGGCTACATCACCGGGAATGGTGCGTTGAGCTCCAAGCTTCTCAATTGTGCGATTGAGTAAATTGCGCCCGCGCGTCAGTGTCTTCAAAAACTGTTGCTCCTCCTCATTTATTATGTCAATAATATGCTGAGGGTCCTTTTTCACCTCGGGGAAGGCATCGCCCAGCAAATCGACTACTGTATGGACCAGCGAGGCAAAGAAACCCGGCTTGGCATTCAACTTCTCCGTGGCATAGCTAAAAAAAGATATTTTAATTAATTTTAAGGTTGCACAAACTGCATAAAATTTAAATTATATTATAGATTTAATGAAATACAAGTAATTCTATTTTTGTTAGATAAAAATATTAACTTCGTCGTTAAAAAAGTAAATATATTTGTAATACTGACCGCACAGCGCGTCTGAGGATGCGCCTCAGCACATAGCCACGTCCCGTATTGTCCGGAGTGCCGCCATCTGCTAGTGCTATCGTTATGGTACGTGCATGGTCTGCCAGAACACGATAGGCCATATCAATGCCATCGACATCATCGCCACCAACACGTCCTTGATAGGGTGGTGCTCCAGTGCCTGCTTGAATGGCCTCGAAGAGCGGCACAAACAAATCGGTATCGTAGTTGGAACGTTTGTTCTGAATAACGGAAACCAAACGTTCGAAACCCATACCGCAATCAATATGCTTTTTGGGCAGCTGCTTCAGACTGCCATCAGATTCGCGATTGTACTGAATAAACACGAGATTCCAAATCTCCAGCACATCGGGATCATCTTGATTAACCAACTCCGGCACGCTGCGACCGCCAATGCGATCGAAATGTAGTTCAGAGCATGGACCGCAGGGTCCTGTCTCACCCATCTCCCAAAAGTTGTCCTTCATACTACCTGGCAGAATGTGCTCCGGTTTTAACCCTAAGTCCAGCCACAGCTGCTTACATTCCAAGTCCGGCTCTAGGCCACTGGCTGCATCGCCGCCAAAGTACGTTACATACAAGCGATCCTTGGGCAGATTGAGCCGTTCGGTTAGAAATTGCCAGGCCCAGGAGCAAATCTCCTTTTTAAAGTAATCGCCAAATGACCAATTGCCCAACATTTCAAAGAATGTGTGATGGTATACATCCTTGCCCACATCGTCTAGATCGTTGTGCTTTCCGCCGGCGCGTATGCACTTTTGGGTATTAGCCACTCGAACCCACTTACTCATCTCGCTGTTTGGATCGGCAGTGCCCAGGAATATGGGCTTGAATTGATTCATGCCAGCGTTAGCAAACAGCAATGTCGGATCGTCCAGTGGAATGGTGCTGGAAGAATGCACATAGATGTGCTTTTGCTCCTTGAAGAAGTTCAGGTAGGTGTCGCGCACCTCCTTTGCGGTCAAGAACTTCATGGTGCTGTCGTAGGTTTGTTGACTGTAGATTATTCATAGACAAAAATTAGAAAATTGCCACGCAACAGACTCCCCCACCAATACTAATGCAAATGCACCGTCTAATTTATGGTTAGTGAAAGTGCACCAATTATGTCTGTTCGTGACAAATTTGCACAATTACAAAATTTGTATAAGTTTTGGTAATTCAATTGTTTTTTTCAGACCTGAACGCTAGTTTTGGAAGCTCTTACAACTCTGTTTAGATATTACTCACGTTTTTTCCAACAATAACTTTAAATGCAAGGCAGTTTCGTCACCCACCGGCAACAACGTGTAAGACGTCCTATGTACTCGATGCTAATTGCTCCCGATATCTTATCGATTTTGAGCTAATTTGAAAAGCTCTTCACTATTAAAATACTACAATTAACAATAACCGCTCTCATTTTTATTTCAACTTATTATATACATGTATCATATTAGTAAAGTATTTGCTCCGGCGGGTGCTGCTCCTCTATTTCCCGTTCAATTTCCTTCATGCGCAGCATAAGATTGAAATTTTGCGTCTCCTGTTTGCCGGTTAGATACATTGTGAGCAGCGCTTGTAAAGCAATAATTGACCCCAAAACTGGTACAATGGGACGTGTGAATTTTCTCCACAGCTGAAACACTTCCATAGGACTCTCTGTTATTGAGGGCAGCCGGTAGGTGTAATGGCGCGTGGCAAACATAAAAGCAGCAAGTGGCGCCAGTATAGATGGATAGACCACGCCTAGAGCCGTTTGAAATGCAGCTGCGCGCACCTGTATGCAGACGGGACATTCACTCAAAGGGTTCACCAATATAGGTCGCTGTATAAAGAACTTGTGCGTCAGCATGGTGAACATGGCAGGGACAACTACAATAGGTAAATAGCTCGAAAATCGTCCACTACTGCCTAGGCGCAGCTTAGTTCGGTAATGATTGTTTATATAGGCTCCACTGGCTGCTGCTAGCGCGCTGATAATGCCGGGTGTGTATCGTAGAGACCAACTGGGCCAACGAGAGCGATGTTAGGTAAGCAGACAAATATAAAAAAAAGCGCTACTTACACATCGCTCATCTTGTCCCAGGCTGTTATAATTTTCCACTGGTATCGTAGAGCTTGATCCTCTGTGATAATAACTGCATCCTGTGGCAGTTCCCCTCTTCTTACACGTGTTAAGGCCATTTTAAATAATAAAATCACATAAATTTGATTGACCGAGTGAGCCAACAGCTGTTTTCGCCGCAAGGTTTGTGGCTGCAAAGTATCGATAGTGGCGAATAAAATTGTTGTTACACAGCACTTAAACACAGGCAATCAAAAGATTTATCATTATGCTTTGAAAATGCCGCACAAACGCCATACCGGTCAATTTTTGAATAAAAACAATTGCATACAGAGTCGTGTGCAATATACAAACTCTTCTGAGCATCCACCAAATGTTTGTGTGTATCAAAACAATGGATCGGTTGATGAAAATTTGTCAACAACGGAGGCGCGTGAATATGGCGGTGAATTTTGTACGGCTCCCGAATCGGCCAATTACATAGCGCCTGAACACCAGGAAGCTATTGTAAGACTTGCAACCCCGCATTATAATACAACAGTTCGCAAAAGAAATGAAATCGCCATACTGCATCAAATGCGTCCTGTAGCAATACAAAACGACGTTGATCTTACTCCCCGCACAAAGATGGCCATCGCACCAAAGGTAATTTATAGAGAATCCATTTTTTACTCGCAATGTCATCAATATCAATACGTCACGCTACCAACAGGTTACGCAGAAAATGAATTTCCCACTTGACCGTCCAGCTGTTTTCAAGGATTTGGTTCCGTTGAATGTAAATGACTCGATATTGCAGCCGCTCAAAAGCAAGCCTTTTAAAAAGGGTTCCTCGAAGGAGCGCAACTCAGAGGCACAGGAGCCCCAATTGGCCGACTATGTCGAACAGATTGAACGTGTTGAGCTGGTTATACCGGAGCCCAACATACACTTGGATTTCCCTCTGGACGATTTCAACTTCTTCGAGGCGTTCAAGAAAGTTTACAATAGCTAGCTGGTACAAATTTTATTTTAATTAAACATTAGATCAATGCAAATACATGCCCAATAGAGCGAGCTTTCTCTGCTTAGCCTATGAAGTTCATTACGACTAAGTGTAGTATTACATGGGCGAATATGAAATCAGCAAAGCCGCGTTCCGGTGAGATTCCCGCGAAGACGGTCTTGTTTTGTGGATTCGCTTGCAATCGAAGGCACACGCCCAGCACAAAGCAACTCACGGTGCTGATGAAGCCAGAGAGGAAAGAGTTGAAGGGAAAGGTGCCCACAAGACAGCAGTAAACAAACTGTATGATGCCGGTCAGCAATATGTAGCCCAAATAAATGTCCACCAACTTTAACTTTTTGGGCGTGTGTTGTACATAATCGTTGTAGAACTTTTGAACGACAGCGGTTGTTTCCACCATTTTTCGTTTAATTTACAATTTACTTTTTTCTTTCAGAAATAGAACCACGTCAAGCTGACGTACGAAGGTATCGATTAATGGAGTTACGATGTCCACATCTAAGTCGATTTATATTATTATCGATGCTGGTGCGCAGTACTTGGTGTTGTACTTACATTTTTCAGTTAGATAGTTGTTAGCCATTTAAATTGATTATTGATTTTGTGCTGTAATAAACAATAAAAATGTAAATGGAATGTGTTAGCTAATGTTTAATTTATTAATTTATTTGTGATTCTGTTGTGTTGCTAGCAGCCGACTGTTCGTTGGACTAACAGCCGCCCTATTGGCTCGACTTAAGCAAGTCTGAACTCTGTAAATACTTAAACTAAGTTAGGTTTAAGTAAAATTATAATATACAAAGGCAATAAACAAATAAATAAATATTTATTGTTTTTATTTATTACCTTTTATTCCATGGTCAATTATGTATACGTATTAAACGTTTTCAATTTGGCGCCTAAATGATGTATATGTGAATGATATGTCGCAACCTTACCATCGCTATACTAACACGTCAAAAAGAAGAGGGTCGATATAAATCAATTCGCCGCAATTGTACAACACTGAAGCGAAAGTTGGCAGCGAAGAGTCAGTGTTTATTTGTGTGGTGTGGAGCGTCGTCTTGGTGCGGGAGGTGGTTTGCTATTATTTTGTATATTTAACGAAATTTACATTTTTAATTTATGACAAGTGCACTTTAAAATACTATAGCGTAGATTTGCTGTAGTTTAAAGTCGCTCAGGACGTTGCATGTTCGATGACGCTCTAAATATCTAGGGAATTTTCAATCGCCTGTTGTTGCTCATAAGAGCATTGTCATCAAAATGTTGCGCAGACCAAAGAAAATTATTGATATGAATTGAGTTGTATTTGCTGTGATAAGTTGCCTCTTATGTTTACACTGTGTTTGCTTTTTTGCGTGTTTATGTTATAAATTTTGTCATATGTCAACAATATGCTGTCAGTACTTCCTTAGCATATGGAAGGAAGCATATGTCGATATCTGGACATTAGAATTAACCATTGCACAATATTTGTATGCATATTATGTAGACAACTTGCACATTGACGTGGTGACCTTCTGAGGCTGTGCGCGCACTTTTTTCATTGCCAACGCGCGCCACAACAATTGAGCCGAACACCCACCCATCCATACATTCAGAATTACCCAAAATCGATGGAGGACCTTACACCATTGACTGCTCTTCAACAGGTATGCAATACAATTTACTGTCCTTTTTGTTTAATTTTATTTGTTTACATATGCATATGGTTTTCTTGCAGTTTTAGTTCAAACATTTTTGTTACACCAATTGACAAACTGCCCACCAAATACCCGAAACTTCATTCAATACCTCTATTACCTCGAGCTCTGGTTTTTGTTTAGTAAGTAAACTACTTATTTTATACTATTATATTATTTAGTTTATTGTTTGTATTTGCTTTCATCGCACAACCAAACGCCTCTGATAAGCAGCGAATGATAAACAACTTCTGTCTGCACACTCTTTATACATATGTTAAAAGCTGAATTAGATTTTGTTTACTTTATTCACAGTCGTGTTATTTTTTGCACATATCAACATACATACAAGTACATATTTAATTAGATACACCCACAGAATTTTATTTGCTGTTTGTACGCCCCAATTTCATATCAAATTCATTTCAATGCAAAGATCACTTAGCACTTCACTATCAGCTCATTGTCATTAACAACAAAACGTTTAGCATTCAATCTAATATCTAATTAGCGGCTGTTGTGTGAAAAATATTATAGTTATAGGCATATTATTAAAAAAAAAGTGATTTTAAATTTAAAGCGCTTGGCAACATAATATGCCTTTATTAAGTAACTTTTCAATCAATTTGTTTGTTTGCCGTTTATTTTACTTCTAAAAATACAAAGTGACTAACTGATTTCTTCTGTCATATCATAAGGTCGCTCTTTGTATTCATTTTATAGACATTATCAATTACATAGAAATGGCCAATTCGACTATTATTAACTAGGAAGAATGCTATCTTCGTCGCTCCGAAGATTGTATACCTTATCAATATTTTTGGGTTGATGATTTGTATATTTTCAAAGGCATACAATTTTAACATATTTTGAGAAGCAAAAGAACGATTCTTTTTCAAGAAACAACAGATGAAATGTTTAAGGAAAAATGAAGGAATTAACGAAACATATATTCACATATTTTAAATTACGATCATTTCGCCATTTGTTTTAGATTTAGAGGCAGCGAATTAACGAAAGTTTAATTGCAATAAGCATGAAAAGCCTGCCTAATTGAAAATAAAGTAATTAAAACGTACATACAAGTCTTTTATATATATATACATTCAATTTTATACATTCAAAGTCGTATAAATGTATTTTAACGTTATTGGCAGGTTTTGCTTTGATTTCCGTAGAGAAAACACACACATTTGCTTACAACATTTAAAAAATTATATACTAAAATATGCTTTAAAGCTTAATCTATTTAAACAACAATTTCTAAACTCATTTGCCATTTCGTATAACGTGAACCTCTACGGCATTTGGAATAAACCTGTGTAATTCTTAGGTCTAAAAAAGTAATATAAAAGTAATATCTACTTTGTTTTTGGATATTCATTTTAAAATTTATAAAATGTCTTTTCTAAATGTTGTTTTCCACTGCCTTTAAAGATACGAGATTTTAATGCCTCGCCTTTCTGATTTTACATTTTACAAATAGGCTATACAAAATATTCATCGACGCAAATCTATGGTGGTACCTACGCATACCCCCATACATAAGTATATATTAATATGAATTTAAAGATTAAAGATCAATGTGTCATTTGCAATCATGATTTTACACAATAGTTTGATTCTATTCAAACTGAAAATTAACACGTAGCTTATAATTGCAATCGGGCTGAAAAAATGGCATGGAAATACAATGGCAATTGCGATTTTTATTGCTTGGATATTAAAAAAAATTTTAATTTGTGAAAGCTGAACAATTGTTTACTTTGTACGTTTAAATTTACTCATAACTTTGTTCATTGAAAGCTGTAAAAAAATAAATTTCAAGCTAAAAGCTCTCACTTACTTATTTTATTATTATTATTTATATTTTAACAGTTAAATTATTAATTATTTAATTAAATTTTTGCATCCCGAATTGAAATCGTTTACAATTTTCAAATATAAATCTTAAAACGAAATATACTTTATATTTTTCCCCTGAAAAAAAAAAAAAGCTTTTCATATTTGTAAAACCACACGAGTTGTGTGGTTACGGGTGACCTAATTTCGGTTAATTAAGTTTTAAAAGTTAATAAATTATAACTCATAAGTAATATTACATTGTGATTGGGCACAATCTTTTACTCATAACTAGGCTCTCTTATCGCTGTGCGGAGTTGAATTCCTTATTTTTTTTCTTGCTGTTTCCTCTGCCAGTTTATATACTAAGTGATTCATCACAGAATTTGATATCATTAATGAATCGATCGTGCCCGCAAACGACTCCGAGTCCAAGTCCAAGTTGAAGTCGCAGAATCGAATCAAGTGCAAGGCTGAAAATTTTCCACGCCTGTCTGGCTGGCACGCGTCTGGAAAGCGACTGCGTGAGCTTATCAACAATGCCCACGCATTTATTCTGCTCGCATTGCAAGACTTAAGTCAGCGGAAAATTTTCAAAAAGAGAAAAATAAATTGAGAACGCTTGCACTTGGATCGGCAATCGCATTCAGTTTCAGTTCAATTACTGCAGCCAGCGCGGGCAGATGTTATATAATATACCTACAGCTACGACGAAGTCATTAACTTCGAAATCACTATTTGCAGATCGCCGAGCCCGCAGCACGCAAGAAGAAAATGTCGGAACGCCAACCGTTGCTGCTGCAAAGCGATGCCTCCGACTATGAGGGCAGCCGCATCACAGCCCCTCCGGTGCGTCCTCTCCGCAGCTCCCCGCCGGATAGCACGCTGGTAAATGTCCAGAGCGAGGATAGCATTGCCGGTAAGTTCCTATTCCATAGAGCTGTGCCCGAGCGCAAAGCCGATGCGAAGTAGAATGAAGAATTTAATGTCGAAGAATCTTGTACATATACGGTTGTAAAATTTAATTCGTACTTGGAACAATTAAAATTTTAAATTAGAATCCGTTTAAATTATCTCGCGTGATCGTGAAAGGCCAAAACTGTTTTGAAATTTGTTTCGTGACGGCACGCGCACAGCTCTAGTTCTTTCCTTCAGCACTGCAGCAGTGTTTAGAGACTAAGCCATGTTGTTGTTGTACTAAAATCTCAGTGCATGCCGCAGCAACTTCAGCAGATGATGAACAGAGCAGCCAGGCGGGTGAGGAGGCCGGAAAGTCTGTCTACGATCCCGCACATCATCGCGATCTGGAGCATCCCACGTCTAACTTTGATACACTGGTGCATTTGTTAAAGGGAAATATTGGCACTGGCATTCTGGCCATGCCGGATGCATTTAAGAACGCCGGCTTATACGTCGGTCTCTTTGGCACTCTACTGATGGGCGCCATCTGTACCCACTGCATGCACATGCTGGTCGCCTGCTCCCACGAGCTCTGCCGGCGACTCCAACAACCCTCGCTCAACTTCTCCGAAGTGGCATATTGCTGTTTCGAGACGGGTCCTTTGAGTCTAAGACGCTACTCTAACCTAGCCAGGTAAGGATATTTCCATTTAAATTCAGTTTAAAACCATGTGGAAGTTCAATATAATTTTTATAGAGTAGTATGTATTAGTAAGTTACGTTACGTTTATTACGCACCACAAATTTGAAATCAATCCAATTCTCGCTTTGCCAAGCCTTGGCATTTGCTATGAGAAATTTCACAATTTAAGTCCACAATATTATTTTTTAATTTATCAAAAAATTCACAATTTAATTCTCGCTTTGCCAACGCTTAGGTACTTGGTTTGAGAATCGCAGAGGAGGGCGGTCATAATATTTTTATTTAATTTATCAGAAATTTCACTATTTAAGTCCACAATATTATTTTTTAATTTACCAGAAAATTCACAATTTAATTCTCGTTTTGCCAACGCTTAGGTACTTGGTTTGAGAATCGCAGAGGAGGGCGGTCATAATATTTTTATTTAATTTATCAGAAATTTCACTATTTAAGTCCACAATATTATTTTTTAATTTACCAGAAAATTCACAATTTAATTCTCGCTTTGCCAACGCTTAGGTACTTGGTTTGAGAATCGCAGAGGAGGGCGGTCATAATATTTTTATTTAATTTATCAGAAATTTCACAATTTAAGTCCACAATATTATTTTTTAATTTACCAGAAAATGCACAATTTAATTCTCGCTTTGCCAACGCTTAGGTACTTGGTATGAGAATCGCAGAGGAGGGCGCCGACAATATTTTTATTTAATTTATCTCAAATTTCACAATTTAAGTCCACAATATTATTTTTTAATTTATCAGAAAATTCACAATTTAATTCTCGATTTGCCAACGCTTAGGTACTTGGTTTGAGAATCGCAGAGGAGGGCGGTCATAATATTTTTATTTAATTTATCAGAAATTTCACTATTTAAGTCCACAATATTATTTTTTAATTTACCAGAAAATTCACAATTTAATTCTCGTTTTGCCAACGCTTAGGTACTTGGTTTGAGAATCGCAGAGGAGGGCGGCCATAATATTTTTATTTAATTTATCAGAAATTTCACTGTTTAAGTCCACAATATTATTTTTTAATTTATCAGAAAATTCACAATTTAATTCTCGCTTTGCCAACGCTTAGGTACTTGGTTTGAGAATCGCAGAGGAGGGCGGTCATAATATTTTTATTTAATTTATCAGAAATTTCACAATTTAAGTCCACGATATTACTTTTTAATTTACCAGAAAATTCACAATTTAATTCTCGCTTTGCCAATGCTTAGGTACTTGGTTTGAGAATCGCAGAGGAGGGCGGTCATAATATTTTTATTTAATTTATCAAAAATTTCACAATTTAAGTCCACGATATTACTTTTTAATTTACCAGAAAATTCACAATTTAATTCTCGCTTTGCCAATGCTTAGGTACTTGGTTTGAGAATCGCAGAGGAGGGCGGTCATAATATTTTTATTTAATTTATCAAAAATTTCACAATTTAAGTCCACAATATTATTTTTTAATTTACCAGAAAATTCACAATTTAATTCTCGCTTTGCCAACGCTTAGGTACTTGGTTTGAGAATCGCAGAGGAGGGCGGTCATAATATTTTTATTTAATTTATCAGAAATTTCACGATTTAAGTCCACGATATTACTTTTTAATTTACCAGAAAATTCACAATTTAATTCTCGCTTTGCCAACGCTTAGGTATTTGGTTTGAGAATCGCAGAGGAGGGCGCCGACAATATTTTCATTTAATTTATCACAAATTTCACAATTTATTGAACACATATACATATGAACATACATACATTATTAATAATAATTTGGTACTGCCATTACAATTAAAAACTTATCATATTTCTTCACTACAGACGCGTCGTCACAACATTCCTGTTCATTACCCAAATCGGATTTTGCTGCGTTTACTTTCTGTTCGTAGCGCTGAATATAAAGGCCGTCTTGGATCATTATTTTGTGTGGAATGTATTAATTTATTTGGTGATAATGCTTGTACCGATGGTGCTGTTAAATCTGGTTCGCAATCTCAAGTACCTGACGCCCGTCTCGTTGTTTGCTTCGCTGCTCACCATTGCCGGATTGGTGATTTGCTTCACCTATATTCTACGGGATTTGCCGGATGTAAATACCGTCAAACCGGTGGCTACTTGGGCCACTCTCCCATTGTACTTTGGCACCGCCATCTATGCATTTGAGGGCATTGGCGTAGTACTGCCGCTGGAGAATAATATGCGCACACCCCAGGATTTCGGCGGTTCTACCGGTGTTCTTAACACAGGGATGGTCATTGTGGCCTGTTTGTATACATCGGTGGGCTTCTTCGGATATTTGAAGTATGGCGAGGGTGTCAAAGGCAGCATTACATTGAATTTGCCGCAGGGCGATGTGTGAGTATTGTTCTATTACAAGTAGTATTCATTAATTATACATTTATTACAACAGACTTGGAGATCTAAGTATTATTTCTTCACTCCTATTGACATTCTTTTGTTTTGTTTACTGCAGTCTGTCGCAGATGGTTCGTATTTGCATGGGCCTCGCCATATTCCTCTCCTATACGCTGCAGTTCTACGTGCCCGTAAATATTGTGGAGCCCTTCGTGCGTAGCCATTTCGATACGACGCGACTCAAGGATTTGGCTGCAACCGTGCTTCGCGTCGTGCTGGTCACATTCACATGTAAGTGCAGATATTTAGTATAACTATATAGACCATCTCCATTAAATAATATTTGTTTGTTTTTTAGTCATGCTGGCGGCTTGTATACCCAATCTGGGCTCCATAATTTCGTTAGTTGGCGCTGTTAGCAGCTCAGCGCTGGCGCTGATCGCACCACCAATCATCGAGATAATTACATTCTATCATGTTGGCTATGGACGCTACAATTGGATGCTATGGAAGGATATTGCGATTTTAATCTTTGGACTATGCGGTTTCGTTTTTGGTACATGGGCGAGCTTGGCCCAAATTTTAACTCCGAGCACAGATTAATTGCAAATGATGCGAATGCATTTAAATGTTCGCGAATTTAGGCAGAAAGCTTTAAAAGAGTATTAAGATTGGGCTGCAGCAACGGTATGGAATAGCGAATAACAGTTTTTTCTTTATTTAAAAAAAAAAATGGTTTTAGTCTACAGTTTTGCAAACTTTGTTTTGTTTGCTTCGTTTAATCCGGCTGCCAAAATTTTACACATACAAAATTTCACTTTTTCTCAACGATTCATTGGAAATCGAAATTGAAAATGAATATGCAAATCCTAAGTATTACATCTACAAACTAAGTGTGAAACATTTTGGCAATCGTCTGTCTGGTAAAACCCTTGTTTTATATCTTGTAACGAGTCGTAGAAAGAAAGTTTCAATTCAATTTGTAAAAACAAAACTTTAACCAGATCTTGTACAAAATACTTGTATCGCCGTTAAGGCTTGCCCAGCTAATCATAGGCTATTGGATATTTTTAGTTTTGTTGTGGAAGCTACTTTTACTGCTGGGCAGTATAAACGACTCATCACTGTTACTGCAGAACAATTAAAGTACACCATATAGATTATACAATTAGTTGCTACTGTTTTAGGTATATTAGGTTTCTTCTATGTTTGTGTATAGACGGTGCTTGCGACCCTCTGCCAAAGACTTGCGGGTACCTCCGACTGTCATCTAAAGGTTTTATTTATGTATCTACGACAAGAGTAATTTCAAACGACACATGTATGTGGCAGACAATAATTAGCAGCTTAAGTCAAATATTCTGTGTCAAATGTGTTAGACCAATAATCAAAAGAAAATAGTTCAAATGCAGATTTTAGTTCATTAACTCAACTACCTGTTAGTCTTGAAGTTCTTTCTTAAAAAGTTATCTCTAATTATGTAAGTTTTCAAAGTGTATTCCAATATATTTTCAATGGAATTTTTGTAAGCCAAATCTGAATGATCGCACAACGTAAGAAGGGATTTTTGTAAAGTATTTTTAAACAATTTAGTTATTATTTGTGGTTAGCTGTGTAGCTCATTCCAAATCCAATGGAAAACTTCTCACATGACCAGTTGTTGTGTAAAAAAAATATTGTTTATGCATAACACACAAAATCATATATACGCCTATATGTATACAAATATATATATATAAATATACCCATAACATGTGTGTGAAAATTATTATATTATCTATTATAAAAAATTGTATGCCTATGCCAGAGAAAACAATTCCTGGCTTATACAAAACTTATGAATATTTAAATATTTCTTTATATCTTAAGACTACGACAAAAGACAATAATAAAATGTATTTAATGTTTACAAAAAAAGATATTAATGTGTGATTTTTCATTAATTTAAATGGTCTTATTTTACATTAAAAATGCTGAAAATTTAAATAACCAATAATAATCACTCCGACAAGAGGAATTCTTAAAATTATGGGATCAGATCAGATCAAATGAATCTTTATGCGAAAAAGTGATTGATTTATGAAGAACTTGAATCCAAAATGTAAAAGTTTTATGGCCTAACTATTTAACCAACTGAGTCTGTTTGTTTAATTCCTTAAAAATGTTGTCATGAGGCCGAAATTACATTTGCTTAAAGAGTTTTAGTGAACTACATACAAGGGTAGGCCACTGCCCTTTGGCATACGAATATTACTACATACCAGTCGGGTTATTATTTCTGTTATCTTTACCTCAAATTAAAATCAACCATTCAGTTCAAGATACAACAATTAAAATTTCGTTGCGAAAGCAACATTTTTAACATTTTCACATTATAACACATGTTAACAATGTTCGAAAAAAGAATGTTGTGAACTTCTTTGTATGCAGTTGAGTTGGTTGAATCGGGTCGATCGGGCTATATAAAAGGTTGGAAGGCACTCTTCATTATCATTCAATACCAATCATTCCTCTGAAGTAAAGCACGAGTTTCTCCTCAAATCAAAATGAAATTTGGTGAGTCCTATACAAGTATATCTTACATCTACGTATACATTTTAATCCTCAATTGGGAATTCTCAGCTCTAGCCTTCCTTACCTGTGGTCTGATCATGTGTTTGGCTGTAACCTACGGTACTGACTGCGATCCTCATGGAGACAATAAACCAAACTGTACCGAGACCAGTGAGAAGAAGATTCGTAACTTTTGGGACGCAACACGGTATTGGGTATGCGTAGAGGACGAGGCCGAGTCGGAAAGATGTCCAGATCAACATCTGTTTGATCCCAAGATCGAGGAATGCGTTTTTTGGAGCGAATGGGAATGGTATGAGCCATGCAAAGATTTGGAATAAATTATGTGGCTCATATAATACATCTAATAAAAATATATATTTTTAAATATCTTTTATAAATACCCATAACCAGTAGAACTCATAATAAGCCCACTTTGTAAAAGCTTTAATAAATAATCTATATATTGCATATTAATTAACACTTTTCAATATTCGCATTATCCAATTTGGACCAAAGGCATATCGTTGAAAAAAATAAATCGAGTTAACGTGCTGAAATCAGTACAAGGTACAAGACAAATACATTTGACCTTCTATCTGGATGAACGTCTGAAATGAAGAAACGACGGAGCCCACAAAGACCATATTTATATTATTGATCGGATCGCTATAGCATTCCATTCCTATTTTACTTATGTTTGCGTTTCTAGTACTTTAAATTATTTAATTAGTTAACAGCTTATAAAAATCAATCAATAAAAATAATTAAAATGAATAAACTTCGTCGTATAATGTCCAAAGTTTGCGACAGAATTAAGTTTTTGTTCATTGCTTTTCTGAAAAACTGTACGTTTTTAAAGATTATATGCTATTATGGGAGAGCTGGTTCCAGGTTTGCATTATTTCTTATTTTGTTTATGCTTTTTCCCCATGATATCCAAGTTAAAGGATTATTTTAAAAGATAAAAGCATGAAGAAGGATGTTTTGGTAGGTATCGGCGTTTAAATAATTTTTACGACAAGACAAAATCCTATATCGATTAGTGGCGAAATCTTAGGTAAATAAATATATTGGATTTGTTGTCATGTCCTATGATATTCCATAATTTTTCTCTATGTGCTGCCAATCTAGTCTATCGTGTCTGGTTATTATTAATCAACTAGTTTTCTGTTATAGGGATCCGTGAATAGAATAAAATACTTTCTTCGATCGCCAAAAACCATTCTATTATGAGTTATAGTATGAGTATAATGCACTTTTCAAAATATGCTCAATTTAGCAAGTCACTGCATACGATTGTTACTGCATACTGGTGTATTTTGGGTAATTCACTTATCTTTATCTTAAATTGAAATCAATCAACCACTGCAAGATACAGGTAGAAGAATTGAAATTTTCTTGCACAGGCAAATTTAATTCATTTTAACATGTTGACATTATAACACATGTTATCAGTTTTCGAAAAAATATAATTTCAATTCGACAGATAATAATGTGAACTCGAAGCTGGATCCGGCTATATAAAAGGTTGGAAGGCACTCTTCAATATCATTCAATACCAATCATTCCTCTGAAGTAAAGCACGAGTTTCTCCTCAAATCAAAATGAAATTTGGTGAGTCCTATACAAGTATATCTTACATCTACGTATACATTTTAATCCTCAATTGGGAATTCTCAGCTCTAGCCTTCCTTACCTGTGGTCTGATCATGTGTTTGGCTGTAACCTACGGTACTGACTGCGATCCTCATGGAGACAATAAACCAAACTGTACCGAGACCAGTGAGAAGAAGATTCGTAACTTTTGGGACGCAACACGGTATTGGGTATGCGTAGAGGACGAGGCCGAGTCGGAAAGATGTCCAGATCAACATCTGTTTGATCCCAAGATCGAGGAATGCGTTTTTTGGAGCGAATGGGAATGGTATGAGCCATGCAAAGATTTGGAATAAATTATGTGGCTCATATAATACATCTAATAAAAATATATATTTTTAAATATCTTTTATAAATACCCATAACCAGTAGAACTAATAATAAGCCCACTTTGTAAAAGCTTTAATAAATAATCTATATATTGCATATTAATTAACACTTTTCAATATTCGCATTATCCAATTTGGACCAAAGGCATATCGTTGAAAAAAATAAATCGAGTTAACGTGCTGAAATCAGTACAAGGTACAAGACAAATACATTTGACCTTCTATCTGGATGAACGTCTGAAATGAAGAAACGACGGAGCCCACAAAGACCAAATTTATATTATTGATTGGATCGCTCTAGCATTCCATTCCTATTTTACTTATGTTTGCGTTTCTAGTACTTTAAATTATTTAATTAATTAACAGCTTATAAAAATCAATCAATAAAAATAATTAAAATGAATAAACTTCGTCGTATAATGTCTAAAGTTTGTGACAGAATTAAGTTTTTGTTCATTGCTTTTCTGAAAAACTATATATTTTTAAAAAATTATGGGAGAGTTGGTTCCAGGTTTGCATTATTTCTTATTTTGTTTATGCTTTTTCCCCATGATGATCAAAGTTAAAGGGTTATTTGAAAAGATAAAAGCATGAAGAAGGATGTTTTGGTAGGTATCGGCGTTTAAATAATTTTTACGACAAGACAAAATCCTATATCGATTAGTGGCGAAATCTTAGGTAAATAAATATATTGGATTTGTTGTCATGTCCTATGATATTCCATAATTTTTCTCTATGTGCTGCCAATCTAGTCTATCGTGTCTGGTTATTATTAATCAACTAGTTTTCTGTTATAGGGATCCGTGAATAGAATAAAATACTTTCTTCGATCGCCAAAAACCATTCTATTATGAGTTATAGTATGAGTATAATGCACTTTTCAAAATATGCTCAATTTAGCAAGTCACTGCATACGATTGTTACTGCATACTGGTGTATTTTGGGTAATTCACTTATCTTTATCTTAAATTGAAATCAATCAACCACTGCAAGATACAGGTAGAAGAATTGAAATTTTCTTGCACAGGCAAATTTAATTCATTTTAACATGTTGACATTATAACACATGTTATCAGTTTTCGAAAAAATATAATTTCAATTCGACAGATAATAATGTGAACTCGAAGCTGGATCCGGCTATATAAAAGGTTGGAAGGCACTCTTCAATATCATTCAATACCAATCATTCCTCTGAAGTAAAGCACGAGTTTCTCCTCAAATCAACATGAAATTTGGTGAGTCCTATACAAGTATATCTTACATCTACGTATACACTTCAATTCTCAATTGGGAATTCTCAGCTCTAGCCTTCCTTACCTGTGGTCTGATCATGTGTGTGGCTGTAACCTACGGTACTGACTGCGATCCTCATGGAGACAATAAACCAAACTGTACCGAGACCAGTGAGAAGAAGATTCGTAACTTTTGGGACTCAACTCGGTATTGGGTATGCGTAGAGGACAAGGCCGAGTCGGAAAGATGTCCAGATCAACATCTGTTTGATCCCAAGATCGAGGAGTGCGTTTTTTGGAGCGAATGGGAATGGTATGAGCCATGCAAAGATTTGGAAACAAATTAATTGTTTAACTTCTACTTAATTTTTACTATTACATAAAACATTCATAACATGCAATAACTATTAATTATCTCACTGTGTTGAGACTCTAATAAAATGTATTATTATTCGAAAAATGTGTGTGTTGTTTGACTCGAAAATTCTCCAGATGCCTTAGTAGTCAAAATCTTGTTGGATTTTCGTCAAAATTTATTTTCGACGCAGATCTCTGCAGATAGGTTATTCCCTTTTTTTTAGACAATCAGCCCCATATGCGTAGCCCTGCTATAAAAACAGGGTCCAAGTAGGTTACTGCAATGCCGATTGTTCTCAGGCCGAAGAAAAAGAAACCGTCTGTGTGCCCTGCCCCTCTCTGGTATCGGGGTCTGTCCAACGAACAAGTTGATGCGGCTAAGGCGCTGCAGGATGCTCTCACCGACGACATACATCAGGGCACCACTTATCGGGTACATCAATGCCTGTTCACAATTGGCATATCCCCCATGGCTACCTCCGAGGAGCTGTCCGTGATTATGAATTGTAGTCGTGGCAATGATTTGGCGTTTCTCTACTTCCTCATGTGCGCGTATTACAAGTCCGAGCCCCGCGATAACAATATTACGGGCTTCAATATCAACGAGCAGTACATTCTGTCCTGCATTGCTAAGCTGGACACACCGTTCACTTTGGAGGCATTGGATCGCATTCTGCCGTCCCCCCCAAATACTGTGGCTGCCCCAAGTCCCATTCCTCAGGTCTCAACGAAGAGCGAGAAGAAACGCTACCAACTCTCAACTCCATATCAGGCATCCAATAAGGCTGCTGGTGTAAATAAAGCGCCTTTACCAGTCTCGACTCCATATCAGGCACCCAATAAGGTTGCTGGTGTCAAGAGATTGCCTTTATATGTCTCCACTCCATATCCGGCATTGAACAGGTGTGGCGATGTTTCAACTCTATATCCGACATCCAGGTTGGGGGCCGGTGCATCGCCTTATTTTCAAAAACAACCGCGACCCTCAATGCCTCCAGATACGAAAAAATACTTAAGTTCGCCACCCGCTACTTCTGCCACATTCGAGGACGAGCCACAGCCCTACCAAGGAAGATCGCGTGAGGAGAATCGATGGTTCGCCACTTATGAGTTTCAGCCAAAGAAGCGCATAACAAAAGCAATTGTTACCGAGGAACTCAATAGACTCTTCGACAACATCGATTGTATTCAGCTTGATGGGTCGGAATCCTTGTGTACCTACCATCGTAACATCAGAGATTTGGAGAGAGATACCTATTTGGTAGAGGCAAGGAAGCGTTGCTTGCAGTTACTGCAGGGACAACGCAAGGAGGTAAGTGAACAGGTACAACGGGCTACGGGATAAAAGATTAGATAGGAGGTTCATTAGATGGTTCCACAACCAACTCAATTATCCATTCCTACAGCTTATAAATTTCCTCTAATTAATAATAAAATCAAAACTATGGTTAGTTTGGGATCACTTACAATCTGGAGAATTGCTGTGCATCCCTAAAAGTCTTTCTGTTTTAGGTAAAAAAAAATTGTTTTTCCGAGCAGAACTGGCCCCACAACAGTTTCCGTCCTTAACTATCTTAGCTTAACTAACAAATATCATTACATTAAGGAACTATCCAGATTCATCAGCGATCTTAATTTGTATTTAAAGCTCACAGGGATCTAAAGTAGAATCCTTGGTATAAACCCTGCGGTCCGAATATAAAAAAGTGCATATTAGTTTTCAATGGAAGGTACCCATAATCCGTTTCTTATCTATGTAAGTCTAGCGTGTATGGAAATCGGAAGCATACGGAAACTTACTATTTTTTTTCTTTTTCTATAACATCTTTGACGTACCTATTTTGCTTTAGCGGACACGACAGCGCATTGCTAGCCAGCTGGAGAGGGATGTGGAGCGGTACATGAAAGAGTTTGGTCCTAGGTGGAGTGATCTGAAGCCAACTGTGCCAGCCAGTGATTGCAAAGTCTGCAGTCATTTGACAACTGAGCCCACAAGCATAAAGGAGCCTGTAGTGCTGCTGGTGAATGGTGGCGAACGCATTTGTAGCCCACTCGTTAGCCTTTGTGAGGAGAAAGCAGCTCAGAGACTGCATTTTTTTGGGCTCAGATGTGGGGATGCTTTTAACGCTTGTGAGGAAGACAATCAGCGACTTCCTGGTGGTCAGGACAAGCCTGAAACGCAACAACAGCAACTGCCAAGACCTGTGGGTCATACGCAAACCATTCCGAGGATGCAGCCAAAATGTTCCTGCGAAAGCGCTGATGGGCCCAGACGAACACCTCTGGGCGAATGCAGCCACAACCAACGAAATGTGAATAGAGGTTGCCTCCGCAGAAGATCGTCACGCAGAGCCTCCAGGCCTTCGAAACGCGCTCCTGTGGAGCTTCCCTTTTTTCAGCCACCGTCGAAGCATAAGCCCTACGCCTTCGACTACGATCGTGTCTTTGATATTGGCGCCGGCCCTAGAAATTCCGAGGAAAATATTAAAACGAATTTCGTACGGGCTCTGCACAAACCAATCGATCAAGAAACTGAACTCAATTCCAAGTCTTTTGCAAACTTAGCCCCATATCAGCGGGTGGATGTGATCGCTGCAGTCTCGAAATGTGCTAACAAAATTATTGAGAAATTTGTGGAATCGGCACCACCCTATATTCCAGAGACACCATCAATAGTATCCACAAACGAACCCCCGAAATTGAGTTTCGAGGACCGCACAAGCTTTGATCCAAACGATGATGTTCTAATGGATCAGATGCTTAAAGATGCCTTCGGTATATTGCGCCAGGATGCCAGATACGTGTTGGCCTCCTTGCCCGATGGTCATCTGCTACCTGTGCTACGTGAGTGGGTCAGAAAGCGATATGGCAAGCGATATCCTTCAGTCGAAGATGATGAAATCAGAAAGAAATTGTTGGCTCTGGCCGAAAACTTATCGGCGCCCAGACCAAAAGCCCTTTTTCAAAACCGGAATTTTCCACACAAATATGGAGAGCTGGGACGCATTAGGAATGAGGTGAGCGATTCGAGTGGTTCCCAGGAAATGAAAGTGCAATCGCTATCTGCAGTTTTTTTAGGCTGAGTTATATTAGTACCGAACTGATTGAACATATAGTTCGGTGCCTATAAGGATATGCTATTTATAGTTTTCCTTACATAAATTTGCCTGCAAATATTTTAAAACGATAGGTCTCTTAGTATAAGTATATGTATTGAACTTTTTCTTGTTCTTTCAATTCCCGGGAACACTATTAGTTCCACTCTCTCATATCAAATATACCCGTAGGCCAAGGAGTACACCAAAATATACGAAACCAAAGTCGCGAATGAAATAATGGAGGGTGGACGACGCTGTTGGCAAACTATGAAGCTTGATCGCTGCCATGGGCATGATATGCGGAATACATTCTTTTCCTATATGCCTAATCGAAGACGCGACATAGTGCTCCCTCATAACGCGTGTCGCTGAGCCGAAGAAGGGATTACCTAAATTACTTTGGAATATCTCATTTTTGGAAAAACATTTTCTATCGGTTCTTTTTAAATCGTAGGCCACATCTAGAGATATTGCTTTGAGCCTTGTACAGCGCTTATAAGACAAATGCCCGTATATACCTATGTCGGTAATTTGTCTTATACGCTATATAAGATTCAGAAATTTCCATAGATTTGCTATACAGTTGATTATAAATTTGTTTAATGCTAAATTATTTTTAACGTTGGACAAATTTGATTGAATTCTTAATTTTTAAAATTCTGCGTTTTCATTTCATATTTTTGTGTATTTACGAGTATTTCAAAATATTAACTTAACAAAATTTTGTGTTAATGAATTTTAATATTATATATATTATTTATATTTATATTAAATACTTCACTATATTTCTTATTTTCTCCAAAACAGAAGTGGAGTGAACAAATCCCTTCGTGCTACAATTTGCAATTTTTTTTTTATATATAGTAAGACATATGTATTATCTATTCTAAATGTGGTTGGTTTAGCAAGCAAGGTCGTTCGTTTTAGCCCATTGATAATGAAATTTAAATTGTTTGCTTGACTTCCCGATTTTGGCTAAGCGAGGGCAAATATTCAGCCACCAACTACCAACTAAGACGTGCCCAGCGACTAAGACTCCCACAAGGGCCGGGGGGAAATAATAAAAGCTATAAAATTGTATGAACACGTTCGTCAACCCATTTGCTATGCCGAGCACATAAACTGAACCAAAGCGGCAAACTGCCATTAAACCTTAACAGCTGACCGGGCGCCATATAAAAGCCCCACCGACATCCAACGAAGTCATCAATCAACAGCGAATCGAGCAAATCAAAGCATCATGTGCAAGTACAATAAACTGTTTGTCTTCTACACCATCTTGGGGATCGCCCTGTGGACGGGTGAAGTGAGGTGTGCATCGGTTTCGAGGCGAAGCCAACGCCAAGAAGTAGCCCCCTATCCCTCGGCCGAGGAATTGAAGCCGGAAATCCCATTTGAGGAGGGCGTAGATGCAGCGCCCGATCAGACTTATGGACCACCTGATCAGACCTATGGACCACCTGATCAGACCTATGGTCCACCAGACAACACGGTCGAGCAGCTTCCCAGTGCAGATGAGCCGCTAGATTTTGTGCCCGATCCGGACGCAGAGGAAGTACAGCCCACAGATCCGGCACCCGCTCGTTTCATTGCCCGCGGTGGCCGTTCAGGTCAGCAGCAGAGTCGCCGTCCCGCAGTCCTCACCCAAAGACAGCGACTTGCTCGTCCACAACGTCTTGTACTGATTACGGATAGCGAAGATGTTGCTGCTCCTGCCTCTCTAGGCTACTTGCAACCACTTCGTCTGATCAGTCCAGCTCAAGCAGCACAGCTGCAACTGCAATTATGGTAGATCCAATCTATCTATGATGGACTTCTCTGTATAATGATTAAAATAACAAACGAATAAACGAACCTATTTCACAATCAAAAGTTTGAGTTCTATTGAATGTGTTTCCCAAAAATGTAGCTAATTATGAGCTAATGGACTATGAATAATATATCTAAATAGTCCTTTGTGAAATAGATTCTTGTGCATTAATGTAGTCTATCGGGTGCACATAAAATAAAAATAGATTTGTTATAAGTTTAAAGGAATAATATGCTTTTGTGTTAATGCAATTCAAACAAGAAAGGAATGCTAAAGTCGAGCAGGCTCAACTCTTAAATACCCTGTACCACCCCACAAAAAAATAATATGCATCGGAAAAAATGAACAAACTCGTCCTTTCTCGGGCTCAAGAGAATCTGTATACCAAGTTTGGTTATTCTAGCTCTTATACTTTCTGAGATCCTTGCGTTCATACAGACAGACAGACAGACAGGCGGAGAGACGGACATGGCTATATCGACTCGGCTTGTCATGCTGATCAAGAATATATATACTTTGTGGGGTCTACCACGCCTCCTTCTGTGTGTTCCATGTACACTCGCACAAAACTAATATACCCTTGTACCCTTTGGGTACAGGGTATAAAATTTTCAACTAGCATATGAAATATAAATAAAGCCTATAAATATAATATATTTTATAAATTATAAAAATGCTAAAAAAGTTGTTAACCAAGTTATCTCACTTCAATCTCTCTGATGTGCAAAGCTTTCAAATATTTTATTTTCTAATCTTTTTACATACTTGTAGTGAGTCGAAAATCTTTGTTGAATGAAAAGTAATCAATATAATAAATCAAAAGGGTATAGTACATCAGACAAACCTTTATTAGCTCGTTAATCAAAGCGTTCAACAGCCATTATAGGCGTTGCGCTGCTTATCATAATCGGCGTTTCTTATCTGTGCCAAAATAATTAATTTTGTAGCATAATGTTTTCCTTCTCAAGTTGTTCACAATTGGCAGCAATTGCCAATTTCTTTACCACACTTACATACAAGTATACTACTTGTATTTCAGCATTATCTGCTGGTGTATGAGATATTAAAAAGTGTTTTTCTAATCATTTCGCAATTTTTTATTCATTATTTTTGGAACAATTCTATTGGCATGGAGCATACCATTGCCATACACCCCAGTCGACACAAGCGCCGCTCACGGGATCGAAGCCCTGTGCAATTGGGCATTCAACCGCCTCAGCAACGCCTCCGTTGCACACCCAGTAGCGTGTCGGGTCCCAGAAGTTGCGAATAGGGGTAGCGTCGGTGCCGGAACAGGTTGGCTGGTTGTTTCCATCGGGATTGCAGCTAGAGTCCGCACCGTAGGCTACAGCCACGAACACAGCCAGACAGAGAAGAACAAGAGCTGCGACATGGGATATATAGTATTTACGTATGAGCACTACGAATTTTGGAAGCATATACGTATATGGTGAAATATATACTTACCAGATTTCATATTGATAGGAGTGGTTACGCTTCAGACAAACAATTGCTACTGAATACTACCGAACAGTGCCTTTCGGGCTTTTATAGTTCGAATAAAAGTTAGATAAGCGCTACAGAGTGTCGTTGGAGTTGTATTAATATTACTTATCTCTCGAGGTCGTGTTGCAATTTTTTTCCTCTTTTTTTTGCCACATCAATACTTTGTCGCGTTTCTAATACGCGTCACTGGCTTATTGCTGCTACGTACACTATCTTGATGGATGATTATGGTTGGCCCGCCAGTGATTAATTGGTATTACTTCGAGAATTGTTTGGCAGAAGAGAAAATTCCTAGATAGCGTATATACATTAGAGCCTCGGCGAACATTCGCCACGTTTCCCAACTTGCTTAGAATCCGGCGAATCAATTTTATTGCGGTAGGTCGGTTGCTAACAACGGGTTACGGGTTAGGTAATTGCTAGCGGTACGACGAAGTCTGCGCAAACGAGGCGCATACGAGTTTTGGAAAAATGCAGTAAAAACTTTTACTGGGAGATTCTTTGATGCCAAGGGTAATTTGTTTCGGACCCTTTTTATACCCATTACCTGAAAGGGCATGTGCGAATGAAAAATGTAACATGGAAATGAACGCTTTTCCGACCCAATAAAGTACACCTAATTCGGTTTTTACACGGTAGATTGGTTCCAGAAGAAGTCGTGTAAAAAAAGACATTGATCATAGGTTATGTTAAATAAAAAATTTTTAATTTTCAAACCGTGCATGTACATATATTATTGATCAGCATTTGAAGCCGTGCGAATTTAGGTATGTCTGCCTGTCTGTTCGTCCGTTCGTATGAACACCTAAATCTCAGAGACTATAAGAGATAGGGATACCAAATTTTGCACACAGATGCTTTATATTTGTACGAAATAAAGTGTATTTTTATATGCTGTACCCGATGTGTGAAAGGGTATACTAGCAGTGTGCGAATGTCAGTATCACACAAAAAAATGTGTGTCCGTCCATTCTAGCAATTCTGTCTTGGTGTAGCATATGAAGAAGCGACATCTCATATTAAAGCAGTAAACCATCAAATCTTCCAAGCGTGTAAAATTTTATACACATAACATATTATTAATGAAGCCAGAATGTTGGCTACATCGGATTTAAGTTTTCTTCTTTCTAAAATATTAAGAAGACTAAATAGTCCTTCGAAATGCTAGGCTATTAAACATTTCTTTTTATATTTTTGAAAATTTCATCAAAAATAATTATGTACTTAATAATTATAATCTGAACTGTGATTAATGTTGTTTATTTAAGAAATTTAGCTTAACATTTTAAATAGGGCTAATAAGTTATTTAATTTTTAGGGATGTTTGACGATCCTTAAGTTTTTTAAGGTCCGTAAAATACGATTTATCGACACAGACGATGTTGCTTTTTTAAGTTAGAAAAAAAAAAGATTAAAAGGGCGAGAATAGTTAGTACCTATAAGTAGTAATTTGTGTAATTTTTGGGCAACTTTTGCACGTTGGTAACTAATTCTAGTGGAAAGTATTTCCCGTTTCTATTTGAGATAATAAAAAACTTGTTTATGTTTTATTGTTATTTAATTTTTAGGGATGTTTGACGATCCTTAAGTTCTTTAAGGTCCGTAAATTACGATTTATCGACACAGACGATGTTGCTTTTCTAAGTTAGAAAAAAATAGTTCAAATCGGCAAGAATAGTAAGGACCTATAAGTAGTAATTTGTGTAATTTTTGGGCAACTTTTGCACGTTGGTAACTAATTCTAGTGGAAAGTATTTCCCGTTTCTATTTGAAATAATAAAAAACTTATTTATGTTTTTTGCATTTTATTCATCATTCTTGGAAGAATTCTACTAGCATGGAGGATACCATTGCCATACAGCCCAGTCGACGCAAGTGCCGCTCTTGGGGTCGAAGCCCTGTGCAATTGGGCATTCAACCGCCTCAGCAACGCTTTCGTTGCACACCCAGTAACGCGTTGGGTCCCAGAAGTTACGAGTAGGTGTAGCACTGGTGCCCGAACAAGATGGCTTGTCGTTTCCATCGGGATCGCAGTTAATGGAAGCACCGTAGGCTACAGCCACGACTACAGCCAGGCAGAGGAGGATAAGAGCTGCAATATGGGGTATATAGTATGTATGAGCATTTCGAATTATGGATGTATCTAGTAAACTGTCTACTCACTAGACTTCATAGTGACAGGAGTGGTTGCGCTTCAGACTAACGATTGCTACTGAATAATATCGAATAGCGCCTTTCGGGCTTTTATACGAATAAAAATGAGATAATCAAACATATTGTCGTTGGTGTACCTGTTAAAACACGTATTACAGATGTATCTGTCTCAATAACACACATTGTCTTATTGCTTCCAAATTCTGGTACGTACGATATCTTGACTGAGGATTATGGTTGGTACGGCAGTGACTAATTGGTATTACTTCATGATTTGTTAAAGTCCAACACATTCACATTTATCACTTAGCGTTAAAGATAATGCGTCTCGAACACCTTTCTAAAATCACAAAATTACTTTCCATATTAACTTCCAAACGTGAAAAATGTAAAAGCTAAGATAAACAGGAATCTTTCTAAAATCTTATCGGCTTCATCAGATCTACTAATATCTTCTTTAAGATTGTTTACTCTCGAAGTGTTAAGAAAACTAAATCGATTATCTTGTTCCTTTAGCAATATATTTCCGCCTTATTGAAATAATATTATATTATATCATAGAATATTATAATATATATAAATAATATAATATTATATATTACATTATTACAATTCGACTTTAATTTCAACACTGTCCTTTTTTTAAATGACTAGATTTTTTCCCAAATTCTGTTGCCCTTCAGCGGCGCCCAAATCATACAGAACTAAGTAGGCATCTAAAACTTAGTCAGCATTCGGCTTTTGGAAAATACTTACAGGACAAATTGTAAGAAATGCGGGCGATCTATGACCTTTTTTAGGTTAGGATCAAAGTCGAAATGTCTGCCAAATCAAAAATACCAACACTGTAAAAGTCTTCCTGTAACAATAAATGTGCGCATTTTTTTCTAGAAATAATCTTTATTGATAGTTATTGTAATAATAATAGACAACTCGTCAAAAATAAAATCCGCAGCACATATTTGATATCCACTACTATATTCCACTGCTATATTCTATTAAATCAATCAAGTAAATTATTTCAAGCCATCTTGCATTTGTGTGGGACTTTATTGAGTTAATTTGCTTTGTTTGCCAAAGTCAAGTAGAAACATCTGCCAAAATTGCGAATAAAGTTTAGGTTAGTTAGTTAGTATGCTTCATTTTATTTTTCAGTCCTTTTGCTTATTAGGTCCGAAACTTTTCTAGCGAACCTCCATTCATTTGCTGATATGAGCAAATGCTTAATTTTCTTACCTTCGTATGTACTCGCACATGACGGCATCCTGTTGAGCTCTATCACTACCCCTTACGTTATACCTATGATAAGAGCTTCGGAAATGTTCTCAGACCAATCACATACCTAATTCCGCGAAATGCTTTTAAATTTCTAAAAAAAAAAAGAAAAAAAAAAAGAAAGCTGATAACCTGTCGCATTTTGATTAGCAGAATAGAAATACAAGAGTTCTTCAGGCCAGACTTTTTGCAATTTTTTATTGCAAGCTCGCTCAAGGCACGTGTCGGAAATACAAGAAGTTAGATCTATGATAAAAATATATTCGCAATATGTCGATTTTTTACAGACCGCGTCACTAATCTTAATTACACCCATCCTATGGTTATCTGAATCTACTGGATTACATAGTTTGTTCAACTGATTAGAAAGATAGTTTATTTTATATATGCATGTATTACCTTAGTGGACGAAATAAAACAAACAATAACACGCTAATAAAATGACACTCAATCAGATAGCAGTAGAGGTTAACCAGTGGATTTCCAATTGAAATACTTAGATAAGGCAAAGGAAACAAAAAGACAATATGTGACATTCATCATATCATTTGGATTTACAAGCGGAACTGTATTGAAGATTTTATGTAATACTTAATTTGAACTTTTTTGTTTAAAGGTTAAATTAAATCTGTTGCATTATAAAAATTTGGAAAAAACGATTTCAGAAATCAAAACCCCACAATATAGTATTGTAGACCAGAATGTCAAGAAATGGTAGAAACGGTAGGAGCTAGAATAACCAAACTTGATACCCAGGTTCTCCTAGGTTAGAGATAGATTAGTAATAGGTATTTCCATAACTCAACTGTTTTTATTTATCAAGTACACCTGGTTAGAGGTTGTGTCCTTATATCAAGTTTCATCGCGATAGGTCAATTCTTCATTTAGAACCTTTATACCCATAAATGTAACCTCTGGAAGTGGATACGCTTCGTTGAAACCGAATTTATCAATTCGTACTTGTTTTAGCTTAAGCACAAGGAATAATGTTATTACTTATCATGTTATCTAAAAGATTAGGTCGCATAGTTGGTCTGCAGCCGTTTGATATCAATCGTATAATCCAAGTAATATGTTTTTCATACTTCACGATCAATTTCCACAATAGATTTAAATAGCATAATAATAATTGCATTCCTTTTTACATTTTATTCCAAAGCTTAAATAAAAACATACACTGATTTAGAAATATGGAATTATAAAAAGAAAATTAAAAGTAATAAAATGCCGGAAAAAGCAGCAATTGTTGTTGATTGAATTTATTATCTGCTAGGGAAACGGACACATCAGGCTTCAACTTATTTTCTTTTTAAACTAAATCAATTTGAAATATGGTACTAGTATTTATTAATCAAGTAAATGTAAATCGGTCAAGGCATTGTGGTGATATCAAGAGTTTGGCCCACTAAACAGATATAGCCACTTCAAGTAATTATCTGTGATATATTTTGTCTAATCGTCAGAGGCAGATTATTATTGTACATTTATTTTTAAATGTTGACACATATACGTATAAGAAAGTCAATTCCATTTGCTAAACATTTAATAAAATAACACTTATCTCGATCTTCTTCAACTAGCTGCGTGTTTCAAATTTATTTTTGGAGAACTTTTCATTCAATATCAGTATTGTCTTTTAAAACTCCGTTTAATCTTTAAACGATTTTGAATAATTCAGTAAATTGCATGGACGATCATAACTTCAAATCTTTTCTATTAAAAAAAAGGCTATCATATGTGAATATCCCCAATGTCAACATATTTTCCATAAGTTTCTGGCAATTAAGAAATGTGAACGCCCACATACGATTCGATATCTCTGACAAAGGTAATGCAAGCAGCCATGATGAACGGCGATAATTTCTTAACTCTCTTAATAGACAAGCGTTTTGTGGCTTGAGCTTCCCAAGGTATTTTGCTTAGGGTTGGAATTACGAGGGGGGTTCGAGAAATTGTATGCCACAGGTTTTATATAGTTTAAGAAATGCCTGAGACTTCTGTCGCAAAACATCAATTAAAGAGCTAACATGTATTTTATTTTATTAACCAACAACGACAATGAGTCAGTCACTTTAATTTTCCAACTACACGCCATGCTGGGCACGTTGATGAAACGTCGAAATGAAAAGTGAAAAGACAGACTCTGGTTACCCCAACTATAAATTCGTACTCCTTTGTACAGTCAAATGTGGCTTAAATGAAATGAATTTCAATTAATTTTACTTACGATTTTGTTTTGTTAAATAGTAAATAAATGTCAACATTTTTATCAATATATTTAGAAAAGAGCAAAAATCATTTTGGCTTGAGCGCAATTTTCTAAGAAACACTCTTAGTGTTTTTTAATTTTAATATCTTCAGTTCAAAATAATATTTTAAAGTAAGCCTCCGTACTATTCCGATTGTAATTTCGCATTGAATAAGTATTTTTGCTTAAGAAACCTATTGCCTATATGAAGAAATTACACTAATTAAATAAACTTGTCGTGTTAAATGGGGGTTCCAATCTGAACTGAATAATACTTAAGATAAAATGCTTTAATTTTGCAATGGAAATTAACAACCCATTCATAAATATTGGGTAATTGCAATTTACGAAAGGAATGAACAACCTAAGGTATGGATCGCAATGTTGAAAAAAAGAACAGACAAAAGCACTCAAACAATGCTTATAAATATATACGTGATCAAATTTTGATAAACACAAATTGTTAAATTCTCGTAAATCCAGAAAATTATATCGAAAGAGGCTAGATCCTTAAAACCGCATTACTCAATAGCTTTTGCGGAATTGCGAGCGTTTACCAATTTCAATTCCACCCAATTCAAATCAGTCTTTGTGCCGTTCTATGCGCTTCTCATGCACTAATATAGGTTATATTCACTGTACAAGCGTAGACCTGGCGAAAGAACCCGCTGCTGGCGTCACTAATAAGACCCAATGCATGGGGGAGACGACGCCAGCGAAGCGCACCCACACACTCGGATTTGACAATTTCAGGCTCAAATTGCCAAAGCGCAATTTGTCGCCAACGATTCGTAGACTTCGTCAGGTTGGCGTTTAGGTGTTGTAATACTTGGGCGATGTTTTATAAAGTCATTGACTTGAAGGCATGCGAGCTTAGTTGCAATGTTCAAAGCTAAACGGAAACTACTCGCATTGGCCACGTCGAGCCTGTGCCTCTTAACTTTGGCACTCGGCCAGGCCCAAAACAATACCACTATTGGACGCGTCGAGCCACTTAAGCTGACCTCTTTGACTGGATACGCGACCCCAACAAATAAACGTGAGATCCCAAGCCTAACACAGGATCTAACAGGCTCAGCAACAGCGAAAAGCTATGAGCCGCCCCCTGAGTTCTATAGAGGACCAGGCTCTACCAGTTCGGATAGCACCGCAGCCAGCTTTCTATCGAAATCAACGAGCGTACTTGGGTCGGGGGGACATTTGGGCAGTGTGGGGGAGAGCCTAAGCGAGGCTTACAACAAGTGGCGTAATGGAGGCAAATTTAATTACAACTTGCCGGGCAGTGCGCTGCAAGATCGCATCAGTGTGGGTAAGTACCAGAAGAAGGTGCATCAAGATTAGTCTCATTCTCAAAACCATCCCTGCACCCAACGTAACTTCACTTTTAAGAACATTTACTAAACTTTAGTTCTATAGGCCATTATGGGAGTACTGGACACAACACAGGCAGTCACGGCAGTGTTGGATATGCCTACGAAAGTCATCCGCTTGAATACGGACATGGAGGAAGTGGTGCCGGAGGTGGTGCCAGCATTGGTGGCCATCATTACGGTGGGCCATCATATTATGGATCTAGTACGAGCGCCGAAACAGGCGTACCTTTTGATGTGTACAGCGGCAGGCCAGGACTTGGAGGGGGCCATGGACACTATCCCGGGGCTGGGGGCGAATACTCCTACTCATACCCCATTGAGGGATCTGCTCATGAAATAGCCACACATAAGGGACCGCATGATTTATCGCAAAAGGCTTTGTTAGCCAAAAGTTTTCTAATTCCTTTGGCCAGCGCTGCGGTATTGGGAATTGCAGCCGCCCTGGTCAGCAATCCACTGCTTCTACAACTGGGCACAGTTTCGGGAGTTGGACCCACAATCGTAGGAAAACGAAAGCGACGCGAGACTAACAAAAATAAATTGCAACGAGCCTATGCGGGCCATAAGTAACAAATCAATTTGAGAAACTATCCATAATAAATGCGGAGCTTTAACTCTCGAAATCTAGGATATTAAAGATCTTTGTGATAGTACATAGCTTAAGGTGTGTAAAAGAGTTCAGTTCAATTTTATTTGCCACGGTTTAAATCCTTCTAGATGATGGGATTTCCAAGGGAGAAAACAAATTTCTTTATACACTCGATTGAAAATTACGTTCGTTACTTCAGTCATTTTGGTGTGCTTTGACGTTCGCCGGATCGTAATACCAATCTTGATAAGTAGATATAATTTAAAGGTTTGTATAGCGTTGATATTAACAGAAGCCAACGCTGCACTCAGGCAATGAGTACAACGTAGTAGATAATTGTAAGACAATGTTAAAGAATTTGAAGATAAAGTAAGCTAATACATATGTATATCTTTCTGTTAATAATACGTTTATATGTAGACTACGACGGTGAAAAGGGGGATCTACAGTCATATGAAGTGTGTCGTGTTACTTAATTAAAAAAAAGATTAGTTTTTCCACACAGACTTATCGTTATTAGATAACGTACAGCTTTCTTTATAGATTTTTTTAATTGAATGTAAAAAAACATATAAATAATAAAATTAGTATGTTTTTTCTATTTTAGTAGCGACACCTTAATTATATTGAACCCCTGGAGATTGTGTATAAAAGTTTTCGGCAATCTTAATAACAAATGAAAGATGTTAACAATAATTAAAATTCGTGGGCTCAAACTCGGGTAAAAGTGTTGATCATATCAAACCTGCAGTAGCTTCGATGATGCCAACCATATTATAAGTTATGGTTAAAGAAGTAGATTTAATATTTTTCTTTTAATATAATGGACGGAAATTGTATAGCTTAATCTTACATAGATTCAGTCTTATGTTTGTTTCTCGTTGCGGCTCACCAGCAAACGGCCTTATCCTGTAGTAAATTCGCATGCACGCGCTGTGCCACAAATCTATAAAAAAAGAGATTAAAAGGATTACGTTATCAAAATTGCTTGTAATTTTGGACTAATCACCTCATGGTGTGCGTCGGTACAGCAGCAACAAAAAGCAGAAAAATTACATTGTGATGCTCATCAGCCTGCGCAAAGCATTTGTGATAGTCCGAGCACCAATACTGGTCTATTAGTGTAGTATGATTGCCTGCATCGCTATCACCTCCTTCTTCCAGCTGGTGCATGGCCTCCAACGTCTGATCAAAGAATTTTTTCAGCATATTTAGGCGCTGTAAGTCGCCTACAATAATGCGCTTTGCACTGACCGACTGATTGCGCAAATTACGCGTGAAAACGCACTTACGCGTCTGCGTATTGATCAGTATGAGAGCCAGCACATGGGCATCAATGTCCAGCTGCTCGGGTAGACTGCGCGGCACACAGCGTTCCACGGCTCCTAGCATATTGGCATCGTTGCGATAGGCGCTGAGTGCCTGTGCATGCAGCTCGCGGAACGGTGGCTCAGAGCCACACAACACACACAGCACACTGTTTGCCGCCACGGGAACGCTGACAAACCGGTAAGCTATATTTGGACTCTTGATGGGCAAATAAACAGGCACATCCAGCTGCAGCGTGCTGGACGAATTCAGCAGCAGCAACAAGAGCTCCCTATCCACAGTGTTCAGGTCCCACCAGCCCTCGGTGGCCACCGCAATGCGACCGCCCACTACAAGACAACAGAATAAAGATCCACACTGTCCACTAAATTCGTTTAAGCGCTGTAGCAGCTGCGCATTCTCCGAGGCCAGTACACAATCCGTATAGCCGAGCAGTTGCGATCCTGCGCTGGCTGCCTCCAAAGCAGCATCAACTATGGGTCCATAGTTCTTGGCATCCTTCTTTAAACGTTCTAGGAATGCTGGATTCGCCATCTCATCTCGGCTGACGAATAGCGCAATCGCACCGAAGACCAACTCACTCAGAGAATTTAGCGCGATTTCACTCCCGCGACCACACACAATTATGGTTATGACATTATGAAAGTCTCGCCAAATGTAGGTCCACTCAGAGTCATCAGAGTGTGTGGCTTGCAATTGTATTCCTAGAGACTTAAAGTACATGTGTATTCCATTCAGCGAGGCAACAGTCGAGAAGGGAAGCTGCCAAAACGAAAGCAACAGGTTTAATTCAACGTAAGGCAACAACAAGTTTAACAATTACATTATCACAATCTCCTTTCTTGCGTGTGAATATGGGTAAGCCTCCATTTGTGGTAAGACAAAGTAAATAAATAGACATTGCACTCAAAAACAATTGCAAAGAAAAACTTTTTAAAGTCCGCTGCTGTAGCGTAAACCAACATCTACAGTATTCTTGTTTAGTATTTCCATTGTTGAGTCCCTGGTTGACAAACACTGAAATTTTTCATTATTTTCGGTGTCCGCTAGCTTGGGCACTCTACGACTTTCAGTTTTAAGAATAGCATGTGAAAAATGTCTGAAAATATAAAAGATGAAGCGGAAAAATGTAATAATTCCGACAAACCTAAGGTCAATAAGCGGCGTGATAGAAAGGATCGTGGGAATAACAACCATTCCATAAAAGTGAGTTTCTTTCTAAAGAAGTGATGCACCAACAATTCTGTAAATACAACATAAAACTTGCAGATTGTGGTTCGACACTTGCCGCCAACGATGACAGAGGAAGAGTTTTTAGAACAAGTTGATCCGTTGCCGGAAAACAATTCGTTTCACTACTGTCCAGCCGACTGGACCTTGGCCCAGGATGCCACCTGCCGGGCTTATATTTCGATGAAAAACAATGCTGACGTCCTCCAATTTCGTGACCGTTTCGATAGCTATGTATTTGTCGACTCTAAAGGTGAAGAGTACGTGGCCATTGTGGAATATGCTCCATTTCAACGGTTCGCCAAGAACAAAGCTAAGCCTGATAACAAGGTCAATACCATTGAGTGTGAATCACACTTTCAGGAGTTCATACAAAAATTGACTGAGGAGCGCGATGAGGCGAGCCGTCTTGGGGAGGTTCCCATTGATTTCAACTTTAAAACCGAGGAGACGGTAAAGTCGACTCCGCTGCTTCAGTATTTGGCAAACAAAAAGGAAAAGAGGCGTGAAGAGGCTCGCAAACGCAGCGAAGAAAAACGAAAGCAGCGCGAAGAGCAGAAGCAACAGCGGGAAAACGCGAAGGACGTCGATGCAGAAAATAAAAAGCCCAGTGGAAGTGGAAATTCAAAAAAAGGCGCTGTCAAGGATTCCCAAGGAACTCAAGAGGAACAAACAAAGAGCTCACGCGCAAAGCGCCGCTCTGAGCGTGACCAGCGCCGCCGCGAGGAGCACGAACAACGAAAATTAATGCGAGACAAAGGTGACCGGAACGATAGAGTGGATAAAGAAAAGCTTGGCAAGTCTTCAAAACAAAACAAGAACGCTAACAAAGATCGTCAAAAGGCTTCCAAGGAAATCACTATCCTTAAAAAGGAGAACAAAACGGAAATAAAACCGGCGGCCTCAGAAAATCCCGATAATACCAATGAAGCTAAGAGTACGGATGACGGTGTTCAGGAAACTATTGAGAAAAGCACTGTAAAGGACTCCAATGAAACTGGCGATGTCAATGAAACGGTAAAAGATTTTATAAAGGCAGCTGTAAGCTCCAAAGAGACTAATGAACCATCAATGGAAGCACCCTCCGTGACAGAAAAGAAATCAAAAAAGCCAGAAAAAACAGGAAATAAGGAAAGTTCAAAATCTGCAAGCCAGCGTGCATACGAGGAGAGACGGATTCGAAATAAGGTAAGTCGCTATGAGGGATGTAAAGTTAAAACATAAGGCTATGTGAATCTTCACAGGATCGTCCATCAATTGCTATATATCAGCCTAAAGCGCGCCTGCGTCTAGGATCGGAAGACACTGGGTCGCCGAGTTGCAGCAAGGATGCAACCTTAAAATCAGATCCGCAGCGCACAGCTGGATCCGATGGAGAGTCCTCCCTACCCGATGACCAACCTACCAAGAAGAATAAAAGACATGGCAGGCGTAACAGATCAAAGCATTCGGACGCAACTGACAATGTTGAGCACGAACGCCAAATATCAAAATCTTCCGAAAGCAGCACAAGTGCGAATTCTAAGATCTCTTAAAGGTTCTAACAACTTTCAATAAATGTCGAAAACAATTTTTGAAAATCATTTTGAGATTATAATTGCAGTTGTCGGAAATAAACGTATGTAATAATAATACTACAACCATAAAAACTTTTACTTTGCCGGATTATTAGTCCCATATATATTCCAGGGCTGACGAAAATGTTCACAGCAATCCAATGTTACCCCAACTGATAATATTCAGCAGTGTTGCTCCACTGCGTTGAAGGTACCGGACTATGAGAATTGTTTAAAAAACACCGAAATAAATGTAATTTAACTGGCTTTGTTACCCTTATTGTGGGATAATATGCAGAAATTTGTGTTTAGAACTATTTTTATGAGGCGCTGAAACCGATTGTTTTTCTTTATTCAAACGGTGCCGCCGCCGCGCATGACGCTAAAGTAACGCGAGCAAGAAGAAGAAGCAGCAGCAGAACTCACATCACACAGCAGCAGGCAGCGCGTTGGGAAAAAAGTACTGCGAAAAAAATTTGTTTAAACACAAAGTGATCGCTACGTTGTTTAGCAAATGCAATAAAAGTTTGCATCGTGGATTGTGCAAATGAAATAAGTTGGAAACTACAATTTCTATTCCGGTGTGCCCAAATAATTGCCGTCGTCTGTGACAAAAAAATAGTAGTAGCCTTTTCCACTGCCCATTTGCGCTTTTCATTTTGCACGCTGCTTCGCTACGCTTTTTGGCGAACTCTGGAATTGGTGAGTCCGTGAAAATATATTACAAAAATTGCGAGCACATGCGTTTCTCTTCATTTACAATATATTAATGTTGTACAACAATGTACGCATGTATTAAGCAGATTTGTGAAATGCCGCCGCAGTCTCGGCGGCGCACCAACGACGTCAACGAATGCCACTTTAAGTGTGTGTGTGTGTGTGTGAGAGCTGTTTCAATGCGGCATTGTTGTATATGTGTGAGTGTATGTGCGCAAAAAATGTAAGCAGTAGCAGAAGCGCGCCACAGCGAGCAGCGTGCGTTTATGGATATGTATGCATGTGTGTGTGCGTGTGCCCAAAAAGAAAATAAGAAAATATAAAAAATATGGTGAATGTGCCGAAAAACGCAATAAATTTCATTTCGATTTCTTGTTGTTCCTTTTAAACGTGCCCTCTCTATGTATCCATGCAGATCCAGCAGCCAACCAACCGGGTAGCCAACAACAATAACAAAACGTTTGACAAGCGGTGCCCCGACTTTTTAGCTGAAGAAGGAGCTAGCAGCTAGCCAAAAATCCATCAAAATTAACGCGGACACAGCTGAGCGACGCAGACGCGAACGCTGCTTCTATTACAAAAAGATGGCGATGTTAACGACCGAAGAGGCGAGCAAGTTGCTCGACTTCTCACAGAAGTTGGATATAAATTTGCTCGATAAGATTGTCGAGGTATTGTATTCAGCTCAGGGTGAACAACAGCGACTGGCGCAAGATATACTCACCACACTGAAAGAGCATCCAGAGGCATGGACACGGGTCGACAGCATACTCGAATATTCACAGAATCAACAAACTAAATTCTATGCGCTCCAAATACTTGAGGAGGTAATCAAGACGCGCTGGAAGGTTTTGCCGCGCAATCAGTGTGAAGGCATTAAGAAATATGTGGTCAGTCTGATCATTAAAACATCCTCGGATCCGGCTATCATGGAGCAGAACAAAGTTTATTTGAACAAACTGAATATGATACTGGTGCAGATATTAAAACGTGAGTGGCCACGTAATTGGGAAACGTTCATCAGTGACATTGTGGGCGCGTCCAAGACAAATGAGAGTTTGTGCATGAACAATATGGTCATATTGAAGAATCTGAGCGAGGAGGTGTTTGACTTTTCAATTGGCCAAATAACGCAAACAAAGGCGAAGCATTTAAAGGATACCATGTGCTCGGAATTCTCGCAAATATTTACGCTATGCTCCTTTGTGCTGGAGAACTCAATGAATGCAGCACTTATACATGTCACGTTGGAGACGCTGTTACGTTTCCTTAACTGGATACCGTTGGGCTACATCTTTGAGACAACGCTTATCGAGACGCTAATCTTCAAGTTTCTTAGCGTGCCCATGTTTCGCAATGTAACCCTGAAGTGCCTGTCGGAAATTGCCGGTTTGACCGTTCCCAATTACAACGAGAACTTTGCCACACTATTTAAGGACACTATGGTGCAGTTGGATCAGATTATTGGGCAAAATATGAACATGAATCATGTATTCCAGTGTGGCAGTGATACGGAACAGGAATTTGTTCAGAATCTGGCCATGTTCTTGTGCACGTTCCTTAAAGAGCACGGAAAACTGGTGGAGGATGCCAAATATGTCGATTATTTAAATCAGGCACTAATGTATTTGGTAATGATCAGCGAAGTGGAAGATGTAGAGGTCTTCAAGATTTGTCTAGAGTATTGGAATAGCTTGGTTGAGGACCTGTACAATACTGAGTTCTTCCATCCCAATCTGGACAGCTCAAAACGGCAGCAAGTTTATCCAAGGAGGCGCTTCTATGCAGCCATTTTGTCAAAGGTGCGCTTCATTATGATTTCACGAATGGCTAAGCCGGAGGAAGTGCTCGTGGTCGAGAACGAGAACGGCGAGGTGGTGCGAGAATTTATGAAGGATACCAATTCAATTAACTTGTATAAGAACATGCGTGAGACTTTGGTATTCTTGACGCATTTGGATTGTGTGGACACTGATCGCATTATGACGCTTAAGCTTATGAATCAAGTCAACGGCACCGAGTTTTCTTGGAAGAATCTGAACACGTTGTGCTGGGCCATCGGCTCCATATCGGGTAAGTTGTATTGCTAGCATTCTGCCCTGCAGCTTCTTTTGACGCACATAATCCTATTGCTTAGGTGCTTTCTGCGAGGAGGACGAGAAACGTTTCCTCGTCACTGTCATCAAAGATCTGCTTGGCTTGTGCGAGCAGAAAAAGGGCAAGGATAACAAGGCGATAATCGCATCCAACATTATGTACGTGGTTGGCCAGTATCCGCGGTTCTTGCGAGCGCATTGGAAATTCCTCAAAACAGTGGTAAACAAGCTCTTTGAATTTATGCACGAAACGCACGATGGTGTCCAGGATATGGCATGCGATACGTTCATTAAAATAGCCATCAAGTGTCGTCGCTACTTTGTCACCATACAACCGAATGAGGCCTGCACTTTCATCGATGAGATATTGGGCTCGATGAGCAGCATTATTTGTGATCTACAGCCGCAGCAGGTAAGTTCGGAACTGATTGAAAAAAACATTATAAGACTTAAAAGGTTGATTTTTTTTAGGTGCATACCTTCTATGAGGCAGTTGGCTACATGATCTCCGCCCAGGTTGATCAGGTGCAACAGGATGCGCTTATTGAACGCTACATGATGCTTCCCAATCAGGTCTGGGACGATATCATCTCGCGCGCATCAAAAAATGTAGATTTTCTGAAGAACATGACAGCTGTCAAGCAATTGGGCAGCATATTAAAGACGAATGTAGCCGCGTGCAAGGCTCTGGGCCATGCATACGTAATACAATTGGGTCGGATCTATTTAGATATGTTGAATGTGTATAAAATCACATCGGAGAATATTATACAGGCCATTGAGCTAAATGGCGTGAATGTGAACAATCAACCATTGATCAAATCAATGCATGTCGTTAAGAAGGAAACACTCAACTTAATCTCCGAATGGGTTTCACGATCCAATGAGAATCAACTGGTAATGGACAACTTCATACCGCCCTTGTTGGATGCTGTTCTAATGGACTATCAGGTGAGTGTTATAATAACTACAATCTTACCGTTAGAAATATGTATATATTTAGATGTGATTTAAATAAGAAACAAAATCTCTATTAGAATACAAAATATTAATTCATATCCGGATATTTATTTGTGCACGAGCACAAATATTTTTATTATTTTATTAAATAGATGGATGATTGGCTGTAAATATTATTACCACATAACATTAAAAATTGATTAATGAGAAATAGACAAAATTTCCAATAATTAGAATTAGGCTTTAAGAACTTTTGGAGTGCATCTAAATACTCGTATAGTCGTGACTTCTACATTTAAAAGAATACTAGAAGAGAAATTTATATTTGAAAGGTTTGAAAACAGAAACCATTTCGAAAGCGATATTGATACAATATTTTCGATTGCTAAAAGCAAAGGCTACTACTTCAAATAGTTCTTAATGTAATAGTTATTATTTTATTTATGATCCTGATCTGATTAATCTATTCCTACAGCGCTGTAAGGTGCCCTCGGCGCGTGAGCCAAAAGTGTTGAGCGCCATGGCCACCATTGTGCACAAGCTGCGACAGCATATCACCAATGAAGTACCAAAAATCTTCGATGCCGTCTTCGACTGCACGCTGGACATGATCAATAAGAACTTCGAGGATTTCCCACAACATCGTCTAAGCTTCTACGAGCTGCTGCAGGCCGTCAATGCGCACTGTTTCAAGGCGTTCCTCAACATACCCCCGGCACAGTTCAAACTGGTCTTTGACTCTGTGGTGTGGGCCTTCAAACACAGCATGCGTAATGTTGCTGATATGGGTTTGAACATACTGTATAAGGTGAGTTAACAGTTATCTATATATATATACACCCACTATTAATTATTCATTCAATACTAATGTCTGACAGATGCTGCAAAACTTGGAACAACATCCGAATGCTGCGCAAAGTTTCTATCAGACATATTTTACGGACATCCTTATGCAAATATTCTCTGTTGTAACCGACACTTCGCATACGGCCGGTTTGCCGAATCACGCCATTATCCTGGCCTACATGTTCTCATTGGTGGAGAATCGTAAGATTACGGTGGACTTGGGTCCCATACCCGACAATATGATATTCATACAGGAATATGTTGCGTCACTGCTCAAGTCCGCATTTAATCACCTTTCGGATAATCAGATTAAAGTCTTTGTAACTGGCCTGTTTAATTTGGATGAGAATGTGCAAGCATTTAAGGAGCATTTGAGAGATTTTCTCATACAAATACGCGTAAGTAACCACTAGCCATTAATATCCCAATCCCAATTGAGTTTTCATCTAGTTATTTATTCAAAAGCCAAATTATCCAATTGGAACAACACTTTCTGAGATAATTACATCATCTAGGTAGGCTTAGAAAGCACTAAGATCACTGGGATCAGCCAGCATTTAACGATGTTAAAAAACTGCGATTTTGAAATATGATTTCGGTGCTTGAAGCTATCATTATTTCAATTAGTGATAATACTTATTGAATAATAATAGTGCATATTAGTATCGACACTATCGCTAATGTTAGCTCGAAGCATCGTCCGTTAATATACTATCGATACTTTCCAGCCGTGTAAAAGCTTTGCAACACTATTCTGAAAGTTTGTGTTTTGGAGTCATTAGACTATATTTTCAGGATTATATCTTTATTCTCGGGACTAGGGATCTTATTTTTACTATAATTATAATACTGTTACGTTTAACTAAACATCTTGTTGATTTCGCTTTCAGGAGGCCACTGGCGAGGATGACTCTGACTTGTATCTAGAGGAGCGTGAATTGGCATTGGCTGAGGAACAGGCCAATAAACGCCAAATGCAACGTAATATTCCGGGCATGTTGAATCCGCATGAATTGCCAGAGGATATGCAGGATGAATAGATGCCGTTGAAATGTTTCATGTTAGTTGAAGCTCATGATTTTGATTATAAAATGATGCGATGTATGAGTGTTTCTCCGCAATTTGGAGAAAGTATAAATGTTTGTTTGATTGAATGCAGATAAGTTAAACGTTATATATATTTACTTATATACACAAACGCCCCCTCACACATACACACACACACACACACAACCATAATACAACAAATGCGTTTATGTTGATTGTGTAGAGCCGTAGCCGAATAGTAACTATCAATCCCCACAATAAAAAGTAACGAAAGCGGTTAATCTGCGCGATTACATAAATTAATATGATAAACATATTATGCGCATTGACACACATACACACAAACGTGACACCCCGCATTGTAGCAAGCAAAAAATGGAAGAAAATCTTTATACTAATTATATATATATATAAATATATTAATAATAGTGTTTGTTTGAAATTTTTTAAATGAGTATAATTGTAGAAACTGTGTATGAATGAAAACGAGCGAGCACACACAAACACACACACACAAAACACATTTAATAAAACACATTAATGATAATGATAAAAGTAAATTTAATTGTAGTTTGCCAGAAGAAACAGAAACCCAATTTCTAAAATATTTCTATGTAAACATTTGCGTAAAGAATTAGCATTACAAAAAAACAAACAAAAACGAAAATGCATTAAATAAAAACAAAAACAATAAGCACCCAAAGTGTGCAAGAAAAGTAACAACTAAAACTAACACTCACACATCCAACCACAAAAAGAAACAACAAAAAATCCATAGACATGCGTATGATTGATTGATTCTGATGTTTTATTTTTACCTTTAAATTAGTTTGTATAATAAATTTAAATAAAAATCAATTAAACATAAATATATAACAAACGCTTGTTATATCAGCATTCACAGTCGTATTTTGTTTCTCCAGCGCTACAATTTCTAAATCCTAATAACTTTGAAAATTTCAAACACAGTTTTTTAAATGATTGACAAATCTTTTTTAGCATCAAGGGCTCAACTGGACCAACTCATCGTGGATGGCCAATGCGATTGTGAAATTGTAAATTAGTTATTTTTTATTAATTACTAATCCAGCATTAAATAAAGTAAAAGTGTAAACATTTTACAAGCGTGTGCGTGCAGGAAATAAAATATTGAAGCCACAGAATAATGATTTATGATTTTTTTATTGAACAACTAAACGATCAACTGCCCATATACTCGTCGGAATATTTGCATTACGTTATATCTCCATATAGATCGGTCGTTTTTGAACGTTCTAGCTGTCCATCTAGTGGATTCGTCGGTCATTTATTCCTTATTATCATATAAACATTACATGCCTCCGATTCTGTTTTAAATAAACCCATTAGAGCCATGTACGTGACGAAGTTTGGCTTTCCACTGGGTGATAAAAAGTTGAAGAGACGGGAGATGGTCTCCTAATTCAATTATTGGATAGTTCCAAAACTTGAAACAATACTTCCTTCTATGGCTCTTCATAGACTAAGCAGCCTCAAGACCTTTTAGGTGAAACAAATGGGTTTTCTGTATAATAGTATTTATTACATATACATATGTATGTATACAATACTTAATCAATATCAATTGGGATTTGGATAACAATAAAAGCAATACAAAAATCAAACACACAGCGGTTTTCCTTTGGCCTAGCCGTTGACGGCGTTTTTTTTCTTCGAAACACATAAAAACAAAACCACAATTTACAAATACAAAGCTTGGCACAAAATTGAAGCCTTACGTACTGGTGCTGCCAACAACAACAAAAACTACTACGTACAACTTTTAAAAAGCCTTTTGCGTTGCTCGTTTACACTTACAATTAAACGATTTATAATATAATGACTAGTGATTTCAACAGACGTTGTTTTGGACGAAAGGCTCGCAGAGCTCTTAAGTACCTTTAAATGAACGAACCGAATCGTCCGCTTACGCTACAATACAATACATAAAATTGTGTATAAATAAGTATCATTTGAAACAACCGTGGTTACACAAATTTGTGTGATTTGATTTAAATACAGGGAATCGAATCACAACAATAAAACCTGATTTTTGTTTGGTTTACGAAGTGCTACATGGATGGTCGGTCTATATCTATCAGGTGTTTAAATTACACATTAGTTATAAAATCCTAGCCATGATCACTGTAAGCATTTTAAACCTATTACAGATTTTACTTGTCTTTCCTCCCTATTTATGTATGCTTCGATTCCTGTTTTGCGTTTAAAGTAGAACGGGCCGTAGAGTCCGCTTTACGTTGAGCAACCTTTAAAACGTGTTTTAATGATAAATTCGTTGTGCTTCCCAATAATTATTACTCGCTAATCGAATACGCCTTTCGCACGCATTTGCTGTGCCTTGTGATGCGCAGCTCCTCGGCCTCGTGAGGATGGTGGTGGTGATGGAGGTGGCTCAGTGAGGGCAGCTCGCTGTTATGCTGGGGTGTGGACTTATTTAACGCGTAGGTGCGTATAAAATCGATGGTCGAATAGCCTGGTGGTGTATCCGTTGACACTTTATTGATTGCTGCTGCTCCATCGGTGTTGGTGGGATTGTTGCTGCCGCTCGTTGCAATGGCGCCTGTGGAAACACTGCCCATGGTCTGGGCCTGGGCGTTCAGTGCGGCATCTAGCGCTGTGCCCGCCTCGGGCGTAACAGGAGCCGTTTGTGCGCTGGCAGTGAGTGCAGCGGCTGAAGCCATTAAAGATAGGCCGCTGCCGAAGTCATTGTTCAGCGTCTTAGGGGAACTTTGGACCGGGCTGCGCGGCTGATCCAAATCCAAGACTATATAGTTTACACCGCTGATGCTGGCGCCGCCATCACCAACACTGCTGGTGGGCGTGGTCGGCTGCTGTTGTGTGGTGCTCGTCGAGGCCACCGATTGCTGGGAGGATTCACGTTTCGGCGTTGGCTGCAGCAGCAACGGCAGATCCAAGCGATTCACATTCTCATAACAACGCTCACTGCCGCCCCCGCTGGACAAATCGAAGAGCAGACGCTCACGCAGGCTGCAAGAGCTCGGAGTATCAACATTCGCGTACATATGCAGGGAATCCATTAGCGCTGGCGCCGACTCCTGGGGCGGCATGTCCAGAGAGCAACCTTTCAGCAACGTACGGCGACGCATGGTGCTGAAGGCGCTATAGCTGCCATTGCTGGAAAACATGGTTGTCGTTGTTGTTGCCGTTAAGGGCGGTGTGTTGCTTTGTGCTGTTGCTCCATCCAATGCATTGCTGCTGCTGTTGTTGTTGTGCTCTTGGAGGGCACGCAGCGGCTGATCGAAATAGACATTGGTGTTTATGTAAGCACCCGGCGTCATTTCGCCTCCATTCATCATTTGTGTGATGGGCAAGGGATCCGGCGCGTCCTGCGGCACAGCATTAAATTCTGCCGCCTGCAATGCATCCGTCGGCATGTTCGCATTTCCCGCACGTCCCAGCAGCGGTGCCGGCTCCAAGTAGTTGTTGCTGTGCGGATTAGCATCGGTGCGGCCGAGCAGCACGGAATGTGTGGAATTCACGCGCTCACGCTCCACCTGTGCAAAGGCGTCGGTATTGATGGCATTGATGTAGCGCTGGAACATGGGATACAGAAGATCAGCATTGTGAACGCGAAATGTATAAATGCCTGGGCCGGACATACAGCGACGACCCGCCTCAAAGGAGAACAAGTCCGCATTAAGTCCGTAGCGACGCAAATGCTGCAGTGCCCATACAATGGGCTCACAACCGGGCGTTAGAAAAATTAGTTCGCGAGGATTCAATTCCAAGTAGCCGCTGCGTATAATGGGCGTCCCAGGCAGGTGTGCAACGCGCACCCGAAATACATTATCCTGGCGCAACTCATGCAATTTGTTGCTGCTGCTTATACAGCCCATGGCAAAGCTGCTGCTGTTGTTGTTGCTGTTTTCTGCGCTGCTGCTGACGACGACGGACTGCGTGGCGTTTTTTCATTCCAGGATGTATCTTTTTGCACTTTTCTGTTGATAACAGTTGCAATAACAAATAGCAAGTAGTGATGGAAGAAAATAGGAAGAAAAGAGCTTGCTGAAGTGCCACCCACTTCTAGTTGCACAACAACCTTTATATCGTTAGGCGTTGTTATCTAATTTAGTGACCAGCTTGGTTCTTAATCTGGTTGTCAAGTCTGCAGCAAGCAGACTCGGTACTTAGAGGCCACATTCCACTTGCTAACTCGCCCAGAGATGTGAAAAATGAAAGATGAAAACACAACAACAGCTTGGCACAATTGCTCGAGCAAGTACACCAATATATCGAGTGTATTAATGAGGAGTCTAAATAAATATCGATAGTTTACTATTCGGCTACTAAATAAGCAATTATTGAGTTAATTTCATTTAATTTTCCAACCTCCTATTTGTAATTTTTGTAAAATAAGCTCCTAAATGCTTAAGTTAAATTTAATTTAAAGTTAATCAAAATATGTGCATCTTACTTTGTTAAGGATTAGATGTTCTGAAGAGCTTTTCACTGATGTCTGAATTAAATACTACAAAGAATTTATATTTATCTTAAAATTTGATGCATATAAAATGTACCCCGCAGTCGGAAAAGAAATAAATGTACATATTGTAAATGCAAAACATGCGACAAATAACTAAATTTCTGCAGGAAAAACGGTTACTCGAGCACATAGCCAAAGACAATTTTAAGATCTTCCAGTCAGTGTTTTTCGCTTCCATTATACGAATACAATACAGTATGTATTTCATTATATATATATAATAATATATTAATAATTAATAATAATATCCCTAAAGGATATATTGGTATTTTTTTAAATGGAGTTTCTTTGTGCGCGAAATCTTCCAATATAAACCATTTTGGAAAACCACTCAATGAAATAGGTGGCAAGGCCAGTAATTGCTTCCAACGTACTTAAATACCACTCATAACCGGCTTGGTAGATACCACAAAAAAACGCGATTTTTAGCACATATTGTTGCGCTAGCATGGTAACACAGCAAACGAGACACCACCACCGTAGTAGCCGAGACAGCAACAACGAGTAGCGGACCGGACATTTTAGTAGCGCGCAAGAAACAAAAGGAAACTTGTAATTAGGAGCAAAAGGTGCATATTTGTTGAACTTTGAAAAGAAACAAGTGCGGGTGTTTAAAATATAACTTACTAAACAGGTAAATGCAATTTTTAGTATCACTTTCATTCATTATGCATTAAAACAGTGCGAAGCGCAAGAAAAAAATGGCAAACGCCGAAATTCAAAAACCAAGCCAAGCAGTCTGTGTGTCTGTGCCTGTGTGTGTGTATAAGTGCGCTGTTGAAATTCTGTATAACGCTTTGTACATTTTGCATTCAAATATGAATGTGTGTGTGCGTAAGTGTGTGGGATGGTACTTCCTTAAAATTGACCATTAATTCAGACGAAAAGTGCAAAAATAATTTTCTGTGCAAAGTGTAAGTCAAAATTAAATTAATACAAGTGCCGTCGCAGACAGGCGTCAGCGTTGGCAGCGCTGCAACCGCAACTTCATATGCAAGCCGAACAAAAAGGACGCCATGCACATTTCAGAGTGTGTGTGTGTGTGTGCGTGAGTGAGAGAGCGCGGCAGGAAATTAACAAGGGAAATGTAACAAGTTCCTCTTTTTCCACCTAATGAAATAAAATGTAATACTATAAAATAAAAAAGCCGGCTTGCCGCATTTATAATTCGTGTCAAGGAAAAACAATTCAAAATTTGTATTGCTATTGTTGTTGCCTGTTTTCACACACACAATTTTGGGTGTGCCGCCTTGCAGTTGCGTCGGCGTTGCCACTACGTCAACGTCGCCATCAGTAGCAGCGGCAGAGGCAGCGACGCTGCTGTTGTGGCTTTGTATCCGTTTGGCTCTCTCCTTTGCCTTTGTGTTGTGTGCATCGTTCTCACTCTCGCTCACGCGCCTTACTGAGTTGCTGGCTTTTCTTTTCCTTGCCTATCAACATTCCCGTTTTACTCGCCTCATTTATCCTTTTTTACGTTTTATTCCTGTCGTTCCTGTGCGTTCACAACGCCTTCGCAACGTCTGCTTTGGTGTGCGTGCGCGTGTTGGCCGGACTGGCTGGCTGGCCGGCTGCCTTGACTTCTTTTACATTGTCTTCTTTGTTTGCATTCTACGCTTGACTACACTCGCCATCATGTTCGTTTTCTGGTTTCGATAATAGCTATATTGCGAAATATCCTTGCGCTAGGCCCATGTTGCATTTTGTTGTCAATTTAAACAAAATTCTAGTGATTAGTTAGTTACTTTCTCTCTCAGTTGCCTCTTATCTTTCTATGAAACAATAAATATGTTGCACAGTGTTGGCAATACTTAAGCTTGTTTTTGTTGTTATTAAATTACTCCTTACATGCGTCGCCGTTGTTGTCTTTCTCAATGACCATCAATGCCATCATAAACGTTGTTGCTGTTACTGTCGTGGCCTTCTTCTTCGTTGACGATCGCCTTTTTGTAGCCAGTTTAATGTGAATAAACATACATATGTATGTACGTATCTATTTATGTACATATGTATGTATATATTCCTGATTAGTATGAAGAAATAAGTTGATAAAGCCCATGAGCGTCTATATAAACGGAGACCTCGATTAATCCAATTTGTATTCTTGGATCTCCTTCTGTTAGTAATAACGTCAGTAATTTTGACCAACTTCTTAATTACACCCCCATGCCAAGTTTCATCGTAATAGGTCAATTCCAGAGGAAGTTATAAATGTAATCCCTCTCCATGCAGTGCAAGCAGCTGTTGTTGTTGATGCTGCCAAGGGTTTAGGGTTTTTCAAAGTCATATAGTTTCATATAGTTTTGCTTGCTTTTTTTATAAATTATATTTTTGTTACGAAAAATTGCGTCGCACATTTTTGCAGTCTACCAGCCAAGCCACCGCCCTAACCTGACGCTGACGTCGCCTACGTGCGCCTCTCCGGCTTTATGCCTGATGCATAAGTGTGCTCCTGCACACAAACACACACGCAGACACATATATATATATACACACACACAAATGCACCAGCGTGTTCACTTGTTCGTTTGCTTCTCTGTCGATTTCTTTTCTTTTGTTAATGCACTTGCCAAATAATTTGATTTTATTGCAAAAAATATATTTGTTTTATTATTTTGATTATTGTTATTGTTTATTTGGCTTAGAGTAACGATTGTTGCTTTCGCTTCGCCTTGAAGCCGCTTCAAGTTACTCAAATGCTCAAATAACTGCATGAGTACGAACATACATTCATACATATGTTTGTACATATGTATGTACATATGTATGTATTGTACATTATCAGATCAAAGCTTGCAGTTGTTGCTTTGTGCAGGAACTGTCAACCTTACTGCGGTTGTTGTTGTTATTATTGCTGCTGTTGACTTAAACGCAAATAAATATTGGGGGTGTTGTTGTTGCTGCTTCTGCTCTTAATACCGTTACGTTCGGCCGCCGTCAAGTGCAAGTTGCTGTTAGCGCGGGTGGCTTGAAAAATTCTTAATATCTCCCCTCCTACAATTAATGGAATTTAAGTTGTTCACTTTCATAAACATATAAACGACTTATTTGAAGGAGATATTCTACTGAATAAATAAAAAACCCATAAGTATACAAAACAATTAAATGCTACTCATTCTTAAAAAAAAGTTGTCTGATTCTTTCTTTAAATTTAAATTAATTCTGGAACAACGTTTTCTTTTAAATGAATAATTAATATACATACATACTATACATATATATAAATATGTATATACATAGACCATATGATGATTAAATGATTCGTGATGAGTACGTGTCAATGTACATAATATACATATGTATGTACATAATTGTATATTATTTCAGATCCATTTTAAAAAGGAAATATCAAAATTCGAAAAGTAATGGTTGCTTTACCTTTATTGCAATACATTAAATGAATACCTATTTAATTTTGGTTCCGATTTGTTAAGATATATTACAATAATTTAAGTAATTTTCCTTAAGTTAAATAAATAAATATATGTTTGTGTGTATGTATATGTTGATATATATTTATATATACATATACATACATATAATAACTGAAGCAGCGCAGCATTTGACACGCCATATGAAACTTCTGTCACAGCCTGCGTTTTAAGCGGGCTTTTGAGTTCGGCATGCATGCAACGCACACATATACATTCATATACGAGTATACACCCGCCCGCAATACATACATACGTGCAGACAATGAAAAACGCCGCCTGCCTGCTAGCACACACAAATGTGGATATTTGTGTGCGTGTAAGTACATACAAACTGATCAAACATACACGTTGCGGTATTGATAAGAGTCGCTGAAGTGGAAGACAGCAGAGAGTGGCAACAGCAACAACAATACAAGTAAAACCGCAAAGACGAAATCTTATGCCAAAAGCTAAAATTTAAATAGTCATAAAACCAACAACAACAACAATGAGCGACGGCAGCACATTTCTCTACTTCTGTTGCTTCCATAGCTGCTGTTGTTCTTGTTAGTGCTGCCCCCTTTGCAAACAACGCAATTTCTGCCATTTGCCGATCAGTCAGTCTGCCAGTCAGCCAGCACTGCCGCTTATCTTTGAGCTTGTCCGACAGTCTGTCTGTTTGCCTCCTATATCACTCTCTCTCCCTCTGCCTTACATACATTCCCTTCGTGCAGTTTGTTGTTATTACGATTGATTTTTGTTTGGACTACGAATATTTTCTTATATTTATGATAGGCTGTACTGTTGTGGCTGCAGATTTTTTTGTGTATTGAATTAGCATTAAATAACATTTTGAATTTGTGCGTCTGTGGCTTTTGATATTTGGATAAATACCAACAACAATAACAAGCATTTGAAATAGTTTTTCCCCAAGTGGTTGTCTTGCTGACGCCAACGTCAAGATCAATTTTCAGCCATGGGAGCCAAATACATAAGTGTGTTGATACGTAAATATCATACATATGTATGTACATACAAAGTAGGAAAGAACAAAAATTGCGTTTTCTCTACAGATCGTATATGCATTTGTGAAATATAAACATACATACACACATACTTAAATATTTGAGTGTGCTTGCAACGGCAACGACGTAGTTGGAACATCTTTTACGCACATGTTTGCATACAACATGTCAACACTTTTGAGCTGTATCTGCTCACTGTGCATCACACATGCACACAGATGCACATTCAGGCCTGTGTGCACATTTGACTCACTTTTAACATTTGCATTCCTTTTGTGCGTGTCGGCACTTTAAAAACATTTCAAAATAATTTTCATGCTAATTAACAGAAACGTTCCATTGCTGCAAGCAATGTCAGCTCTTACATTTTTAAATGTTGTCTAACAGTTGATATGACTCGGGTGTGTCTGGTATATCGACGATATTAGTGACTCATCAAAGAATAATGAGTAAAATTATTATTTCAGGACCCTTTTCTGATTATCCCATCTAATAATATAATCTAATAGGCACTCAAAATATCTTCTTGTCCTGATAATCGATAGACCCCAAATATTTCCCATTAAAGACCCAAAAAAATTTCGAGAATTGTGGGTCGATAGTCTGTAGAAAAGAAGAGCAGATTTGCATTTACAAACAATGCAATGCAGGAAATGAAAAAGTCACTGCATTTTCAAACAGCCTTCCTGGCATAGTTTTTCAATGGAATATTCCTATTGTGTGCAACGAGCGGAATGCAGCAGAACCTTGTATACATACGCGCTTATATAAATATGTACGTATGTATATGTAGGTACCCTCATTTTAATGTGTACATTAATTGATTAACAATTGAAATCAGTTTAATGCTGCTCATATATTGACAATAATTACACAAATTAACAAGGCGACACAATTTGTTGTTGCTGATATGTTATCGAAACTTCAGTTGCTTGTATAATATACATAAGTATGTATGTATATGTGTGTGAGCAAGTCGCAAAGAATTTGCTGACTGATTGCTGCTGGGACTGCCCTGCCTGACTGCCTTGCCTGCCACACGCCTAAATGTCATTGTTCGAGGCTTTCTTTTGTTGTTGGTGCAATTGCTGCGGGGTCATTGTGTAAAGCGTATATAAGATGTAATGAAAGAAGCAGTAGGAAGAGTGGAGGCTAAAAAAGATTATTGACAAGAGCGCTCGCGCAATAAGCAAATGAAGTAATAAACCATGCGACCGACGCCAAGGCTCATTAGTTTGTTTATTGAATGGTAGAGCTGCATACGCAGTTTCAACAGCAACAATAACAACAAGCAGTAATAGTAGCTACTACTAAGGCAACCACAACAACAGTAACAGATACTGCAACTGCAACAACACCAGCAACTTTTATTGATAACTGATGGTCAATGTCTACCTACAGTCAGTGGTGCAAATTCAGCCATTGGAAAAAGCTAGAAATAGCTAAACAAGTTAAGGAAGAAAATGCTGGTAGGACGCCGATTTCCTATCATTCTGATAAATAAACTCCACTTTTCAAATTTCATTTTATTCGTGAAGCACTTTATAATTAATAGCACTATATTTCTTTGAACGAATATATTCATAAAGTAAAACATTTTCAAAGAACACTCTTTTTAACATATATGTACACACATATACATTTTTGAATTGATATTACATGGTAAGTGGTCGAATCTGGCCAATCTTTGGCTGTACAATTTATAAATTTAAGAAAGACTTTGACCTGGAAAACCCTCAATGAACGCAATCAGGCCTACAATCTGGATTTTAAAAGCTCTAGAACTGACGGGAAAACAGCTAAACGGCAACACTCCGAACAGCCACCACAGCCGCCCGCATTTCAGCTGCTGTTAAGCTTCAGTTTTCTGTTCCCTGTTGTTGCCTTCTCACTGCTGCTGCTAGCGTTTCCGGCAGGCAGCGCTGTTGACGCTGCCTTTGTCGCCCCTAACGTCGTGGTGCCTGCTTCGATTACTTGGCCTCTGCGTGTGCTGTGCTGCTCCCGAAGTTTTGCCGTTGATCGAAAGCATTGAGCACAGCGCAGTCGTCTTTTGACGTTTGACTTTAACGGTTGTTTTTCTCATACGACTTGCTTCTGTGCGCGCTCCAGTTTAATAAAAGTGTGTGTGTAAATGTATATGTATGTAAATGTGTTGATGCATACAGTTAGTTTAGTTATTGCTGTGTTTACCCACAAATTTAATTAAAAAAAGCTAATGAACTACGCTTACTAAATAATTGCACATAAAATAGACGCAACGTACGTGTAATTGAAAAACTACTTTTTTCGCGAATCTTCTCTCTCTGTGGCCACCCGCAAAGCTGTCCATAAGGCACAAAGAAGACGTCAACACCAACATTAACTGCGACGACGACGCCGACGCGCAAGTACGCGTAAGTACGAGTACCGGAAGCGGCAGCAGTTGGAACGTCTGTCTGCCAGTCGCTCTAGTCAATTTTTTTTTCGCCATTGGCTGGCTGGCTGGCTTGCTGCCACTTCAGTTTGCTTTGTCTTATGAATTATTAAAAAGCCGTTTGCAATGCCAAAGTGGTCGGACGCATTGATTGCCTAGCCGCTTCCAACTCCACCTTCTCCTTGTTTGTCTCGGTCTCGCCATCCTCTCTCCTATGTGGTGCTATGCTGTTTGTGTGTGCAGCGTTGTGAATTTCTAATCAAAAATCCGGCCACTTGCGACAACTCAATTCTAAGTTGACCGAATGGGCTGCCCCTCGACTCGGTTCGACTAATTGGCGCTCGTTGTACTTGTACAAGAACAACAGCAACTTGCTACTGCCGCACGCTTCCACAATGTATGTAAGTGTGAGTGTGTGCATGTTTGTGTGCGTTTTAATTAGCCGCAGCGCACTGATGGAGCATTCGAAGGAGAGTGAGAGAGAACTAGAAAAACGGGAACAAGCTTTTAGCCACAAGAATTTGCCGTCACGAAGAAAACAAGAGCCGGTAGTGGCAGCTGCAACTGCAAATACACACATACATCGACACGTACATACATATACATACATACATACATACATATGTATGTGTGTGTGGGTATGTTGATTTGTGCAATCACTGTAAAAACTGCAATTCTGATTTGTTCAGTCACAATTATTATTATTTATTACTCAACACTGTTTAACTAATTCTTCATTCTGTCATTACAAAAACGTTCAAATGTGGGTCAATTTTGTTACCCAACAAAATTTGACGAACAATGGAAATGCTTCGACTTGCATGCCGAAAATGAACAGTTTTCGCTGTTATTCTCCAATATGTTTACCACTTAAAAGATTTTAGGACACTTCCAGGCCTCTTCCTGTTTTCGAATTTGATTAAATTTGTCGAAATTGAACAGATTTTTACTGAATAAGTGTATCGAATTTATTATAGTAAGATAAACAATTTTCGTGTTTTGTGAAAATCAAGAAATCCAGCCATCGATTTCGACAATGGGAAAAAATGGAAACAACGATTTTCTTGATTGTGGAGAAGAAAGCATAGAACATGAACCAAAAGAGAGTTGTTAAATCTGAGGAAACTATATTTTTTCCTGAACTGCTTTTTAAGGCTCAACTTTCAGTTTGGGAAAGGAGAAAGGCATTAGTTTGAATGAAATTGATTTCAATTTGAAATATGATTCTAAAACAATTTTGTATGTAATCTTATCTTTGACAACATATTGCAAATTATTGTCTTATGAATCATCGCTTTGAGAAATGCTGTGGTGAGCTGGTTTCATATTAACATACCTCTGCCATTTTCCTTTGGATTTAGTTTAATCATCATATTTATAAACAAATAACTGATGACTAAGTGTGAGGAATTTACATAAACTTGTACATACATATGAATGTATATGCACATTCCTAAAAATCATACCAGATTAGCTTTTCTTTTTGCATACCAACGGGATGAATACGAGCTACGTCTAAAGCGTAAACGATTGTTTACATTTTTATAATTTCTGATCATTTCAATATCAATAAATCAGATGTTGGGAATCAGAAACCTAATAAATGCTTATGCTTATTAAATGCTATTCCTATTTCCAACTTTTCAGTATTAATTAGCAATATTTTTGATTCCTTAGATTGCAACACTATAAAAACGATTACAAAATTTATAGAGCGTGATAATAATCCGTTGTGTACAGTTTATAGTTGAAAATAATGTCTATAATTTTAAGGCGCCTCTCACAAACTTTAATGGTTCTCCTGGTAGTTACTGACTGCCGACATTTCTAATCCTTTTGATTCTCTTGATTGTGACCTGATGCGTCATTCCAAGTTACTCGCACATTTGCCAATCATTGGCGGCAATCAATGCGTCGCCATCGCCTTCGCACCATCACCATCATTGTCTTTGTCGTCTACGCTGTGCCTTGTAAGCGACAAATTTATTGGCACTCACTCATTCAGGTCTGCCAGGCAGTCAGTCAGTCAGTCCGGCCGGCACTCATTAGGCGAGCTGTCGACGACAGCCTGCTGCGTATTTAATTTTCGCACACGATCAAGCACGAGGCGAGGTAGAAGAGTTGCTCGTAAATAATAAAATGGTTTTAAATTAAATCTATAAACTGGAAAATTAGTGAATTTTTGAGAAATTATTGCTGTATTGAAATGAAATCCGATATTTAGTTGATAATGGAATACATTTTCATTTAATTTTTTTTTTTTTTCAAACGTTTTGACTGCCACTCGCTTTGCTACTTATTTAAATTTTGCGCTGTAATTACAACTGTGTATATAATTATTTACAGACGTGGGTGTATGTGTGTGTAGTTGTGATGCCTTTAAATATCTTTGCCTGTTTTTATTATAGTTGGTGTTGTTTTATTTTCGCGCGCGCTTTTTGATATTCATTCAGCGTGCGCTTTGTAGTTGTTGTTGCTGCTGCCCATTACAAATTGTTGAAATATTTGAAATATTTCTAACGCCATTTTTAGTACAAAGTGCGTTTTAAGTTTTTGCATATTCCGACAGAAATACACACACATACACATATACAAGTATGTACATCCATACACATACATACAAAGAAACAGCAGTCGTGTTTGAACGCCAAGTGCTTGAAAGGCACATCAAATTTTATGGTGCCGTTGATTTTATGCGTTTTTCTGCCTTTACACCCAATTTATTATGTAGTTTTCTTGTTATTGGCCGATCCAATACTCGAAATGGCATGTGGAGGATGTTTTTCAAGTGCGTTTCATTCCATTTTACGATTTTGTAGTTTGTATATACAGATATTACTGAAAATGCCTTGGCCTAGGATGGGTACAGTAGCGAATACTTAAATTAAATGCAATATACATATATCTTATTTTTCTTGGTGCTTAATTTGAAACGTAACGTATTATTGGTTTAAATCCACATTTTAAAACTTTCAAGTTGTGTTTTGATGCAAATAATTTTTACCATCGTCAATATAAATAACCAAATATTATGAACAATAAATACATATAATAAAATATACACATACAAATATACAGAAAGACATATCAATATATAAAAACATATATACAAATATAATATTTGGTTTATTTATTCTGATAAAACCACATTATGCTATCGTTGTTACTCAAGTCTGTAAATACATCGCTTTTGTTTTGTTTCTCGCATGTTACTTTTTATAATCAACTGTATAAATAAGGTAATTAAAGTATTTATTAATGTCATAGCTTTCTGGAGTGTGAATTGTTTTGCCATAACGGCGAGGTTCACAAACAAAATTAGTCATATCTTTATCACTATATTTAAATTTTGCGAATTGATAAAATGTTTCTAGTTGATATATAATTGTTAAAAAAGCATTAAGGGGCCAACTGTTCCTATTTCGATTATATATCGATTAAGGCATACATAACCAGCTCATTAAGATACTAAACGACTACACGATAATAATTGCTTCTATCTGCAAGCTTAAATAAATATAAGATAACAGTCACAGATAGATACGTAGATTTTTCACAAATTAAACGAATTTTTTCATTTCCAATTGAGTTCCAGTTTCTTTGTCCGAAAGAAAGTTCTACATACGATGTTATTGGAATAAGTTCCATATAATCTCCCATTTTGTTAAAAACGGAAACAGGCTTGCTACAAGCCAATATACATACATACATATGTATATAGGAGTGATGATCCTTTAAAAATGCCTTAAATTCAAACGTTTAAATAAAATTATAAAAACAATTATTATATTAGACGAACATCTTAGTAAGCCACTAAAATCGGTTGACTATATTCATGACATTAGTCAATTAATTTGTTATGTATTATAGAAAATCAACTCTTTTTTTATCGATACATTACTGACTAACTGCACTTCGAATGTTGTCCAAGATAGTAACGCTAACTGCTTCGATTAGTAACTCCTCCTATCTAAGCTATGAAGCTACTGGGGTGATATCAGAGTTTATTTTTAAGTTTAAATTGCTACTGTTGTTGAATTGCACGGCAGGGGCACATTCTCAGTTGACTGGAACAGATGCCACAGTTGGTATCTGATAGATAAGACTCTGCGTCTGAAATCTTTGCTTTCTTTCCCATATGCTCTGTTATCTCAAGCAGCAGCTGCCTGTTGCTTATGCTGTTTATCAGCACAAGATGATGGACTTGTGGCCAACAGAAATGAGAAAGTTTAAAGTTTTCTTTTCTTGATGAACAGAACAGCTTCAGCACACGTAATGTTTGCTAATGTTGCTTATCTTAAGATCTGCTATCTCTCTTTCTTTCACTTCTCTTATCACTTGAAGCATTATCTGTATTGTATTTGTGTTTACATATTTGAAATAAATTTTTTTTTTAGAAACGAAAAACCTTCGTTTTCTTTTGAAAAAACCATGAGCAAGACATTATAGCCAATTGGCTTATCTGCAATCTGACTTGGCCCAACTTAGTCATGACGGAATAAAAAAAACTGAATCGTTCACTCGATAATGAATTTCTTTGTTCTTTCATTTTTTTATGCATTATCAATGTTGTTAATAAATAGCTTTATAAATGTGCTTTACACGCCTTCTACAGACACTTCCTCTTAATTCTGGTTTCGGACGATAGCAGCAAAGTACCGTTAACATCATAAAAATATCATTTATTTTTTGGGTGTTGTACAATACATACACCCCACATATATATATATGTGTATGTGAATTGTCATAGACTAGAAAAAAAACTACAACGGACAGAGCACGTTGACAAAAGCAGCTCAAGAGAATTGGACGGGCAAAGAACCGAAAAGAATCGAAACAGTAGGAACGTCAGTCAAATTGACCGGAAATGATAATAAAAAAAATATTTTCTTTTTTCTTTAAGGGTTCCTTGACTGACACTCACTGTGTGTGTGTGTAGTTGATATGGCTATGTGTATATATTGCCGCTCTTTTCTACTT